CTGATGTATTACACCAGACTATGAAGGTGTGTACAATCTCCGGACTTCTGGCCGTACTTGTTGACTGTGGCAGTTTAAATTATTCCTGATGCGGTGAAGTTAGTTTCAGGTTGGATATTTGCGGACATTCACTGAGGATCTGCCGGTGTCTTCTCACTCTCCATAACCGGGAATAACAACAGCAGCGCGGTTAAATCTACTCGACACCCTTGCTGTCAACATCAGGTGTTGAATAAGGGACCGTCAATAAATTACCGGTTGATGTTCTCAGAAAAGGCTGTTTTCCTTCAGTAACTTCAATAACATGTGGCCAATTAACCTAAAATTGATTTCAAATAATAGTACTGATGTGGACCAATAAGACAAACATTATTTGATCATGATTGTGCCCCTAAAGTTCTTTGTGTTCTTCTTGTGAATAAAGTTAGTGTCAAGCCCTGCTTTCTTGTTATGCAAATCCTCAAATCTATGAAACTACACAATCATTAGACAAATAAAAGAATACAGATACAGCTGTTCGGACCACTTTTTAAACAATAATGGAAATCACTGATCACCTTTGATTCACCTGTCATACACATTCACTGTCAGCTGAGATGATCCCACTACATCCTAAAGCTTTAAGGGCACTTCTAAGTTCTGGATCTGTAATATTTATGGAGAAAACTACAAAGGCCAACCTTCAGTGGGCCTTAGTCACCCATGACCCTGTCCAGTTTAACTGTAATCCTTCCTTCAACCGTTATTGGTGGGTACTGACCCCTGCAGACCAGGAGGAGCAGCAGTTTTACAGATGCTCAGTCCCCTAACCACTAAAGACACACTTAGTGACACATATTATTAGTGGTCATGAAACAAGAAACTTAACTCTGGTCTTATGATAGATTAATTAATAGGGCCAATTACATTTTGAAACAGTCAGCACCAGCTGATATTTGGGCTCATGGGGCTGATTATAAAACAAACTGATTTTGTCTGCAGACACTGCAGGCAGCCTCCTCAAGTCTGCGGATGTGGAGCTACGCTAAGCTCCTCTTACATGAAAACACAGAAAATCAAATCTAACAGTGACTACAGAGTGTTCAGAGTAAATTCTGTTTTCTTTTTTCTTAATTGCAATTACCAAACAGTATTATTTGAAAGTTTCTGCAGTAAAAAAAAAATCAATATTTACAGGTAATAATTCTTATGTTACTAATAATCCTGATACATCACCTTCATTATACTCAACACTACTTTATCTTTCATGGACCGTCTGCGTATGACAAAAGAGGTTTGTTCATTTCAGGGGAAGAGTAAGAAGGAGCTCACGGTGATGTCAGGGTGACCTTTGACCTCTGGTGTGTGTGTGAGAGAGTAAAACAGAGAGGATATGAGGAGATGCTGAGACAGACGGAATAGACAGCCCACAGAGTGAGAGAAAAGAGAGGAAGAGTCTGCTGACTTCTGCTCGACTTCTGACCCTCATGGTCACCATGGTGATGGTCACAGGGGTCATGGTGGGGTCACAGGGAGGTTAGACTGTCAGACTGTCACATATCCACACACACATACACACACACACACACATTTCCTCAAGCCTCTCACACTTTCCTCTGTTATTTCAGTCTTTGTAGATACTGATAGACATGCTGCAGCCTGTAACCGAGTGCTGAGTGTGTGTGTGTGTGTGAGTGTGTATGTGTGTGTGAGTGTGTGTGTTTAAGTGTGTGGTCTATCCTGTGTGAGGTAATGATGGACAAACTGCAGGATGAGAGCACAGTGAAACAGACAGACCACACACTATTCCTCACTGATAAAAATCACTACAGAGAAAAAGTTTGCTAAAATTTTCAGGCGGTTCTGTCAAGATCGCCTCGACTCTGCAGAGGGATGTACGATAATGCAAAATCAGGCAGTAAACTGGATCAGTCACCGTGAAAGTCAGAGTTTTTATTGTGTGTTTACAGTCTATTTTTAGCCCCACCCCCTAATATACAAAATCAATCCATCAGCCATCATTAACAGACAAAAAGTCTGACCTCTGTATATATCAGACACAGCCTACATACAAATCCGTCTGCATCTTCTAAACAATTTTATGTACGTCCAACATAAAGACTCACAACAAATCTGTGGGAGTCACCATCGTAAAAAAACACACAGGTGATCACAAACAGGTGAACCCCATGACAAGCCAACAAGTAATAGAATAATTACAACATTTAGGCGTCCTATAAATACACTAAAAATGTGCTCTAAGAAAAAACAGACAAACAACAGAGACGTGCCAATAAAAAAAAACGTATATAGTAATTTTTTCCGCCTCTTTCTACTGTTTTATCTCCTAAAAGTTCACGTCCTCAGCCAAAGTTTGTATGAAACATGTTAATTCCACCACAGCAGAGGCTTGTCGGTCTCTGTAATTAAACTCAAACTGATGTGTGGATAAGGTTCACACTCACTGCTCATCTTCACCTGAAAACTTCCAGGATCTCTTTGTGGGTTTTTGGCACCGACTGTGGGAGCTGTAACAACCACACAACACTATTATTACCTCCATAAACATCAATTAGAGACTTAAACTGGCAGCGAGGACTGTGCTGCTCCCTCACACACACACACCTCACAGTTATTGCTATCCAATACACTCTGCTTTAGCATGACAGGACAGGGGGGCTAATTGGATTAAATGGATGACGGCCTCACACACGTTCTCTCTCACACACACACACTTGGAGACACTCACACACACACTCTGATGGATAGGGATGCATAATTAATGACAGGGACCAAATCCTGAGCAAACTTTGTCAATAGTGTCTCACACTTTAAGTGTGTGTGTCTGTGTGTGAACATGAATATTTATGGTGGTAATATTTAACTCTTTATTTATATTGAATATTTTTATGTCTTTTTAGATATTGTGGTTGTATTTGTGCGTGTTTGTGCACATTAATGGCTGTTGGAAAAATGAAAGAAATAAATACAATAAACTAGAGAGAGGGGTTTTTATTTATTCTCTCTTCAATAATTTAGGGGTCAAATATTCTTTCACTTTACTGCATATGTAATTATGTTATTGTGTGTGTGTGGTGTGCAGGGGTAAAATGCAAGCTAATACACAGATGAGATATTCAAACTTAGTTATGGAAGTAACAGAAAAACACAGCGAGAGACTGTTTATTAGCTTCAGGGAAATACCAGAGTGATATCGTTATTAAACATCGTCTGTGATGAAGTTTTATCAAACTTATTTCAATCTCTTAAACCACATTATTTCACTATATGATGCTGTGAAGTGAAATAGGAAAATAATAAGTGAGCTAAACTCTCACACTCACACTCACACACAAGCTTTAAATTATAGAGCTGTATGCACAGATGGTGTGTGTAAGTGTGTGTGAGTGTGTGTTACTGATTTACAGCCTCTGACATGTCAGGATGAGAAGAAAATTGAAGTCTAAGACCAGAAACCATCAATCCACACACACATGCATGTATACACACACTCACACACACTCACACACACACACACTCATGCAGCAGCTGTTGCTCTAATTAGCTCTGCCATGCTGAACACACTAATCACCATTACCTCGCTCTGTCTGCTAATTCAAAGATCAATTTAATTTTATGGATTCTTTATTGGAATTATAATTCACGATATGTCCCGCCTCTCTGCCCTGATTGACAGATTTTACCACCTGTTACTGGATTGCAAATTTCAGAGTCAATCATGTATTTGTCATTTATAGTTTTCCACTTTTTTTGTCGGGGGGGAGGGACCGTCATATTTCATCAAAATTTCACATTTTGGCGCGGTTTCTTTGAGTTTTGAGGATCTGTCAAAGTTAGACTTTCCCCAGACTTGTGTCTAAGAAGCTCTGAAAAGTTAGTTTTCTAGATCAAATATAAGCTTGATCATGAAGACCACACCCCCTTTCTGTTTCCAGTACAAGGCTAGAGCCTTAAAGCTCCTGTGAAGAGGTTTTTACATTAACAAGATATACTAAAAATCATATTAAATTAAAAAAACTATGAGTTGGACAAGATCAGCACAGACTGATTTTCCGCAGGAGGTGCCAAATCCGGCAACAACCAAAAATTCCTCAGTGGAGCTTTAAAGATATGGTCCATTTTTCTGTTAACAACAACAGATCCGAGTCAGCTCAGTGCCTTTGTGGAGAAACCGACCAAAGACAGAGTTAAACTAACCACATAATTAACCACCGATTGCTGTTTAAAACACTCATCTAAAGCACCACAGTCTGAACATCGATGTCTCGCCAAAAGGGTTGAGCTGTCCCTAACCCTAACCCACTTAAATACTGACAAGCCCACTCACAAATCACAACCTATCCCTGTTATACTGAGGTTAGACTACATGGTTTTAGCGCCGTTATACTCTGATCCCACAGTGGTGAGGTATCTGGACACGTCAGGCCTGAACATTGATTGTTCGACTTGTGAAGTGTGTGACCAATCAAAGAAACGTCTCATGACCTTCAATTAGAAGTCTAGCATGGTGGATTTTTATCCTCTGGCTCTTAAGGCGCTGACATGATGTCGGTGACACTGACCAATGAGAGCACAGAGCAGGGCGGTCACTTTTTATCCCACATTCAAACCTTCATTTGAAGTCTGGAGGGAATCAGACTATAATGAGCCGTACGTGAGCCTCATACAAGTTTTAGAAAACAGATAGCCTGAGCATCTAGTGCTCTGCACGGGCAAAAGTCACGACTGTAAACAAACAAAAGTCACAACTGTGAACGAGAAAAGTCATAACTGTAAACAAACAAAATGGCGACGCAAAAGGAGAATAAAGAAGCTGGTGCGGCTCAACTGAACTTCAAAACAAAGGAAATGTTTGTCGAACTCTTACATGAACATCCCCACCTTTGTGATATGTTATTAATGGATGACCATCTTACTCTGAACAAACACACACAGATCAATATATACTAACTTTCATCTACACAGTACACACACACCAATACATTTAACTGTTACACCCTTACCTGATGGATGCACGCTGGATCACAGCTGGGCCGTGCAGGAACATCCGCATCTGCAAAAGGAAAAAAAGGAAATATTGAGAAATAGCAAATGCATTTTAGCCACCTGATCAGTAACTGTTAAGTTTTTCCAAGTGTTGTCTAACCCCCCCCCCCTGCCTTCCAGCAGCACCACAACGACCACCATATAGTTTGTTATGTGTCGGTCAGGTGATCCCATAATCTGACAGTAATTGTGACGATGGACAGAAAGATTATTTGGTCTGATCTCGGTGTAAGTTCAGAACTTTTAAACCTCTACGTTTGAAGTGAAACTCTCTTTAGCTTGGTCAGCGTTTGTTGTACACTGGTTCATTTTTGGCTGCTTGTGCAGTAGTGTCAAGGGTTGTTGTTGGCTCTGCCCTGCTGAGAAGACAGCAGACTGGAGTGATGAGATAACTGGTAACCAGTTAAGGAGTTAAACTAGATGCTGATCACCCTCTCCACAGAGATATGAGCAAAACCAGAACCAGAATCTCATTCTGCGTGCTGCACGGTAGTTGACCGGCTAATGAATCAGCGCCGGGCACAGATTGTGTAACTTTGCAGACACCTCAGACCTCTCCAACCCCACACTCCTCTCATCCAAATTTGTCACTTCTGGCTTCAAATGTGAACTTGAAGCTTGAAAACGAGCGCCCAGTACCAATCTGTGCCGTGCGTTAACTGTGCAGACTCTCCAAACTGGATTTGGATTCATCCGACGTTTGAACATGGCCAAGCCGAGGAATCGTGCAGGGGGAAAAAAGCGAGTTGAAAAGTTCATCTGGCTCCCTGCGGGCTATAAACGGCTGGTACTGACACATATTCTTTATCATATATTCATCTGCTCTTTCCCTCTGTTTTCATTTACTGCAGAGCTGCTCGCATTTAGCCTCAAATTCACCTAATTCACTTCTTTCTCTCTCTTCTTTTCTAGCTGCCTTTTTTTCTTATCTTTCCTTTTTGTCTTTTTTCTTGTCTCTTTGTTGTGGCACACACACGCACGCACACACACGCGCACACACACACACACACACAGTTTCTTCCATCTGTGCAGCAGGCAGCAGATTAAAAAGAGCTGGATCCCATTAAACACACATCACCTTCACGCTGCTGTGTGTGTCGTCATGTTCATACATACTGTATGTTTTATAGCACCTCCATACATGTGTGTGTGTGCATGTGTGTGTGTGTGCTGCAGAAGGATGATGGGGTAGCAATCGGAGGCTGGTTCATCAGGAGGTCAGACACACACACATACACACACACACACACGCTGAGCGGCTGCAGAGAGAGATGGATGGCAGTCTGAGGCTCCCTGCTGCTTTGGTAGGGAAATATATGGAGCCGGGGTAGCTATGGTGACACACACACACACATATATACGTACAGTACGCACACACACATGTGGAAACACACATACATGCAGGCGCACACACATGCATGCTGCTTTTCATAACAAGTGTAATGACTCATTTGAAACTGTTTAACACTGCGTATAAACACACACACACACACACACACACACACACACACACACACACACACACACACACACACACACATTGTTTCCTTAAACACTTTCATGTTTGTAAAATGATTGAAAATAAAATTACAGACAGCATGAATATGTGCAGTTTTCCAGATGATATAGAAATATAAATATTACGGAGCGTTATATTCGTTCTGTTTGTCATAAAGCTGTTTGATTTTCTGATCTGCAGCACCGATATTCATTATAACCTGCTATTTAAGTTATAATTTAAGTTATAATGACCGTGGGGCTCCTCTGATGTAAGCTTTAGTATGTATATATGTGTGTATTTGTGTGTATAAGTGTATGTTTCTACACAGTTTGCATCAGGATCCTCAGAGGAAAAAATACTGTATATTATTGCATTATATATGCAAGTAACCCAGGGCTGAGTACTGTTCCTATTTGACCAGTTTTGACCTGAAATACGTGAAGACATGATTCATTTAGCTCAATATAAATGTAATTGTGAAGCAGGGGGATGATTAAGCAGATACTGTTCGCTGTAGCTGAGGCGTTTTGGTAAACAGGAGACCTACACTTCAAGCTTCAGGTGTGACCATGTCAGGATCAGGTGGAGTTTTGAGCTATCATCTCAAGTTAAACTTTCTTTATCGGCGCTTTTAGAGTTAGTCATGGTGATGATGTACAAACTTATACACTGGTTACTGTACAAGACAAGTGAAGATTTAAAAAAACTCAAAAATTCCCACTAAGATTAAAAAAATCTCAGGGTGTATGTGTTGTCGTTATCGCAAAACTGTATAATCCCCCGTCATGTTGCAGCTACTTAGCTCTCTGACAGTACGTGCCCTCTGGCTGACCTTTGCCCTCTGCGTGACTGCAGCCTCACAGATTGACCTCAGATTGATTTCTGACCCCTGACTCCCCCAGGACTCTGCATGTGTGTGTGTGTGCGCACATACAGTAGGTGTGTATTGATTGGTACTGTAGCAGAAGGATCAATAAGATGAACTCCTCTGTGTGTTTGTGTCCCTGAACGCAGCTCGTTTCCTGTTCAACATCTGCGCTGCATAAACACCTCAACGTGTGTGTGTGTGTGTGTGTGTGTGTGCCTCATGCCTTTGATTGTCTGTGTGTATATACAGGTCTCACCGTGGATTACTCCCCATATATCATCCTGAGTGTGTGTGTGTGTGTGTGTGTGTGTGTGTGTTAGATTTCCTTTTGCACGTGCACAACACCTTTTCTTTCCTCGTCTGAAACCCGCACACTGATATCAAAGATTTTCTTCTATTTTTACATTTTTGCAACCAAATGTGTGTGTGTGTGTGTGAGCGCATGTGTGTGTATGTCTTTGACTCAGTGTGTGTGTGTGTGTGTGTGTGTGTGTGTGTGTGTGTGTATGGTATGTCTCCTTTGTGTTTGTGTGTGCAGCCCAGTCGTTCACTCATCCTCTCCTTCAACATTCCTGCTGAGCAGAGCAGAGGTCACTGCCAGGACAATCCACGCTGTGTGTGTGTGTGTGTGTGTGTGTGTGTGTGTGTGTGTGTGTGTGTGTGTGTGTGTGTGTAGGGCCTCCTCTGTCCAGGATGAAGGATGGAGGGAGGGAGGTGAAGGAGAGGTGAGCGGGTGACGGGGAGGAGGTCATCCCACGGTCAAATACAAACACCTCCTCCCCGCCGTCTCCTCCTCTCGCCCACTTCTTCTCCTCTTCCTCTCCACTCCATCTTCGCCTCCTCGGCCTTCATCCTTTTCCTCCTCCTCCTCCTCCTCCTTTCCTCCTCAGACACACACACACACAGACACAAACGCTGAAGCTATTTTTAGTCAGTGAAAGAAAGATGGAGGAGACAAACTTGTGAGAACGGATCTAATCTGGTTATCTGGTTATGATTGACACACACACACACACACACACACACGCACACACACACACACACACACACACACAGACATGGCCCAGAATGTGACCCTGAGCAGTAATGGATAAAAAATGAGCGACCTTTGACCCCGTCCTTCCCTCCTCTCTCTACAGTATCTCCCTCCTCTCTCCCTCTTTTACTCCCTCTTTTCGTCTTGAACCCTGCAGTGAACAGAAACCCTGTCTTCTAATCCCCCCACTCCCTCCTCTTCTTCTTCTTATGGTATTTATCTTGATTTTCACGTCTATAAAACTGTGTTAGAGCAAGAAACCAGAGAAGGGTGTACGCATATTAGCCAATCTACTGTTTGATGATTCAAGGCCTGATACCGGTACCGATAATGAGAGAGCAGGTTGGCTCAAAATAATAAAGTGTTCATTTGTTTGTTTGTTTACTGTTTTTTGGACGAAGGAAAAGATCTGAAAGTAAAAATTTAATAAATAAATAAGAAGGAAAATATTTGGCTGAGTAATAAAATACCTAAAAGGGACTTTTGACTTCAAAAAGTTAAATATTAGAAATAAAAAAAGTTAAATCCATTATTCCAAGCATATTCAAATGTCGTATACACAGTTATTATGGTCAGTAATTAACCAGTTTCGGTTTAAGACCATGTCTGAAGCTAAGTTAAACTCCATCAGTACAGAATTTACACCAAACATTAGTTTTAAATTAATTTTCTGTCATCGGGGATTAGAGAAATGTGTTTTTAAAAGATATCAGTGGAGTGAGAGCCGATGACGATTATTAAAAATGCCATTAATCTGGCCTGATTGAACAGCAGCCGATTGATTCTTCTTTCTCCATCCCTAACTCCAGAATAATCCAAAATGCAGTTTTTATTCCTAATTACTTTTTATGTTACATGTTGGTCATATTCAGCCAAATAATTTTCTTTCTTTTCACTAAAATCTGTCAGGAACAATTCTCTCTCTTTCACTTAATCTGATCATCTAACCTCGACTCTTCTCCTGCTAAATTACTGAGAACAGTTTAATACACACAGATTAAGATAAAATGAACATAAGGCCTGTACTGCTCTTTTACTACAGTTCGATACAGGATTATTAACTGTAACATCAGAGGAAAACATCAGCGTCTGTTATCACCTGGTTGTGACTCTCACTGACATTCAGCAGGAAAATAATCGTTTATGACAATAAAAGGAAATCCTGAAGGATTTGAACCTGCAGCAAACTTGTTCCAGATAAGATGCAAAATTTAACGCTGAACTCTTTAACCAAGTCAGCCTGTTAGAGAAACACAATGACTGTATTCAGACTGATAAGATGAGCCATGAGGGAACACTCAATGGATTTTGAACGTCTGATGGTCCAACACTAAGACTTCAGTCTCATTCTGTTAATGAAAACCACACATAAGAATTTATGTTATTAAAGAGGGAATTTTAGCCCTTTAATCACTACATTTTTATCACTGATGAAAACCTATAATTACAACCTTTTTTAATGAAATCTACAACACTGCTTGGTTAACCCCTCTGACACCGAGAAGTACAGGCTGGTCTGGTTATGATAATACAAGTAGAGAAATTAACTTTACACAAATACTCATGCCATATTTGTGTCACTTACACATCCGCAGGTATGTCTTACAATGTTCAGATGATTTATCAGCATGGAAGCTGCAAGCTTTTGTAACACATGAAGCAAAAATATGGAAGCCGGTAGAGAGACACAAAACAGGATAAGGAAAAACGTCTGAGGTCTGGGAGGGAAAATCTGTAAGACTGGTGAAGACATCTGAACATCTGCCTGTAAAAACCTGAATTATAGTGCAGCTCTGGAGAGTGAGAGTGATAAACGTACAACAGTTGACTGTAAGGATAATAGTCTGTTCACTTCTAATCAATATGAACAACCATTTGAGTTTTTCTGCAACAGTGCCCGATGGTTCTGCTTTAGAAATCACTAAAAATAAATATTAATTCAGAGTTCTGTCTGCCAATAAGCTTTTGTTTTTAGTCTTCTGGAGGATTTATAGACTCTAAAGTGGTTTCACTTTGTTTCATTTCAAAAATAAATAAACTTTAAAAAGACTTTTGAACTCTTAAGATACGAACTAAAATCATGTTTGAATATACAGAGGTATTACAAATCAGACACTGGTTAATATGACTGTCCTTTTGAAATACGATAATGACACATGAATAATTAAATAAGAAAATTATTATTTATTACCGCTAATTTAATTCTATTAATCACACAGAGAGTAATGATTAAAGGAGGTTATTCTGCAGCTGATTTATGAACAGATATGATGAGAGTATGACGAGCAGGACGAGGATGAAGATTATTTTAAATCCGAGATTTTAATTTACTGTTCCTGACCTTCACACAATTATTTAAATTTAATCAGAAACATTTTTTTTATTTTGTGAAACTTTAAAGGGAAAAAAAAAAAAATATTCCAAATTCTGGCTCTAACAGCAGACCTGGTGGATGTTTCTAGGCCTTTAAGCTGTGCGCCACCTGCTGGTCAAAGGAGTAAAAACATGTCCCTTCTTGTTTTCACTCCGCGGTCAGTCAGCTGACTCCCTGACCCAGAGACACTTCAGCAGTAAACAGCCACAAGTATGAGAGGTCAGAGGTCAGAGGTGATGAGAGACGAGCTGGTCCCTTTTATTTACTGACGGGACGTGTTTCTGTCTAAAGAGGAGGAATTATCAGAATAACACTGAGGCTGATAACTAGTTTACCTTAAATCATATCAGCTGAATGAAAGTGTTTTTGATTTATTTTAAAGCAAAATTCATCCATTCAATTACAATCATGTTAATTTTAAATACTGACTCTCCAAATAAAGGAAAAACAAATAAAATAGAAAACAGCAGGAAATAAAAACAGACTTTTTTTAAATAAAAGCAGCCGGACCAATACAAGAATATAAGTCAGTCTAATGTCAATATTATTTTAGTGAGCACAGATTCATACATTATAAATGCCACTGTTTTTAAAAAATAAAAAAATGTTTTGGAGATATATTTCATGACCCTGGCTGCATTTAAAATGTATATTTATACAAAATAAGAATTTTAATAATAAAATCATAATAAGGGAAATTAATCTAGAGTCAATCTTCTAATGTTGCTGCAGTCATCTTTAAATAAAAGCCTGATTCATCTCAAATTCACAGACAATAAATAATACTGAACTATTTGAAAGAGTATGTTCAAATTTAATTTTCCTAAGGCAAAAACTAAATATATTTTAATTTTAATTATTTCCTAATGCTTAAATATTAATTTATAGTGTTTTTATATATTTAAGATGTGAATAGAAAAAAGAGATGAGTAAATATAAGAATTCAAAAAGCCAAGAAAGTGAAAATAGGAATATAACAAAAATAAACCAGTTTCTTTTAAAGGATTTAGCCGTACAAATAATCATTTTTAAATCGATCTTTGACAGCACTTACTCATCACACATAAAACAAATGTTTTTTAAAAAACTCTATTTTTAATTTTTATAATGAATAACAGCTCAAAACATTTCCCAGAAGACGTTTAAAAATGCTAGATATTATCACTATTTTATTTCCAGTTATTTAACTGATTATTGGACAATGACAAAATAAAACAAATTCATTATATGTTCAATTTTTTATTGATGGCTGCACATAAAAATAAAATATTCAGTAGTTATTAAAAAGTGTCCTAATTTCAATGCTGAGAAAAATGTCGTTGATAAGAGATAGTCTGGGATAGTTTTCACAAGAGGGCAAAATTTGACTTCTTTAAATGAGAAAATTTGTTATCGGCGACAGCAGAAAGTTAAAATTAAAAAAGTTACCTCTTCTCTCTCGACCTAAACTAACTTAAGCTTCCAGATCTAACCCTGGAAATAAAACCTGACCTCTACAGTCTGACTGAATCCACGTTCAAGCAGCAGAGCTTTCCTGAAATTGCAACCTGCATCAAAACCAAAACACGTGATTCATGAAGAGTTTGTTTACATCCTCACAGCACACAGACCTTCACTTGTTTGGTCTGTTCTCTCTCTTTCTTCCTAATTATTAGAGGTGTATGGTTTTCAAGAATCTGATTCAAAACCCTGAACTATGATATTCTCGCAGGATTTCTCAGTGCAGGTGTCAGCCAGGGAAAGTCAAAGGTCATCCACAAACAAACACATAAACTGATTGTCTCTGTATGTTTCTGTCCTCTGAGCTGCAGGGCGTCTGTCTGCTCATCACACTCATCGATATCTCTGAGATGCTCACACACTCATCGTTGGAAAAGTCATAAGATTTCTTCCTCCTCTCAACAATGAGAGCAACATCATCAGAATCAGTCGTCTGCAATCAGCTCAGATCTTTACAAGGCCATGGAAAGAACGCTCCGCTCTGCTAGACTCAGACTCACATGGTTGGAAAGACACTATCAGACGCCCAAATATTCCTCTGAGCTTTAGTTAAAAACAGACAACAAACCCCTGACTATTTAATCCAGACCTTTGCAAGACATTTTGCAGAAATATCTTGTTCTGACTCAACCAAATGTCATTTCTCCCTCAAGCTAAGATGCTTGTCTGTGTCGAGGGTACAATATTTTATAATCCCCCAAACCCCTCCGTTTTTCTCCATGTTTAATCTGATGTGAAGATGCGATCACATGCCATCAGTGTCCAAGACTATTCAGAAAAGCAGAGGCACCAAGAGTTATGACAGGGGAGCTGCAGGGGGGCTGGATTTTCATGCAACAACATCATGTTAATAAAAGTAAAACACACGCACACAAGTCACTCACACATACAACTAAAACCACATCAGAGAACATCAAATTACACACTATGGTTCATAATAATAATAAGAAGTGCTTAGTGTTGAACTGGCAGCAGGGCGACACCTGCTGTCTGACAGGGGAACTGCACCCTGTAGTCTGCTCATCCTGCACTCACTGGTGTGTTATGTAATCTTAGAAGCATCATTCTTGTATTTACCTGTTTATTTATTTCTTCTAAGTATTTGTAGACAAAAAAGTTTAGAAAATAAAAAAATAAAAACAGACCAGATCACTTCTGAGATTTGTTTTTAATTTTAGAAATATTCTTCAGGACGCAAACAAGGATCGCTTTTATCTTAGTTTTCCATTCCTGTCCTCTCAGCTACTTTATTCCTTAAGTTTTATTGTTTTAGTATTAAAAATCTATTTTTCTGCAATTTATGGAGAATAGAGGACGGCCAAACCATTAAACAACATCTTTAAAATCATTTAATATACAATCATTAAATTAAGCCTCAGTCAGATGATCAAATATGGATGATTTTTGTGTTTTTATTGCTTCTCTCACTTATGTTCATGTTACTTTTTTAAATTTCTTCTTCTGTTAAATTTTATTCTGACATGTACAGGTTTTATGTTTGAATAATGAACATTAGTTCTGCTGGTTTTTATTCAGTGATGATGCTTTACTGACTTTTGTTTCTTCAGACTGTCTCTGAAAAGATGCAATAAATTTTTTCTTTAATTTGAGTAATTTTAGGAACTTTTAAAGACAGGAAGTGGTCAAACAAATTCACCTGTCTAGTTTATATTCTGGGGCTTAAGAAAGTTGGAGTATTTCATATTAGGGAAAATAGTTTTAAGCTGCCTGAAGGTCTTAAAAAAAGTACTAAATGTAATCTGAAGATCTTTACCCCCCTAGACCTCTGATTTTGAAGTTCACGTTCTTTGGTGACCCTCAAGCTTTAAAGTTAGAGCGCTCTGATGCGTTATTTGTACAAACACAGGTCCTAAAGGTTCATGTTTAATTTTGGGAACTAAATTGACTCATATTTAAGGTTTTGATTTGTTAAGATCAAGAGGAGATCTGTCATAACTGCACCTGATTATCCTGCGATGTAAAACTGTAAGAATACTGTCCAGATTTCAGGAAGCAGCTGCTCAGCCGTCACTTGAAGGAAACCGGTTTCTCATCCTTACATGCAGAGGAGCGACCTCGTCCAGTCCTTCACCGAGGAACCGTGACAGAAAAAAAGTTTGACGGATGGAACGGGAACATTTCGGCGCATCACTCAGATCGATGAGCGCGGCGGTCGAGTGCTGCGGCGCTGCAGCAGATCTAATTTTGAGAGGAGAAGTGATTCTGTGAAGGTTTGACATTAGAGAGTCAGAGAGAGAGACGGCACAGCCAAGGTTAACCTGCTGCAGGGCAGAGCCAGGGCATAAGGTCAAAGGTCAGGAGGTAAAAAGGTCAGAAAGGAGTAGGATAGAGGGATGGACTGGGCAGGAAGATAACAGTTTCAGTGACTTCTCTCCAACACTGGTAAAAGTGATGAAACTCCAACAAAGAGCGTCAGTGTTGGGTTTGTACGGACTGTCTCTAACAGAGGGTTACTGAACACAAAAATAAAACACACACACACACATTCAAACATGTCTCCCTCAGGCTGACCTCAGCATGACCCTAGAAGAGGGTGAGACGATGGAGAGGTCAAAGGTTAGAGAGTGAAAGAAACCAGCAAACTTGTTTGATAGAGTCGGAGAATCGTCCTGATTTAAACCTTCGTCGCCTCTTTATCCGTTTCTGTTTTTGTTTTTATCTCTGCTTTCTCTCCTGCCGTCTAACATCAGGTCACAGTTTGCACACAGACTTTTGTTTACTTCCTGTCTCCTCCTGCAGCCATCACCATAGCAACAGGTAGAGTATGACCTCTGTGTAACCTCACAGACATAGAAGTCTGAGTCTCCCCCCCACCCACCCTTCCCCTCAGAGTGGGAGTGAATCTGGGGTCAGGGCTGCGTTTAAAGGTCACCGTGCGGTCGGAGGATGATGGGACCAAACGAGGGACAATTCAGAGATTCTGGAACTACTCGAACAATTTTATCGACTTTATAAAATTTATGAGATCTTAATCTTTGTTTGTAAAAGCTCGAATTATTTTAAAACCACTGTTTGAAACAAATAACATATCAATAAATTCTTGTTTGTACCTCTGAATTTAAAAGCTCCAGATTTTTATGACTCTGATCATATTATTAAATATAAACTTTTGTGTTTTTACGCCTTTTCTCTATTCTTACAATTTTTAAGGCACAATAAATATTGAAATTACTGCAAGAGACTTTTTGTCACTGCTGCAGAGAAACAGGCTTTAACGGCTGCAGTGTATTCCTGATGAAGAGTGTGCACAACCAAAGCTCATCCACTAAATATACTTATTTTTCCTCACTGATCGTCTCAAACTGTTATTCTAAGAGTTTGACAACATCACAGAGAGGATCCCTACAGAGATGGACTTAAATGTGGGAGAGGTAGAGCCTTATATTGGACTAAAAACAGCAGCTCTTCCACCACCATAAGACAGTTCACCCTGCAGAACACTGAAGTTGCTCGTCTACTTCTGTCTGGACTGGTTAAGTTTTTGCATCTTAATCAAATTAAACATGAATATCACTTTCCCTCTAACACACAAAAAAGTATCAGATTGGTGGAAAAAGTCAGTAGACCAGCGCCTCAAATGATGACATGTGTCTGACAGAATCTATTCCATTTGCAGGGAGAAATCTAACAGCTGCATCTGGCTAAAAAATATCCCACCTTAAGAGAAAAGCCCATTTCTCTGTCGGAGTCCTTTCTGTAATGTATTCAGACACTCAGAATAACAAATATGACTTTCATTGTTAAAACAGGATCACAATCTGACAACAAGAACCTTTGGTGGTCATCAAGAGTCGCCCACAAAGATTTCTTTGCAGTCGTAACAAACTATTTCAGTGCTAACTGGAGAGACCCTCATGAGTAATTCAGAAACTTTTTGTCATTCTCGTAGATTTTCACATGTACCTTTGTCCTCGATCACAGTCTCAGTTAACCCTGATGTTGTGTTCAGGGTCCAGGAGACCCCAGCTCTTATATTACTGCATCACCTCTTATTTGATTGGAGTGTTTTTACAGTTTGTTCATAAGAACTCTGACCAGTTTAACCTCTCCTGGGTCCAACTGACCCCGCACAATAACAACAGTAATATCACTCTGGAAGAAATACTGTCCATGTCTCTGTGTGTGAGTGACAGCAGGGGACATTAAATGAATGTTTATTGGCTTGTATAACACAGACGACAGTAAATGTAACCTGACAGGTTGTAATAAGGAGGAAGACTTTGTTGTCATTACAGAGTGAACAATGAAATCAGCTTTAAACTTTACACACAGATAAAAGTGTGTTAAGATAAGACAGTGATGTGTGATTGTACACACACAAACACACACTGACAAGACACTCACTTGAGATTTTGGAAAGCCAGTTTAGCCCCACAAAATCAATGTTCTGCCTCTCTAAGATGCCAAAGTTTCCAGTTTCTGTCTGTTCTGAGGCCATTGAACTAAAAGTGTAGTATGCCAAGTTGTTACTTTGACCAGATTGCAGCCTTTGCATTCAGAAAATCTAATTCCATCATAACACAAATGCAATAATCATTCAGTCCACCACTTCACAAATGATTCCACGCAAGACTGGGTGCAGCTACAACCTGTCCTCGCCTGGCTTAGCAGCAGAGGTGGCCAAAGAAAAGTGCAACACAAGAGAAATATGTGACTCGTTTTAATCCTCAATGGTGCACTCGGCTCCCGCAGACCAACACAAACATCAGCTTTAGAAAATAATTCGTAGGTTACTGTTTGGGATGAGAAACCTGACACCGTGCACAAGTTAAAGCACATCCCCCAGAGAAATTAAAGTGCTTTTAGGGAGTCCCGCTTGGCGAGTGTGTACTTCATTATTGTCGTAATTATGGTAAATAAAACAAATCTGATTTATAGAGCCAGATTAAACCGACGTGAACTTTCCGTCTCTCTCTTTGTTCGCTCGCTCTCTGTGGAATAATCTGAGAGGTCCAACATCTGCTGTTACCTCACACACACACAAACACACACCGGGAACAGCAGCTTGCATCTTCACGCTTGCAACACACCCAGTCACACTCTGCAGAAACACACACGCAGTCCGAGATATTTACGGGCTTTTGTTTCCTTTGTTAGAGACTCGGAGCGAAACTGAATTTCTAACTCGCCCTTGCTCTATCGCCCTCTCTCACTCTCTCTCTCTCCCCCCCAAGTTGTTGCCATGGAAACAGAGCATCATACAGCGTTTCACCTTCGGAGCAAACACACACACACACACACACACTCAGACAGCTGTGAAGCGGCCGTGCGCTCTACAGACGTGGAGTTAAATGTGTGAATGGAGAGCTGTAAATTCACCACAGAGAGATTTACAGCTCACACACACACACACATGCACACACACGCACACAAACAGAGAACAGGAGGGGGGATTAAACGGGTGGAGTAAACAGGAGCAGTGTGTTAGGAGATTTTCTTCTCTTCCTCTCACTCAGGAATTTTAAATAAGCTTTAAAGGAACAGTTCAACATTTTAAAAACACATGTATCCTATATTTTAGGGTTAAGAATTATACTTCATTTACTACCTGTTATTGCATACTGTTATTTTCAGTACTGCAGATGTTTGTAGTCAGTCTGTAGGACTAATGTAACAGTACTACCTACTCAGCAATGTTTCCTCTTACACTAGTTCCTTCAAAATACAACATTAGAGTCCAAATATTGACCATTTCCTATGCAACATCAACCCATGTTTCACATGCTGGACAGCTGGAGCACACGCCCTCGTACTTATTGAAGTTTGGATGCAAACTAAGCAAAAGTCAAGGGTACTTTGTCAAATAAAAAAGTCAAACAAAAGAACTTCATAATGGGCTTTCTGCATTTTAAAAACTGTGACTGGAGCAGTGCACACAAACCGAAATGCCTGCTTTCCTAAATCTGAGCAGAATCTAGTAAATATCTACTTTATTATATCCAACAACATTTATTAAGGCTCAATCTAATCTCTCACTTTGACTTTCAGTGCGTATGAGCTGTAACTTTACCTATCTTCTGTTCCTTAGGTCCAAAACAACTCTTGCATCCCTCACATGAATTCAAAATAAACCCATAAATGCCTCGACCACGTTGACCACAAACATCAGCTTCATCTTACTGTACCAAAATTATGTAAAAGCACAGCCTTTAAATACTTAAGCCTCCATAATTAAAAACTTATGATTAACTGTAGTAAATTCAGACATGCCAATGTGTTTCTTTCAAAAACTAATGTTAAAATCACAGCAAAACTTCAATTCATCATTCAGACCTTTTAGCTCAGTGGTTCCCAACTGGTCTCACTCTGGGACCCACATTTTCCCATGGACAAACTTTGTGATCCACTTTTATAAAATTCAAACCAAGCAAATTTATCTTATAGAAGAAAAAAACTTTGAAGACTCAAATCTTTGACATAAATACACCTTATATGTTGGGTAAAGTGCATTTCAGAGCACATAAACTGAGGACGACAACTACTAAAGTTGCGTATACAGAAAACATCAAACTGCACAAAATCTGACTTATTTGCATCTCTGCATTCAGAGCATATTCAGAAGAACCTGAGGAGGACAAGAGTGAATAAATATCAAATTAAGAAACGGAGGAGGACCACGACATAATGCGTGACTATCAAAATTAGCTAGTTTCCATGATAAAAGACAAATTAGATGCACATCAAATATTTACGTTTTTGACCAGCTGTTCCCGACCCATCCAGAACGTATCCGTGACCCACTTTTGGGTCGGGACCCACCAGTTGAGAACCACTGATCCACAGTACATAATATCATTTTAAGATTCAGCGGATCTGGAGAAAGCTCTGTACTAAAGGGACAAGGACCAAAACCAGGACTGGATGGTCAGAGCGTTAAAAACAGACCGGACTCTGGAGTGGAAATCACCGCATTGAAAGGACAACTCACTTTTGGGTCGCAACCCACCAGTTGGGAACCGCTGTTTTAGTATGTACACACCTACAACACTCAAAATAAAACTGCACCACCTTATTCCAGAGTTTGACCACTTAAATATTAAACTTTGAAGAGATATGATTTACAATGACAAGATTTAAATGCCAACTATTAAAAATAAATCACTCAAAGGAAAAAAAATGAATAGGCATGACCCTTCATGTTGTTTTATGTTATAACTTACATTATAAAATGAATAATTTATCCTGTTGACCGGGTAAACTGGATTACAGACAGTTTTAACACATTATACAGCCAACAGCAACAAAAGTCGACTCCGCTCCAGCAACAGATTCAATGATTCCGAAAATTCAACCACATTAAAACACGAAATATAAAACAGAAACCTGAGTATTATCGCTTCTCCACACACCAAAGTATCAGAAATTAAAGCCTCTGTGGCTCAACAACACCAACAACTCAGAGACTGCTAGCATAAGAAGCTAGTAACGTCTTTGACCGTTGCCATGGAAATGACGGCAGCGAACGCTAACCAGCAAGCTAGCTAGTTAGCTAACGTTAGCCCCAAACACACAGCGGTGCGATTTATTTTCAGTTCGTACTCACTTTTAACGACGTAGCTCTGTAAAACAGCCTCCTTCATCCTCCTCTTCCTCCAGGTAAGCAGGTTAAAGTCCTTCTTCAACACCTGAGCCGTTAATGTCCTCACTCGCTCACTGACTGTCGGCAGCCTATTACCGTCCTCCATTTTTTCGCGCTCAAAATTCAAATGTCCAAAACAAGGTGCGCATCCGCGAGCCGCTGCTTCTTCTTCGTTTAATATGATTGGCGGTTGACAGACTAGCACTGACGCGCATTACCGCCATCTACCGGTACAGCCGGAGAAATCTGAAACTTGCGGTCAGTAAACAGGAGGAAAAGTCTGAGAGGCTGTTTCTGCCTGATGAAAACAGATTAATACTTAAACTAAAGAATTAGAAAATAAATAAAGAGAGAGAGAGACTTTGCTTTGCCTCAGTGAAAAATAATCTTAAAAATAAAGTCAAGATTATGAGATAAAAGGTCAAAGTTTTATGCAAATAGATGAGAAGTAATGAAATAATGAGACACCATTATAAGATGAAATAAAAATTATTATATGGTGAGTCATAAATATGAGATAGCAAGTTATAATTCTTTAATAAGAAGTTAAAATAACTTGATGATAGTCAAATTTACAACATAATAAGACATAATAAAGGGATAAAAAGCAAAATTTATGATAGCATGTCATAAGTATGATAAAAAAAATCAAAACAATGAGATTTTTTTAAACATAAGTAATATTTATGGTATTAAACAGTATGACTATGACCTAATTTTAACTTTTTGTCCAAGAATTTAGATTTTTAAGACATATTTTTAACTTTTAATCTTATTTTATGACTTTGAATTTATAGTTAGGACTTTTGTTTACATAATTTTGCAACTTTAACTTATAGTTTTAACTTCTTCCATAATTTTAGTCCTCATCTCTAAATTTTGACTTAATATTCAGGACTTTAATTCATTGAGGCCAAGTTTCTGTCTGTTTAATTTTATTTGCAGAAATGTACTGCCATAAACAGTAGACAAACTCTTTTATTAAAGCCTTTAAAGATAATATTAATCAAAAACAGCCATTAATCTAAATTGATTTTTAAAAAGTAGGACTACATCATTACATTATCATACACTGTCGAGCAGTTTTAGTTTCATTTAGTCGGCTGTAATCCAAAGATTTAGACTGATATCTCTAAGGTTTCCAGGTTTGTCATCATATTTCTACATCACATTTTTCATAAAAATACTTACAAGATTAAAACTAAATATGATGCTTACATAAAAATGTCCCCACTTTGTTTACATCTGCCTGGACTTTGTCAGCACATCTGTGGGTTCTGTGGAGTCTGCCTCTCTGTTTCTCATTTCAGGTCCATCATAAAAATAGTTTCTCCGGTATGACTGATGGACGGTCATTTTTCTGAAAGCACTTAAAATCAAAGTCTGGTGGCGTCTCTTCTGGCATGACTCAGCAGAGGCTCAGTTTGTACAGCTGCAGGTTTTTGGATCAGGTGTTCTGATGTTTCTGATTGAATTTGTTGAATAATTGGTTTATTTTACTGTGTGTGTGTGTGTAATATTATCAGACTGATTACCCTAGACAGACGTGTCACCAAGCTAGAAAAATGGGTTGTCGACCTCTGAAAGCCGAGTCTACTAACTAAAGTTTTACGGTAGCAGCACCATGATCAGGTCAGGAGCTTCTGGTGACCAAACTTGCATCATAAGAGAATGAATACTGGACTTATAATACAGTATTTAATGTAAACAGCCCCCTAATAATGTCATTTTCTAGTGTATGAACATCTCCAAATCAACCTCCATCACTTCCCTGTTTACACTCAGTTCATTCTGTGTCCTCTCAACTCCCTAAACTCTGAATTTCACAACTTAAAGCAAAGTTAAACAGAGTTTTTCAGAGATGCTTCTGTCTAAATTGAGGATAAAAACATTGAATCAGATACATATGAAGAATAAAAACAAGGATAAACTGCTGAAGTGTCTGGTTTCTTGTTTTTCAGGTTATTCCGTCCGACAGCTTCTCAAACTGAGCAGTTTTATAGAGACAGATGCAGATCAGTAATCACCATTAATTTAAGTGCTTTTAAAAAGCTGTAAACACATACAGACATGACTTTTATAACTTCCAGTTCGACTCGCGGAGAGGAGGAGGTGAAGGAGGCGATTAGAGAGGCTCGTGTGAATCCAGACAGCGAGGCAGAGAGGTAATTATTACAAAGATTACTGCTCTTTAAGCGAAACAGAAGCTGCCAGCGTTCACTAACCTTTTACAGCTGCAGAAAAAATTCAAAACGACAACTTCATGTGCAGAAACAAGCAGAGAGAGGAGCTTTTTAACAAGATGGAGACGGATCGAGAGGGAGGAAGGTGATTATTGTGGGTGTTATTGCCTTTTAAAGGGGCATTACGCCAAGTGTTATCGCCCCACTGTGCGCTCTCTTTGGAGCCATTGCACTGCTTAACACCGAGAGTGTGTGTGAGTGTGTGTGTGTGTGTGAGTGTGTATGAATTTGGGAGAGAAGTTGTGTGTGACATAAAAACACTATGAAGCAGGATCAGGTGGTGTTTGCCCGCTCTAATTATTCAGTCACCTTTCTGATGAACACCTGTCTTCATGAGCATCATCATCACTTTCATGCTGCTCTGTGAGGCCTCAGTTAGTATCCGAGCTTCAAATCTTAAAGCTCCTGTCAGGAAGTTTGAGTTGGAAACAACTTTGTCGCCCCAAAGATGGAGCGGTACCTAAAAAACTTTGCTGCTTCTGACCTGTACAGGTGAGAGTTGTGTTTTCTGGTTAAAGTAATAATAATATTAATAAAAATCAGGGTTTCCTTCTCAGTTTAAGAACGCGCTCACACACACTCGTCCAGGAGTCTTAACCCAACAAGCATGTTTTTGGGACGGTGGCTAACAGGTCTGACCAATCTGCAAAAACCCAGATGTAAACACACGTCTGCTAATCTGTCAGCTGTTGTTTATCAGAGTTACTGTAGTGACTATGCTGACCTGAATTTTAGTCACTGTCTGGGTGAGGGAGTGAGGTGTTTTTGACGCGCTTCTGGTACAATCCAATGTCAGATTAAAATCAAACAAAAAAGGACAGATACGTCCAAATTACGACGATGGTGATGTAGGTGATGAAGGTGAGAGTGGTGTCGGACATTAGCGGTAAAAACCGTGTGCTCTTCCCATTCCCCAGATCACTGCTTCACCTGTGTCCCTTTTGTAGCATTTACCTGCCCATTCACCTGAAGCGCCCCCTTGTGGTGATTGTGCGAATAACAAAACAAAATCCAAAACATTATATATATATAAAGTGGCTCATACAGTTACTTTTTGAAGAGTCATTGTAAACATGAACATTAATGTAAGAAAAATATAACTTAAATCCTAAATCAGACACATCTGTATTATGTTGGCTGTGAACAGGCGGGAAAACTTTCACCACCAACTGGCAGCAGTGAGTCACTGACTTAAACTGCAGGGGTCGGTGCAGCAGTGGAAGCATACTTGGTTTATTTATAGTTATTTTGTTCACTGAGTCCAAACCTGCTCTTACTACATAAAACGGATCACAAACAACTTGAGCAAAGAGAACAGGGAGAGACGACTCATGGCTCATAATGTAAATAATGTGTTTGGATTAAATCATAAACTGTGATCGCAGCAGTTGGGGTTTTAGACTTTCAACAGGTGCTAACGTCATGATAAACGTTAACTTTGTTTAATTTGAACATGACTTAGAGATTTCCTGTTATCCTATTTAACTGTTAGCGGTTCGGGTGCACCCCATGTACACAGGTCATGCTTCAAATGGACAATCTAGGTTCTATCTCAACATGTGGCGCCCTTCCTGCATGTAACTCCCGCTTTCTTACACCATTTACCACTTTTTCTTCTGTCCTAATTCGTCACACATAAAGCCCAAAAGAAAAGAAAATGGAACGTTTTCGATCTACTTTACAAATCTCAAAAAGTGTGTCGCTTATCCAACAATGACGCACATTCAAAAACAAGAGCAGAAGTCCTCAACAAATGCAACAACTGAAACACACAACTAATGAAAAAGAAAGGGACACTAAAAGAAACAACGTCAAATATAAACCTTTAAAAAAAAACACAAACACAACATGGACAAGCAAAAGAAAAACACAAATCAAGACATGGCGGCTGAAGTACTTTGAGCCTATAGGGGGCGCTCATCACTGACAGGAAAGATGAGAAGTTCAGTGTGTTAGAGGACCAAACCTCACTGACTTTTGCAGCAGATTTATCCAGACGAAGGTTGCTGCACATCACTCAGCTTCACTGGCATTAAAGGGATATTCTGGCGTAAAATTAAGTTAGGGTCAAACACACCGTAACCCCGAGTTATCCTGCGGTCGTTACTAAAGTTGGTTTAACTAGAGAAGCAAGCTGTCGGCAACATTCATCTCTTGAGGGGGTGTCTAACTCGGTGTTATGGTGTGATTGACCCTAACTTAATTTTGTGCTGGAATATCCCTTTAACACTCCAGCCTATAAGAGGATGCTGAAGTACACAGAGACACGCAGAGAGAAGATGTGGCTCCACACAGAAAGGCCGCTGTCAGAGTTAAGGTTCGAGCCAGGACACCCACGATGGCACCACCACACTTGGTGTTTCCAAACCTGCTGTGTCTTCAGTTCAGGATGCGTCTTTATTAGTCTCTCTTATTCGACATTAGATTTTGTTTTGCCGAGTTCTCCTCAGACAGAAATAAAGTGAAGGTCCTTTCCTAACCCTAACCTCTTAAAGACTTTCCATCTTCACCCTGAACATAAACATGCCGACCAACAGTCAGAAAAGTTTGACTCATGGAAGCATCAAAGTGCATCAGTGCATCAAGTCCACTTACAGAGTGTCAGATTGACTCTTAATGACACGGAGATGACTGGACTGGAAGTCTTGACCTGACTTCACAGACTGGGAGGGCTCCAGGGTTCTGCAGACGGACTCAGAACCAGAGACAGACGGACGGACGGAGGGACGGAGACAAAAACACAGACAAGAGGAAACACAACCGTTATTTCTCTGTGTCTCTTCCTCATCCTCCTTTTCTCATCTTTCAGCCCTGTTTTTCCCCATCCTCTGTTTCCCTCTCTCTCCGTCTCTCTCCGTCTCTCTCCAAATGCAAATGGAGTGGAACGAGTGTATTTGTAGCCACGGCAACAACAACATTATCGTTAATGGTCGCTGCGGAGACGCTGGAGCTGTAATGGCTGACAGCGCCCTGTCGCCGTGGGTTACCAGCTGGGTCTCAAAGACAGACAGACACACACACACACACACACACACACACACACACTCACACACACTCACACACACACACACACACTGGATGAAAGCAGTGTGTACTTCTTTCATTCAAATCCACTTTGCATTGATTTTGCAGTTTGGCTGAAAACGCAACAACTCCACGTCTGTACCTCCGTGGCTCCACCTAAATCAATCACACACACACACACACACACACACACACATAGAGTGCTGGTGACGCCAGGCTGGTATCAGTACATTGGGTCAGTATTGAACTCAAACACTAAGTAACCTCATGTCTGTCTGTCAGTGTGTCTCTTTGTGTGTCTCTCCCTTGTGTGTGTGTGTGTGTGTGTGTGTGTGTGTGTGTGTGTGTGTGTGTGTTTGTGTGTGTTGTTTTCCTTTTTCTGCAGAAAACTCTTCATGCACAAACTTTTCTGAAGTTTTTTGGAGTTGTTGGCCGATAAAAAGTGAACTCATAGCTCCCTAAAAGTGAAGCCAAAGTATCTAGAGCTCCCCCTGGTGATGTCACAATATAAGTCATAAGCTCCGCCTCCTCCATGTTAACAAATGCGACATGGTGCAAACTCTAAGATCAAAATACACATTAAATAAAATGAAGTTTGTTCTTATCATGCTGATTTATGTTTACAAGGACAGGTGTACGCTGGACTCTTCAGGAAGTGGAGTCATGATGCAGCCGGCCAGCAGGGGGAGCTCTAAGTGTTTTGGCTTCAGACAGCAGGGGAACAGAGGGGGCACCACACTCTACTAAAAGCGAAAGTTTCTCACAGGAGCTTTAAAGACATATAATTTTACTTTTAATGAAACTTTTTAAATGAAGTGATTAAAGACTTACATTAAAGGAGATTAAACCTTATTATTTATTGCACATTTAAAAAACTAACTCGATGGTTTGAGCTCATTTTAACGCCTCACTAGGATTTTTGCAGAATCATCTTATCAGTCAAGGTAAAATAATTAATCTCACCTCTGTCCGTCTCTTCCTCTAGTTTAATATAATTTAAATAATTATCATTTTAACGTCATAAAAGTTCAATAATTGTTCTGATTCATTAATATATCGAAGAATAATGTCACTTTCTGCAGAGTTTGACTTTACCTGTGAACTTTATAAAACACACTCTCACACACACATTTATACAGTAACGGTGACCTCAGTGTGAACTTTAGCTGCTCGACCCTGAGAGAGAGAGAGAGAGAGAGAGAGAGAGAGAGAGAGAGAGAGGGAGGGACCGATGAGAGGGGCGATCGAGGCTGACTGAGTGTGTGTGACGGAGAGAGGGAGTGAAAGAGAGAGAGAGAGACAGGAGGACGCCGCTGTCTCCATCCTTCTCACACACTCTTTCTGTCCGTGTGTGTGTGTGTGTGTGTGTGTGTGTGTGTCTGTGTGTGTTTAAGTGGATAAAGAGGGTCAGAAGTTATCACACACACTCCTACTTTAAATCCTTGACTTTACTCCTCCTCCTTGTCTCCTTCATCCTTCACTTCATTTTGTCTCCTATCTCATCTCCTCTCTCCTCTGTGTTACTCCCTCACTGTTTCCAATCCAATCTGAACAATCTCTGAGTAAATTCAGGTCCATATTTCCAGAAAAGAAGAAATATCTGATCTTATATATTTATTAAAGCAGAATAATCACATTCACTCACTCATGCTCTACATTATTCCTGCTCACAGGTACAGATGATCTCTGTTCTCTTTGTTGGAGTTTCTGCACATTTTAGCTGCTGATTAACCTTCACAGAAACACCTGAACTTCACTGTAGGGCGATGTTTTGGAAAATACCAGAGAGGTTACCATCGAGTCTGTCTGAAGATAAACACAATCAGTCCAGGTTCAGAAACTCTGAATTACTGAGTCGGACTTTTAAAAACATGTGAACACATAAGTCTGACTGAAATAGCTCTAGAATGCGCGTCCCAAAGCTGGACAAACAAATCTCAATAATGTGGTTTAAGGATCAGTTTTATCTTCAGTATATGCTCAGTCCAACTGAGCAGCACAGATGTTTTGTTATGAAACAGGAAAGTGAAAGTAAAAACTCGACAGATGAAGAAAAGACGAAACTCTCCGATCATTCAGAGAAACGGTACAGAGCTGTAAAAGCGACGGTGTTCTCATCATTCAGACATGTTTTGTCGATTGTTTTGACATATGATAGGTGACTGCCTTTGCATGTCGCCCCCTACTGTAGCGGAGGTGGACGTGCTCCTGTCAGTAATCCGGTTCTTGTGTGGTTAGCAGAGGAGTTACATCGTCTAATGGAGCTGTAACTTTAAGATTCAGTGTTAAGTATTCCTATTCGCTTTCATTGCACACTGTTAAAAAATATTCGACTCTGTTAATGATGCTTTAAGGACTCCAATCTTCACATTCAGTGGATTTTCTCAACCACAAAGGGTTAAATCCTCGACCACTTGTCAGGCGTGGACCTATTTGAGGACATGAATGAATGAATGTGAATGAATGTGGATTTTTAGCAGGAGAGTTGTGTGTTTTTGTCTCCATATCAGTTCGATATGAAAATACTCAGTTTACAGACACAGAATTTCCTCCATGTTTGTTGTTCTTCACTCTTCCTGTGTGTTTTTGTTCCATTCACTCTGAAAATAATGTCTCTTTTTAACACACTGATTCATGGTCTCTACTATAACAGACAGAAACATCACTCCCCCACTGAAATGAGATATTTTAAAAAACAAAAACAAAGTTATTGAGATCATTTTTTTACTATTTTGAAATAAAAACAAACATTAGAAATAAATTCACTCTTAGATTTAATAATTTATGAAAGGTTCAGGTTTTGGTTTTCAGTCTGGTATAAATAAGAGGACTCTGACTCGCCTCTAAAGCCCGGATCCTTCAGCGCCCTCTTGTTGTTATTTATATGACCCTGCTCTCTAATGCTGCTGTTATAGACGGCTGTCTGATTCCCCCTAATGGTAAAAACCATATTATGTATTCGTTTACATTATGGACGGCGTGATTTTTATGCCTCTTCAAATATTTTGGGAGCCCCAAAACGCCCCCGGGGTCCCGGCTGCTGGAGCCGTGCAGAAATATCTCCCCGCTTAAAACACACTAAAATATTGAAGGCGAGTTTTTAATGGAGCGTACGGCGCTGAATATGATAGAGAGAGAGCGAGAGGATCAATCTGCTGTTTTTACGACGGAGGACTATAAACATGTCGGCTGTAAATTGTTTTGGAGATGCTGCCGCTCTCAGAGGCTGCTACAAGAGAGATAAATGTACACACACACTCTCTCACACACACACACAGGCGTACACACACCTATGCAAACAGTATTAAAGCTGAGCCAAACCTATTATCACCTCTTACCCTCCTCTTAAGATTGCTTTAAAACGATGACATTTCTCAGGCTGCTTTCTGTGTCTGCAGAATTTTGCAGGCGATGTAACGGAGTTCACACCGACGCGCCGTTTACCGCCTGTTTTTAGTTTCTGCACGCATTAGCTTCTGCATTTATCCTGCAAATATTACAGTAATATTTTTGAACCAAGTGTTGCATTTTTGCTGCTTCATCTTTTTAACATCCCTGCAAAACATCTTCTAAAGAGTGATGCACGATATATATCCGGCAATCGGATATTAGCCCAACAATGGGAATATTTCATAACTTATCGCTCAGGTTAAATAGTTTAAACCAACAAAAACAAACAATTAAAGTCGCTTATTTACAAGTAAGTGAAGGGATGACATGAGTACAATCTGCAGAATACGAGCCACAGGTGTTAAGAAAAGTCTAAGTTTACACTGGGTTAGTTTAGTTAGCAGAGACGACCAACAGCTCAAGCAAATGCCAATAAAAAAATTTCTAAATTCACCAAACTCGATGACCTCTCCTCTCTCTGAGACCGGACAGACAAACAACCTGTTTTCAAGCTCTGTCGTCCCAGATCCCAACAAATACACAACACCGACATGTCCTGAACTGTGTCACTTTATTCAGATTTAACCAAAAACGTCTCATTGTATAACATGGAGGAGTTTTATGTTAATTACTGACACCTACTGGACAAGTTCTGTGCTGCGCTCCCTCATATTCACATGGAAATAGACCAGAAATAGACAGCTTGTTTGCACGCTCCGGCTGGTTACTGTGTTCTTTTAGTGTCTCGATCCCAGTCCCACCAGTATGATGCATCATGCCTGCAAATTCTGCAAACATGTCAGTCCACGTCTCTGCAGAGGCGGTTGCTGTTTAAACCAATAGAAAAGCATCAATCTGTGCAGCTGATCAAACTGACAGGACCTGCAGAGTCATTGCTCTGATATCAAAACTCGACCACACCACGAGTTCAGTCATAAAGAAACATCGGCGCGAACTTTAACCTGCTTCAGGAGCAGCTGAAAACTCCTTACAGGAGCTTTAATTTAACTCACTGTGAGGAGTTTCCACGTACAAATGACTCAGGTGCTTTTAATTCACTTTACTGTATAGTTGTCCTTTTATTTTTAAAGACATATTGATAAAGGTCTTATTTTACCCTCGGTGTTTTTACTGTTTTTACTTTCATCTACATGAATTTTCCTGATTATTACCTGCTGCATCCTTAAATAAACATGAGGTTTCAGGAGTTTAATGCACATGTGGAAACAGTTTCAGGTTAATTCTGCAAACTCTGAAAAAAAAAAGCTCTGAATCAGCAGATCTGAAAGGTCAAAGGTCAAGATAAGAGTAAAGCACCAGGGTTACTTTATGTTAGTTTTATATTCAGCAGCTGTAAGTATTACATAAAAATTTACAACCTCACCTGTGTGCTTTTTATTACATTTAATATGTAGATATGTAAATATATGTATGTGTGTGTTTATTTACTGCAACACACACACACAAACACACACACACACACAAACACACACACCCATAGATAGATAGATAGATAGATAGATATTGAAGGAGTAGATGTTGCTAAGGAGTGATGTGTGGTGTCAGAGCGCCTCCATGTGGTCAGTCAGAGAAGCTCACAGCAGTTTCAGGGGGTCAGCAGTTTATCCTCATATAAGCCATCTTTAATAATCTATTTAAATAAAAGTTAGTTTCAGTTTCTTTTTTCTTGACTTCTGTTTAAAATTCCTAAAATGTTGTTTTTTAATAATAAAATCATTGAAACATGTTTCCATTAAAACTGTTTAATTTTGCTTATTTATTTTATTTAATGTAAAACTACCACATATTTTCATTTTCAGCACACTTCTTTTAGTGTTCATTATTAACGTCTCTTAATAATCTGGGATTTTTGTTTAAAATGATTGAGTCCATAAAAAATGTATTAATTATCAAAAAAGTTCTTTTTTTTCTGCAGTTATAAGGTATTATTAGTATTATTACTAGTAGTAGTATTTTTATATTAAAATTCAAACTTTTGTCCCCGACAGTTTAGAAGTAAATATTTAAGGTGAGCTGCAGTCTGATCTACAAAAACATCATAAAAATCCTTTTAAGGAGAGTCATCTTCAAAAAATAAATATCAAATATGCATTAATAAGATTATATAAACCTTAATTGATCACATTAATGGATAATTTACATGATCAGCAGCAAATAGTAAAAAAAAAATGTATTTAAAAATGACGCATCATAGTGAAAACACACAGTTTGAAAATTAAACAAATGAGTAAAATTCATCAAAACTAGGAAAGAAATCTTTCATGCGTTTTAAGAGTCATAGTAGTTTTATTCATCAGTACATATATTTATGTATTTTTTAAAAACCTGAAATCTAAAGTTGTTTGTGATCCTGAACTGACTTTCTGGATTTAATATAGTAATTTCTAATAATTTTATTCTATTCAAAATTATTTTTCACAGTTTTTTTAGAAGTTAAACGAAGCTGAAAGGTGAACATGTGTGAGAATAATTTTAACTTTTTTATAGACAGAAAAAAACAAACAAATGTGACAAACTGAAGAATATCTGATAGACTGATCACAGGATAAATCAAATGACTCTAATGATTATCTCCCATAATTAAAAGTCCTTTGACTTTTATTACCACAAAGAAAGTTGATAATGATTTTTTATTCATGAGTAGTTTAGTTCAAATAAAACCTTTGAGCCAGTTTTGAATTTTAAACATGATAAAGTCAGAAAACAAAACAAAATCAGCCGCTCTTAAATATTAAAGTTGTTTTATCCTGCACAAACACCACAACATGCTAAAGAGGGTTTTTATTTACTTTCACTGACTCACTCACAGTTTTTAAACGTTGTTTTGGCCGAGTTCACTTTGTGCACGTAAATCTGCTCCTCGCTCTGAGTCACATGCACTCTGACCTCGCCTCTTCCTAAAAGACGGGACCTTAATCTGGTTCAGGACCACATGTGAGGGCACCTTAAATCTAGAGACACATTTTTTTCCAATCCAATACCAATACCCGGGCTGAGTGTATCGGCCGATATCCGACTCTGATCCAGTCGTACTGTTGAGTGAATGAACTGTTTACCTTTCTCTGTGAGTGAAGACATCAGGGTTGACATCAGCCTTGTTAAAGAAAAGGTCACAAATTATCACAGATTTAAATTGACTTAATATCATTTATTAACGAATAACAAATTGCGCATCAGCACACAGAAAAAAGAAGTTAGACTTCCATGTATTAAAAGAGAAAAAAAGACTGGATCGGCATCATTCATCCGATATCTGATCCAGTTAGTTTGTTAATATCGGAGCCGATATCCGATCTGAATATCGGATCGGTGCATCGTTACTAAAATCTGATCCAGAGAGATCCGATTCAGTTTGGTTTGTGCTGTTCAGACTGGGTCACATACGGATAAACAAAACCAGATCTGGATCACTTTCTGCTGCTGTGTGAAAGAAGCATTATTATTATATTAGATTATTTCTATATTTATTTCAATATTTAGCTTCTATTTGTTTTCAAAGATAGTTTTTTAGATGATGTGTTTTGTCTGGTTCTGTTGGAGGTTTAAGAAAGTTTCCCTCACTCATGTGGCGACCAGGAAAACTTTGAGGTGAAATCTTAGATGTTTGCGTTCACACCTGCAGTCCACCTGGGAAATTCTGGTAGGATTTGGGAGAATGATCATATTTGCATTTCCAAATGGACAGATTTGAAGTTAAAGATGATTGTTTTTATTCAGTCCTCTGCTCCCTCTTCACACACTCATCCAAACTTCTTGCAGGAATCTTAACCAGGAGCTCGCAGGAGAAAGTTCGGACAAGTTTGGGAGGAAATGTTTCCAGGAGTTTGTGCGAACACAGCTTTATGTTTTATGATTTGATGCTATCGAGGGGAAACACGCAGGTTAGAGTTTGCTGCAGGATCAAACCACCTGCTCCATCTAAGTGGACGTCCATCTAAGATAATAAAGGTTAAACTCCGTCCTCAAACATTTCCTGCAGTCACCTCGGCTCATTCCTCCAACCTTTCACTCTGCAGCCAGGTACTTTTTCTCCACATCCAGCCCATCAGAGAGGAGGAGGAGAGCCATCTATTAACGGACTAATTGGGATTGTCATTAGGCCGGCCGTGCAGGGAGATGGGCCTTTTGGAAATAAAAGAAAATCCTGCTTAATTAATGGTGACATCAATCAGGGTTGGGCTCGATTGGCTAAGTGACGGTCCATCTCCGCTCTGATTTATAGGTGAGACGTAAGGGAGAGAGAGAGAGAGGTGAGAGGATGACAGAGAAGAAACATTAGAGAGGGAGATAAAAATAGAGTCCTCAAAGTTTGTCTCTTTGTTACTTCACGTGTTCAGAGATGGTCGAAGAAAAAGGAAAAAGAGATTCTGCTGGAAGACAAGAAAGTTTTTCTCTGAAAACAAACAGATTTTCAGAGGCAGAAGTGTCAATATGAGCTGAAACTGAGCAGCAACTTCCTCGACTGGAATATGAAATAAAACAGAGGAACTAAAAACTGCAGTTCCTCAAGTGTCCACTAGAGGCTGCCTCAAAAAGTGAGTCAATCCCCATAGGGCTCCGTGTTAAACTTTACAGCAGGAATGATCATGTTTACAGTTTTGGACTCTGTGCTCGATTTTCTCTTCAGGACGTTTGAACATGACTGACATGTCTGCATGATATTAGGATTAAATTCAAGGGGGTGTGGCCTCTTTGAGTGACAGGCTGAATTTAACCTCTGCGTCCTGTTTGTGGTGCCAGTGCATTTTGGAGATTTTTGCAGGTAAATATGAAACAATAATCTCTTAATGTTCAGATTATTGGACCTTCAGAGCCTCAAAGACACACAACACGCTGATTTTACACTCAGACAAATTCTGTTTTTATACTTCAGTTCAACTTTCTGTGTCTTTAAATCTCAAATTTCAAATTTTGGATGTTTAATAAAACTATTAAGTGTCTGAAACAAACGAATCAACATCTGTACGAAAGGTGAAAAGTGAAAGAGACACACTTTCATGTTTCTTTGTAACCTGAGTGTCTCTGATCATCTCGTCTCAGGTCACCAAAGGTCAGCTGGCTGAGGTCGAAGGTCATGTGTTCATCAGTTCTGTTCAGGTGTTTAAGTGAAACACGACACTCTCTGTTACAAACTCTACCTCCTCATCTTCATCAGGAGGAAGATGAAAACCCAAACTTGGTTCTGATTCATGAGTGCTACCTGCCTTTAAGGGAAGAAGAAGACGCTGTGCATTGTGGGAAATTTGGGAGTATAGTTTAAGTTTTTCTACGGCCAAAGTTTCAAACAAACAAACCTTTTTCACTGCAGCCATCTTGGATTTTATTATTCGTGGTTACTGAAGTTCGAGTCGGCGATCTGGGTGACGCATCGGAGCGACATCCTGGAATTTCCACCGTTAGAGATCGAGTGAAACACGCCACGTCAGCCCCATTACATGAACTGTAGGGGTCAATGTAAGCCCCGCAGGGTCATACAAAGGTCATCTACAGGTCATCCAGGTGTTTCAGGTTTACAAAGACGCTGGTGTTTGTTTCCTGATGCTCTCTGATCTCTGCGGTCTCTCCCTCCGGTGAGTTTATTTTTAGATCTTTGGATCCAGACTGATCCAACAGGAAAGATTAACTCTTCACAGGAGAGTCCTGAAGAAGATCTGCAGCAGAATTTCTCTTCTGAAGCTCCCTCAGCTCCTAAATCCTCTTTCAGGGGATCCAAAGCTGCAGAAACCACAAACCTGAAACCCCTTTCCTTCTTTTCTGCGCACACTCTGGGGACAGAAAGTCAAACTAAGTCTTCACTCAGTAAAGATTTTAGATTTTAAACATTCTTCAAACAGATAAAATCACAGAAATAAAAGGGAAGCAGGTTGAAACCCTTTTTATAAATGAGGAGGACAGCGGTGGGCAGTTTGAGACTCCAGGTAAACAGTCGAAACACAACCTGCTGTTGGGACGTCACACACTGATGACACACTCTAAAACCTGTGTGTGTGTGTTTTACACTGACCCCTCTTTGAATCTGTTATTGATTAATGCCCGTAGTGACGATTAAACAAACTGCATCAATCAGTCGTATTGATCCAGAGAATCCTGTTGTCCTCGTACACGATGGAAGTGCAGCTCAGCTCTTCAGATGTTTCTGTGTTTATATTTATTCACTAACCTGAGCTCTGTTCCCACCTGAGGGTCTAAGGGTCTGAGTTCAGCTCTCCAATATTCGTCTGATCATGTGATCTTTCATCTCTCGGTCTGATTTAGACGTTTGAGTTTGTGTTTCTTGTGACTTTAATCTGTAAACGTCGCCCCTCTCTTCAGTTCGGTTTAGTTTTTAAACCATCGTTGACTTTTGTCTGATTCAAACTGAATTTATTTTCAGATATTCATCATAAAAACACGTCTCTTTCTCTGTCGGTGATTTGTGATCTCTCTGGATGATCTGGATCTTGTTTTTCTGTTTGTCTCTCCTCCTCCTCCTCCTCCTCCTCCTCCTCCTCCTCCTCCTCCTCCTCGTTGTTTTCTCCTCTCCTCTGATAATAAATGTGAGTGTTTTTCTGCTGGTACCTCTGTTATCTCTCCTCTTCATCCCTCCGCTCTCCACGCCTCCATCACTCACTCCTCTTTCTTGTTTTTCTGCCTCGTCTTCATCTCTCTCTCTCTCATCCTCCATCCTTCACTCAGAGCGTCCGTCCTCTTATGGATTTTGTTTCCTCTCCTTTTCTTTCTTCTTACTCTCCTCTCTCTCTCCCCCCTTGTTTGTCCCCTCTCTCTCCCTCTCCTGTCCATTTTACTGTCAGCTGGGTGTCTCGGTCTGGAGTAGATAACATCTCTATTAAAGCTGCAGCCGGCCCCGACCCTGTCAGCCTTTCTCTTTCATTCTCCGCTCTAATGGCCGCTGTTGTGTTTTCTTTGGCTGATGTTCAGTCTCTCGTACCTCCTTCCTGTCTGACTTCCACACCCTGACTCTATAAAACTGTCACGATGCTCATAAGACGGCGGGCGGGCCGGGCCCCACTCAAAAACATGCAGAGGTAATATTCAACCAGGTAGGTCTCATCCCGTATCAGACCACCCAGAAAAGATCGGCTTGATTTCTTCTTTTGAACGTGAGCGAGTGCAACAGGTTCAAAACAGCAGACCTGTGAAAGAGCGCCCCCTATCTTCACGCTGCTTCAACCTCAGACCCATCAACGATCATCTATCAGTGAAACATCTCCAAGAAAAGGCCAACGTACCGTACGAGCATCCAGTCAAGAGTTAGCAGCACTCATCCTCCGGGGCTAAAAGACGGAGAGATTAACTCTGAACTGAGAGGTCTCAGTTTCACTGTAAATACTTACAAATATACTCTATTCTGACTTACTTCTGCAGTAAACAAGCCTGAAAACGAAGCTGAGTTTTTTTAACTGTGACAAAACATCTGTTCCTGGAAGGTCTCAGTTTCTCTGTAAGTAGAAAATACAAAGATGCTGGACTGTAGCGGCCTGAGGAAGTTAGAAAGTTTTTCAGTTGTTCCTGTTTATCTGTTACAGCTAGGTCTCAGTTTTATTGTTATTTGTCAGTTACAAAGATGCTTTATTCCAGTTTACTTCCGAAGAACAAGCCTGAAAACGAAGCTGTTTTTCTTTAACAGGTCTTTAATTGAACCCAAACATCGTTTTCTGGAAGGTCTCAGTTTCTCTGTAAAAACAAAGCTCCACAAAGTTTTTCCCTTTAACTGATTTAAGTGGTAAAGAAACTGCAATGAACTTGATTTTCCTGTAAATGTGTTGCACTTCTTAGATCTTGACCTGGACTTATTCATCTGTTTATTGTGGGTCTCAGTTTCACTGTAAATACTAGTTACAAAGATGCTTCATTCTGGCTAACTTCTGCAGTAAACAAGCCTGAAAACGAAGATGATTTTCTTTAACTGTACTCAAACTTCTGTTCCTGGTAGGTCTCAGTTTCTCTGTCAAAAATAAAGGTTTCTCTATAACTGATTTACGTGGTAAAATATCTGCAGAGAAATAGATTTTCCTGTTCTTCTGTTGCACTTCATAGATCTTTACTTCGGCTTATGCTACGTTCCAGTTGTACTCGGAGGTCGTAGTTTCAGAGCTCCGAGTCTGGAACGCCCCCTTAGATCAGATTTCCGACTCGAAAAGTCGGACGATTCTCACCAACCCCGACTTGACGACAACGTTATATTATAAAATGGTAGTGCATCAACAGTACTGCTAACAACAACTGACAACGGCTTACTGTAGGCATCCATCTTGGTTTTCCGACTTGTTAACTGAAATGCCATCAACTCGGTTGCATTCTGCTCAGTCGGCGTCAGTCGGCTCCAACATCCGACTGAAACGCAGCATTATTCATCTGTTAATTTTAGGTCTCAGCTTCACTGTAAACACTCAGTTACACAGACTCTTTGTTTTCCGTTACTTCAGCTGTTTGAACCCTAAAAAACGTTTTTTCTTGTGATTGTCTTCTAATAATCGGCCTTCGTCTGCACCCGTTAGTCTGTATCTGATGAGTCTCAGCTTCACTGTAAATACTCAGTTACACAAAAACCCGAACTCTGACGTACTTTAGTGAAAAACAAACTGATCTGTATGTGATTTGGGTCCCAAACACTGTCCTTCTATCTTTCTCTGGAAGGTCTCAGTTTCTCTGTAAGTAGAAGGTACAAAGAGGCTGGACTTTAGAAGGTCCAGGTTTTCAGTTGTTCCTGTTTGTCTGTTAGTGGTAGGTCTCGGCTTCACTGTAAATAATAAGTTACACAGACTCTTTTCTTTAGCTTTGGTTGTTTATACCTAAAATAATTTTGTCTCCTGTGTTTTTCTTGTGATAATTGGTCCTTAACTTGTTCCTCTGAGTCCTAGTTTCACTGTAAAAGGGAAGTACACAGACAAACTTACATGACCATAATACAGCCATCAACATGTGAAGAAGAGCTGATTGAGTTTCTCTGTTTCTGTCTTTTCCTCTTTAGCGTACTTCCCTCCATCCCTCTGCCCCCCCTCGCATCTTTCCAGGCGGTATCAGTCTGTCAGTAGAAGAAGAAAAGAGCGCAGCAATAAAAGAGAGAGAAGAAGAAGAAGAATTCTCGGTCGATAAAAAACACTGAGGTATCTTAAAGCGCCGCGTCCATTTCCTGTCCGCACACACATCATTCAGGCGTTCGCCGTCGCTGCTCTGTCCTCACTCTGTCTGCGCACAATAGAGACCATCCCTCTGTTAACACACACACACACACACACACACACACACACGTCTTTTTATGGTCACTCAACTAAACAGGTGCTGACCTCACACTCACACACACACACACACACACTCAGTGATGAGGGAAATACAGCCGACACAGGACAGAAAAACAGATATCAGATTTGTCTTTTTCCTTCTCTCCTTTTTCCCTCGTCTGCCTCCTTGTTCCTCACCTTTACTCCCTCTCTGTCTCACCTTTACTCCCTCTCTGTCTCACCTTTCTCCTCTCCTTGTCTCCTTCTCTGTCTCACCTTTCTCCTCTCCTTGTCACCTCCTCATTTCTCTCCTTTTCTTGTTGTCCAATATTTTTCCCGACATGTCAGCCGTGCGCCCGTTTGGCCGATGAGAAAGTTCTCAGTTCAAGTGTCTTCAACCTTAAGTTCTCCTCTGACGCCAGTTTTCCAACACTGCCTAAGTTGTTTTTTATTTTTATTTTCATCCTGAGTTTCTACTGTTTTATTTACTGAAGCCTGAGGATCTCATGAATCCTGGCGTCTCTTTGGGCAGCCTTGTAGGTACTGTTGTAAAAACAGTCTGCACACAGGTGAGCGGTGCTTCTCTGATGTTTGCAAGGTGGTGAGTCTTTCTCTAGACTTCGCTGTGCTCGTCTGCTTTTAAACAGGAAGTCAGAATATTACAACAACAACAACACACAACACTCTCTGTAGACGACAGCTAATGTTAACCTGGAGCTCCAAACTGCTGCATATTTGAGCCAAAGTTCACGTGCATTAAAAACTTTCCCGCCATGTTGATGATGAATCTGACGCCAAGTCTGTGAGTTAGTCTCTGAATTCTTGTACGAGTTTCCATGTCCCTGTTTTAACCTGAGAGGGCGCTCACGTGCATTTCTTTTCTTGGACGTGTCTGAGTCAGACAAAACATCGAACAGAAACAGTAAAACAGCCTAAATGAACAAACACACCAAAGGTCCAGGTCTGGGTCATCGTTACTGGAGTCACAACAACTCCTGAAAAATCAGGACAGACTTGAGACTAAATCCTGGACTCTTTAGTCCAGATTAGGTGAAGATAATCTCTCTGCTGCATCTCTTCTGTTTCAGATTTTTCCTCCAAAGAAATTAAAACTGTAAGACAAAAAAATCACAGATTGAGTCAGACCGGACTCGTCTTCTTCTTCTTCTGCTGGTTTGTCGTTTATTTCCTCCATTAGGAGTTTTTCAGGCCTGCTGCAGACCTCCTCCTCCTCCTCCTCCTCCTCTTACTTACATGAAATCCTTTTACTAAAGTGTATTTATTCATCATGCTGAGAGAGAGCAGCCGAGCGCTCACTCCTCATTAATCTGTTTTTTTTTTCTGCAGGAGAAACTAAAGAAGTGAGGAGGAGGAGGAGGAGGAGGAGGAGGAGGAGGAGGAGGAGGAGGAGGTCTGAAACGTTTCAACGTTTTTTCCAATTAAATCCTGTTTCCCCCAAAGGTCTCTTTTTCTCTCTTTCTCTTCTTCTCTTATTCCTCTCTCTCTCTCTCTCTCTCTCTCTCTCTCTCTCTCTCTCTCTCTCTCTCTCTCTCTCTCTCTCTCTCTCTCTCTCTCTCTCTCTCTCGGGTTTCTGTTAGTTAATGAGCTTTAAACTCAGATTCTCATCACTGACTCCAGCTTGGACTCACTGAGACTTGGTGTGCTGTTTGTGTGCACGCATGTGTGTGTGTGTGTGTGTGTGTGTGTGTGTGTGTGTGTGTGTGTGTGTGTGTTTGCACCATCATGAATTTGCAATGTTGTGCATGAGAAAAACCATGAATAAAAATGTTTGTGAAAGAATGTGATAAATATGCATGTGCACACACACTCCTGAGAATGTGTGTGTGTGTGAGTGTGTGTGTGTGAGTGTGCATGTTTAACAGAGCATTAAAAACGCTGCAGCAAGTGCGGCTGCCCTGAGGAACACCTTCAACGCTTAGATATAATCTAAGCAAAGGAATGTGTGTCTGTGTCTGTGTGTGTGTGTGTGTGTGTGTGTGTGTGTGTGTGTGTGTGTGTGTGTGTGTGTGTGTGTGTGTGTGTGTGTGTGTGTGTGTGTGTGTGTGTGTGTGTGTGTGTGTGTGTTTGCCCCTTTGCTCCAGCGGCTCTTGAGCTAATGTGCTTCACGATCTACCAGCTTCCTCCTTCCCTTCAGCAGTGCACCACTAATGGCTAACCCAGGGCTGATACACACGCACACACGCACACACACACACACACACACACACACACACACACACACACACACACACACACACACACACACACACACACACACACAGTGTAGTTTGAGTTCATTTCATTGTTGGTAAAACATTATTTATAGCTGCAGTCTGAAATTACTCTTGTCCTCTCTGTGGAAGAGAAAAGTGTTATAGATGTTGGTATAGAAAAGGTGTAATAGATGTTGTATCTTGTGGTCTGACTCTGTTCTGAGAGCTTCTTTCCCTCCACAGGTGTATGAGGAGTTCAGAAACCTGAGGCACGGAGGACACACCTCGACTATATGTGCATTTATGAAAGGCCAAGGCAGGGAGAGCAGCAGCAAAGACCTCTAGAAAATACTTCTAACATCAGACATGAAGTAGGAGCTGAGGTGTTTTTTAGATAACTGATCACTAAATATGACAAATGAGATCGACATAAATCTTCTCTACAGCGTAGATGTACAAACTAACATCGTAAAGTTGTACCACAGTAATATCGTGACTCCTGAGGGTTTGTTTTGAACTCTGTCTGGACTCGTCGTGGTTCTGATCTCAACTCCTCCTCGCTGGAGTCCAACTGTTCTCCTCCTCATGTTGTTGTTGTTGTGCGTCTGTGTTATTTGTAAGCAGGCAGACTGATGGCCATATTAATACAAGGTGACGCTCAATTGGCTGAAGTAATGTTGCATAGACAGCAACCCTTCCCGCGATTGGACGATCAGTCATCCTCTTCCAGCCTGAGGGCGACAGTTGCCTCCCCCCCAAACCTCACCCCTAACAAAACAGGATGACATCACTTCCTGTCCATCTATCCACCTGCCTGTTAGCATGTCAATCACTCTGTTAGCCTGTCTCTAACTCCATTATCATATAAGTGTGTGTTCTCTGTTTGCATGCAGGTTGTTGTTGGTGTTTAATATTATTTTGTGTATTTGAGTGGACTATCGATCAATCAATCAATCAATCAAATTTTATTGATATAGTGCCACATCACTATCACTGTAAAGGTGAATCAATTCCTATTGTATCGTGTTGTATTTTATGATATTGTATCATGATGTTCCATAACTATTCAAGGTTTCTTGCCGTTTCCCTCCCGATAATGTGCTGCTGCAGGATCGTCATTGGTCAACAAAGCTGTCAATCATGGTTTAACACCATTCTTATAGAACCAAATAACTAATACAGACTAAACTGTATTACTAAAAAGTTTAATTTATTCAACATGTTTTTGTTATTTTTTAGTTGACCCATGTCCCATCTGATAACATGGGGAGGCGGGGCTTCTGGCTTCTACTGTATCCAGTCAGTAGAGGGAGCTCTGGTTGTTTTCAGTTCGCCTTCACTATCATTTTTTACAATCTTCGTATTTGGGTCTGCACTAAAAGTACCAATATGCTCAACACTAACACACACACAGATGCATACATGCTAACATGCTAACATGCTAACAAACTGAGCCAACGTTAATGGGCGACCAAAAGCACACAGATGCTGATTAACGCAAATTAAAACACACAGATTTCCACCAACACACATCGCCAAAAACAAACCACCTTTTACACAGAGATGGCTCTCACCGTTTAATTTGACAGAGAGAGAGAGAGAGAGAGAGAGAGAGAGAGAGAGAGAGAGAGAGAGAGAGAGAGAGATGGTTGGAGGGAAGAAAACACCGTTTTCCAGCTGATTAATTTTTCCAATTTCATCGAGACACGACCGTAACCTGCTTCAATTAAAACACCACTCTGGAGACAGACACTGTGTGTGTGTGTGTGTGTGTGTGTGTGTGTGTGTGTGTGTGTGTGTGTGTGCTGATGGTTGTATTTTATTGAGTGGAAAATTGAATCAAATTGTTTCTTTCAAACAGTCTGTTCTCCTCTCCTCCCTCACTTCACCTCCTCCTCCTCCTCCTCTCCTCACCCACTTCATCTTCACCTCAATTACTCCTCCCTCGTTTCATTTCCATGTCTAAAGGACCAGTAGCTTTTGTTTGTTATTGCGCTGTTTGTTACTCTGTGGGGATTTTGTGCAGCGCGTCTGTGTTGTTGTATAAAATAATGGATATTGCCACACTAAGTTACTCAGTGGTTTGTTGTCTCACCCTCTCGAAAATCGAGGTTGGCATTTTGGCTGCAATTGTGTTAGTGTTCTGGAGCCAGAAGCGACCATATTAGGACAAAGGGGTGGAGCCACAGAAGAGAAAGGGGTCAGCGAATGCTAAGTTAGTTTGAGTCCATCGCTGTTTCATTAACTGGGTAATGAGATCATTAACTCTCGTGTTTGAATGAGATTGGATTTGTGATTGTAGCTGAACAACTGTAACATCTCTTTAGGAATAAACAACAACAATCAAGGCTAATGCAACAACTGCAGTACTTCTGTCGTCCACTACAGGCTGTATCCACAAGTGAGTCAATCCCATTAAGCTCCATGTTAAAATGTTAAAATAAACAGCAGAAATAATCATCTTTACAGCCTGGTACAAAAACACAGTTTTGGTCTCTGTAGCTCATTTTTTGTTTCACTGCAGAACTTTTATAAAAATCACCTGTTTGAAATCTACAGAGACGAGTCACCTTTGGATACAGCCTCTAGTGGACACCTAAGGAACTGCAGGTTTTAAAAAGCCTTATTAAAGTTCTTGTGGTTATCTTAGTTAATACTTTACAAGTGGGTTATATAGCCAATCACAGCCTAGTAAAGCCTGCCGCTCTAGCCTGCTGCTAAAAGAGGCCACGCCCCCTTATCATGCTACATCCCATTAGCCTTTATATAACGTTAATAGATAAGTTGTTCAAAAATACAGCCCTGTGATGTTGTTATAAAAAGAAAAATCACATATCACGTTTTTTTTCCCTCACTAGGCTGTAAACATGTTATTTTCACCACTTGGACATTTTAACATTGGCCTCTATGAGGATACAGTCACTTTTGGATACAGCCTCTTGTGGTCACTCAGGGAACTGCAGTTCATCTTAAAGGGATATTCCGGCGTAAAATTAATTTAGGGTCAGTCCATTACGGTCTACAGCGGGATGAAGCAGCTCAAGGAAGAACATTTATGAACATTTCTTTATCAGCCAATCACAGACTTGCATTATCAGCAGTTCCCTTCTAATGTTAAAGAGGCCACGCCCCTTTTTGTAATATGTAAACAAATATGTTAAATAAAAATACCCCCCCATGAGTGTGAAAATAAGTCATAACTTTATATTTTCCTTACTAGACTGTAAACATGTTCATTTTAACATGAGGCTGAATGGGGATTGACTCACTTCTGGAGACATCCCCTGGTGGACACTTGAGGAACTGCAACTTCTGTTACTTAATTTCCTTATTTTAACCTCTGAACCCTTTAACCCTTAGCGTTTTTCACCTTGTTGCCCATATATGGTCATTTCTGGGTTTGGAGAAAAATTACACAGCAGTGGGAAAAACGCCGACTCAAAGCCAACGAACCAACGGGAGATGATTCAGGAGCTTTATTTGTTTTAAAGACAATTCAACATTCATCATCCTCATGATGTTTGAATAAACACAACACATGTTACACACACACACACACACACACACACACACACACACACACACACAGAGTCTAAAAACCAGCAAACGGAAACCAGTCAAACATTCCTGTTCTGTCTCAGCAGCAGTTCCCAGAGTGTGTGTGTGTGTGTGTGAGTGTGTGTGTGTGTGTGTGTGAGTGTGTGTGTGTTGTTTATATTGTGTACATGTATGCTCTGTGTGCATTATGTGTGTATTCTGCAGTATTTTCCCTGTGTGTGTGTGTGTGTGTGTCAGAGAGTATTCTTAGCTCCTGCTGTGCTGTAACTGTCTCTCTGGGAAACAGGCATATCCTCAGACCCCCCCACCCCACTCCTCGCCCCTTCCCAGGGGTCAGAGGTCAGAGTTGAGGTGTCAGGAAGGTTGTTTCCGTGACAATAATTCTCCTCCGACTCAGACACCGAGGACATTTCTCACACTGCGAGAATCGTACAAACACACACCGGTGACTCGGCGCAGCACGGGGGCGAGCGAGCACACACATCTATCTGTCTTTGCCGCTCTCTCTCTCTCTGACCTGTCCTCCTGTCTGTCTCTCATCCAGGAGGAAAGACGGCTCCCCCTGTGGGTGTCATTAAAGGATCACATTATCATTCTGACATCAGTCAAAGTGATGCTGGAGCGCTTTCTGTCCAACATGCAGTGTGAGAACGAGCATCACATCGTCAGGAGGAAGACTGAAGACCGTCTCCGCCTGACTAAATGTCTCCTCAGGCGGCCATGTTGGAAGTTAACGTCTCTGTAAACAGCTGCAGACTCTATAGGATTTTTCAGCACTAAGCTCTTGTCTATCGCCTTCTTTCTAATATTAGCATTTAAACAGCACATGCCGGGTTTGTCAACGACTTTATATACGGAGAGAGAGAAGAAGGTCTGCGAGCTGGAGACTGGAAACAGCAGAAATTTAAAAAACAGACCTTTTCAAGAACGAGAGGAGTGAGGAGGAGGAGCGAGAAACAACATCTACTCATGTTTGAGATCATGCAAAACTGATCAAAGTGCAACATGCAAGGGAAGAGATCCTGCAGGATTGTGAACTAAATTGCACTCACTGTTAAATAGCATTTTCTCTTTTTCACACCTGCACTAATCAGTATACTGTATACAAAGATAACACACATAATTAGATATTTATTTTGTTGTTGTTGTTGTTGTATAGCCTATTCATACCTGCAGTTACCAACAATGTGTTTATATCTTTAGCATATTCATTGCACATATATTTATAGTATATTTAGTTCATACCTGCACTGTCCACATGTACATACCTTGCACTTTTTGTTAGATGCTAAACTGCATTTCGTTGTTCCTGTACTTGTTCTGTGTTCAATGATAATAAAGTTTAATCTAATCTAATCTAATCTAAATTAAAAGGAATTAAAACCCTCCAAAGCACAGGCCTCTATGTTTACACACTCTGAATACACACAGGGATTTTGAGGTACTCTCACACACAGATTAGGATTATTTTTGTTGCAGCATCTCCACCACAGACCTGTGTTCATGTGTGAACAAAAAATATGACCTTAAATGTCCATCATAATTATATACTAATAATAATAACTTTATTTTTAAGTTTACAAAGTGCTTTGACAAACATTTGTAAAGCACATGAAAATAAAAACAAATAAAAAACTAAAGCTCAATTAAAAACAAAGCCGCCAAATTGAAGGACAATTTCATTTGTCATAAGAAACTCAGACGATACAAGAACCTACAACATAAACTGAGACCATGAGACCAAAATAAAAACATAAAATAGGTAAGAAGAAGAAATGTAATAAAAACAGGGGTAGAAAGCAGGAAACAGGATAGTAAATATAAAAGAGGATATTAATAATGATAATAAAATCATTATAAAAAAATAATGATGATAAAATGGAAAAACAAAAATGAGCAGGAAAAATAACACAATAAAATCAATAAATGGCCTAAAAGGTTAAAAAATTGCAGATGATTTAGAGTCAAGCAAAAAAAAAGAGATTACTGCACTTTTTCAACAGTTTTAATTCCAAACAGAAAAGTTTTTTAATTCACACACAGTGTGTTAGTGTTAAATATTCTTTTCTGTTTGCTGTGACGCATCGAAACACTCTTCAACACCTGTGTCGGGGCTAAACAGTAAATCTGATTTAAATAATGGATTTAATTTATGGTAAACTAGCTTAAGGAGATAATACTAACTAAAAGCTGGTGTCAATTTTCTTGCCTATCTAATTGTTAATAATTTTAGTCTGCATTTAATTTAAAGTAATTAGTAAAAGGTAAAAGGACTAAATTAACCGTCATCTTCACCTGCTGCCCATCCTGATGTACCGAGTCGCTGCAGGTGATTTAAGTTTGGAAAAGTTTGTTGACTGCAAAGAGCAGATACACCGATATAAAGTTACCTTTTATTTACTTTAACCCGTTGAGTGACTCGTGTAAATTCTTTATTTTTCTTGGAAATAAACGCTGGAAGTGACGCTGGATCTGCGGCTGCTTTTTGTTTGGACCGTGTGTACTCGACCCTCTCGGCGGTGGTTTTCTTTGGAGACTTGGAGCCGCTACAATCTACATCTTTGACCAGGTCTGAGGTCTCCACGCTCTGCAGTGAGACGACTCGTTTTAGGACAGCGTGTCTCTCTGCAGAGGTGAGTCATTTTCTGCTCTCACAACATGAACATTAAGATTAAGAAACTCGGGCGACAGGTGTGCACAGGTGTCTGATCTGAAATCCCTGTTCTATCAAAACTGTTTTAACCTATTTTTGACCATCACCTGTGTGTGTGTGTGTTAGTGTGTTACTGGGTGTGGTAGGGGGTGCGGTCCAGTTCTCAGGCCGTAAACCGGGTCGAGGATGTCCCCCTCGCTCAGACACACACAGCCTCCCATTCATTCCTGACTTCGTCTCTGTCTCGCGTTCCTTCGCCTCCCTCCCTCCTCTCTCTGTGGCGTGCGATCCGGCCATCCATCCATCCTGTCCTCCTCCGCAGGGATCCCCCCCTCCCTCTTCCTCCCCCCCTCCTCTTCCTCCCGTCTGACCCCCCGACCCCGACCAAACACACAAACATTCACGCAGCAAAAGTAACATCCATGTGACTGAGCCGCAGAAACGTTCGCTTTGAGTCATGAAACCTTTTTAAGGTTTTAATTCTCCACCCTCGACCACAGCTGGTCAGTCTGTCCCGGTCTGCAGAAGGAGGAGGAAGGAGGAGGTTTAGGTGTGTTTAGGTAAGAGCTAAAAGCCCGAGGAGGTGTTCGGTTATGTTAGGAACCACTTCAAAAAGACTAATTCAGTCATTCCTGATAATTAGACGAGGATACGACTTCAGGAGCCAATCAGGAGTGAGGGTTTAAGTGCTGACACGCTAAAAACAACGATGACTCTCGTTACTCAGCTGACAGACGAGTGAAATATGACACAGTTTAATGAAAAGGTGAAAAATCATCTAATCTACGGGCTAAAATGACAAAAAATCACAATTTTAAACAAACAACTGCAGTATGTTTGACTACGTTTGGTCATATTTGTCAGTGTAAAACCACTTATGAAGACAGACTACCGAGCGAAGGACAAACACTGAGACATTATTTAAATCATGGAAGGTTCAGGATCAGGATTTTATTCTCAAAAGGATCAAAATTAAGAGTCTAGATTAAAAAAAATCTAGATTTTCTGTTTGTTTTTGTTGATTTTTGATGAATAAATTTCTGCACAAAAGTAAAAATCAACATTTAAGAGCGTTTGCATCCTCGTCTCTTTATACCTGTGCACATGCATCTGTGTGTGTGTGTGTGTGTGTGTGTGTGTGTGTGTGTGTGTTAATAGCCTCTCTATTTGAGGTGTCATAGTGTTTCTGGTATTAACAGGAATAATTGAGTTGCTCAGCAGACCGAGGACCAATCAGCACTCTTTGTGTCACCCTGCAGCGACACACACACACATGTACACACACACACACACACACACACACACACACACACACACACACACACACACACTCTCAGCTGATGCGTCAGGGTTAAAGTATTCAATCTCCTTGTTGGAAAAGGTCATTGTTAAACACTCTGTATCTCCTGCACACAAACACACACACTCAAGTAGAGCACATGCACGCACATAAACACACACTCAAACACAAGCAAATACACACACAAATACACACACCACATCTGTTATTATTTCTGCACTCCTTATCTCTCTGCATGTCATCGTCTCAAGGCATTTTTGTACTAAAAGCTTGTAATTCCATCAACCATCTGTGTGTGTGTGCGTGTGTGTGTGTGTGTGTGTGTGTGTGTGTGTGTGTGTGTGTGTGTGTGTGTGTGTGAAGGTTGTATAGTGTGCATTAAAACATGAATTTATATGATTCAAACTCTAGATAATGTAAACCTGCAGGTGAAAGAGGGGAGGAGGCAAGGAAAGGAGGTAAGGAAAGGAAGGAGGGATGAGCTCAGCTGTGTCCTCGTCTCATTTCGGTCTCATCCTAATTAATTGGGCCAAATTAATCTCACAGTGGGCACACACACACACACACACACACACACACACGCACACACACACACACACTTCTGGTTTCGTAACTCAAGGATAACATGTATGCTTCCTCTCTCTCTCACACACACACACACACACACACACACACACACACACACACACACACACACACACACACCCCGCTGCGTGCCCAGTGGCAGGCGGCACAGTCGGACATGAAATACTGTCCAATAGCATCATCCATCTGCTCTCCTTGCACCTCCTCCCTCTTCCTCTCCTCCTCTCTTCCTCTCTCTCTCTCTCTCTCCTCTCTCCATCTTCACATCTCCTCCTCCCTCTGCTCCTCGTCTTCCTCACCCCTCCCTTCCTTCCTCTTGTGTTTATTTCTTTATAAAGTTACAGTAAACACCATTTCCTCCTCACTAAACCGAGTCGATCCGTCTCTAAAATGTGACAAACTCAGATTAAACGGACTCGGAGCAGACGAGGAGGACAGCAGCCGAGTCTTTACTCCAGCCCGTCTGACGGTGCAGGACAACATTACTAATTAAAGTCGCCGGTTATTCTGCAGGATTACTGCCTTTACATCCCAGCGTTAATTACAAACAAAGACTAACAGGATAGAGAGCTCTTACATTCGACTCCTTGTTGGTTTTACTGTCAGATGGCGCTCAGCTCCTCTGAGCCTCTACCTTTCAGAGTTAAAGAGAATAAACTCGACAATAACTGCAGAAAAACAAACGAGTTTAGGATCCTGAATCTTTGCAGCTCTATAGTCACACTGTCGAGAGGTTATTGTTTCAAAATAAGGTCTTAGTTTCATTCACTCATGTTCCAACATGCAACGAGTAAATCCATAAACAAGAGCGGGACTTAAAGCTCCTGTGAGGAACCTTTGGTTTGTCTCAGTTGTGGCGCCACCTGTGGACAAACTGATCTTTCCTTTAATGAAATTCTTCCGGTTGCGAGTTTCTATAGAAATTGTAAAACTATCAGTGTTTATTTCTTCTATATTTCTGCACATCTTCTCAGGCTTTAGACATTTTTGTCTGCAGTACCACCAAATATCACGGCTACAGTGGTGCCAGTTATTCACAAATCCAGAAAACAACTAAAACCTTTAAAAAATATTCTGAGTGGTGCCCTCTAGTGGATATATTACTTAATGTCCATTCAAACAAAGCAAACATGCGAGATGTTAAGTGTATAAACCCCTAATTTCCACCACATCCTGATCGTCTCCTAAAAGGTCGTATCCTCCGATCGTAGCTGATCGTAACCATTCAAGTTAACGTGTCAATTTACACCGACTTCTTTCCGTTCCTCTGCGGATCGCCGGACTCCTCAGCTGATCAAGAGTTCTATTTTTTCTGGACGCCGGAGCATGGCGGATAAATTCAGCACAGATTAACCCGTGCTGGAAAGGAAGTCGGGCACAGACACAAAATAAAACATCCAAGTGAAAGGTTTTTAGACGTCATTTCACCCCGATGACACCATGGATGAGGAGATGCTGATTCTAGAAGTCTAGAAGTAGATTTCCTCCTCTGGAAGGACACAATCTACTGCTTATATGTCTATGTGTCTGTCTTTATAGAGACAACTCGTTATCGTGCGATTGAACATGAATCCACGGGTTCTTGTGAGTTCTCACAATACCTGCTGTCTGTAATCCGACACAAAATTCACCTCACAAACGAATCCGGTAGGAATCGGTGGACGGTGAAAATCTCCACCTTTCCGGATTGGAGTAATTCTGGATGTGGTAAAAATTAGGGGTAATGTACAGATCTGTTTTCATGCATAAAAGGAGCACAAGTGAGTCTTAAAACTGTCTGTGGGTCTTTTTGAACGGTCTGTTGGTCTAATAAAGTGAACAGTAAGACGGATCAATTCTATTATATTCACATGAAAAAGTCTTCAAAAGTTTCCAAAACCACAAACACAACCTAGAGGTTAGAATTCAGAGGCTGGACAAACTGAGAAAACCTGCAGTTCCCCGAGTGTCCACTAGTGGCTGTGTCCTGAAGTGAGTCAGTCCTCATAGAGCCCCATGTTAAAATGCTAAATGTGTTCACAGCCTGGTTCTGAGAACAGCTGTTATCTCTGCAGTTCACCTCTCATCCACCTGTCACTCAAGGAGGCCACGCCCCCTTATCGTTAAACCTTAAAGTAATTAAACAGGTGAGTTATATTAAAGTTCAGTCTGTACAGTTGTCAGAGACAGGCTGTAAACATGATTGTTTCGCATCATGTGATCCTATGGGGAATGACTCACTTTAGGACACAGCCTCCAGTGGACACTCGAGGAACTGCACCATCACTTTACCATAACTGCTTTAAACTCTGAATATAATTATGAGTACAAAAATCCACCTCTCTGCTGCTCTTTTATGCCACCTGGTGGCAGCAACACCCACATACTGACCGCTCATCACCCCTCACGATCATGTGGTGACCTTTGACCTTTGTCCTTCCCACTGTCGGCGTGTAACAGAGGAACTGAAGATGAGTCTGCTGTTTGTTTCAGGAGGAAAACATAAAACACACACACACACACCGAGTCAGCCATATTGTCCTGATGTGTATTTAGTCACTTTGTCTATTAGAGAGGGAAGTCCAGAGGTCAAAGGTCACAGAGCACTCCCCTCCTCACATACACACACATAAAGAGGCTCTTCTGCGACCTCTGACCTCTGACTCCTCATTCGTCTCACTTTCTCCCTCTCTCTCGCTCTCCACACTCCTCTCTTCCTCTCTTTTGTTTCCTCCGTCGGGTCATTCGTTCACACTCATAATCACTCTTTTATCCTCTTAAAGGGACAGTACGACACTTTTCTTAGTTTCTGGATTCAAACTCTCCGCCTCCCCCGTGTGAGGAGGCTGCTCCGTGTACGCACATACAAACACACAAACAGAGGTGGTCAGCAGCCCTGAGGGGAGGTCAGCCTGGGGGGGTCAGTCTGGGGTCGCTTTGTTTCTACGGCAACAGAGGAAAGAGTCACTCTGCGGTCAAATCTCAGCCTTTGGGGTCGGTGACGGGTCAAATACAGAGACTGGACCATCTACACACACACACATACACACACACACACTGATCTCTGTTATATACGTAGATGTATTCATATAGATTCTTCTCCTCCTTAATCATGATGTTATTTAAAGCCAAGTTAAGATCTAATATTATTTTCTTCTACTTTCTGTCTCTATCATATCAATCAAACTGTACATCTCCTCCACTGTTCTGAGTTTGTCCTGTAGGGGGCGCTCCTCTCCTAGCATACAGCGGCTGGTCCTTCATACAAACAGCTGCTCTCTCCCACAGTTACATAAAAATACGTCATTAAATAAATAACAGGATCATATTTTCTCAAAGTAAAAAAACAAACAGTCGTGTGTGTAAATAATATCTTAAGTGTTCAGTAATTTATACATATTTAAAGTTTTAGCTGTTTTAATTCTCTTTGTATAACTTATATAACTATAACTGTATAACATATATATATATATATGTTTGTACTACTTTTTAAGAAGAGTCAGATGAGGTGTTCGAGTGTCTAATCAGGATGCCTCACTGACGCCTCGCTGGTGAGGTATTCAGGGTACGTCCCACCAGGAGGAGACCACGGGGAAGACCCGGGACACGCTAGATAGACCTGGTCTCTCAGCTGGTCTGGGAAAACCCAGGGTCGGTAGATAAATGTAAAATATGTATAAAAAGGTCATCTCTGTACAATTTTAGCTGTTCTGCACCTATTTATAATTCTTTATAAATATATAATTATATATTTATTTACATATTCTATTGTAATTTGTAAGTCAATTATTTATATAATTTATTTATTTTGAATATAAAACAATTCCTTAAATATATATCTTTACATATATTTATGTGTACATAAGAACATGATTTTTATTTTTATGTATACTTATATAAACCTATTTATAAATATAAAAATGTTTGTTTTATATACAGTAGATTTTGTTTTACTTTAAAGCTTGACCATATATGGTGTTCCTGTTATTTTTACATGATTTATAGAAAAAAATTAAACAAGATATGAGGAAACAGTATTTTAACATTTAATGTAAGAATATAAAAAAAACTACAAACTTTAAATCAGTTTTACCAAATTTTTAAAAGATCAAATAAGGAACTTTAATAAACGTTTAAAAAAGTGAGTGAATAAAAATAATTATATAATTGTTCCTTTTCATATATTTGTGCATTAACTCTTTTTCTTACTTTCTATAACAAACACTTTTTTGTTTCTTTCTTTAAATTCGGATTTAAAAATGTCTGAAGAATTAAAAGTCCACTGTCGTTACGGCCGTGTGGAGATTTTAGAGAAATCTGTTCAGTTTTTATTCAAGAAAGAGACGTTTGTGTTTAAACTTCAGATTATTTAAAGACAAACAGAGAGAGAACGCACTCCTCCTGAAGGTTAACAGGATCGAATTTAAAGAATTTAAAGAATAAATTTGGGGAAATTTCAAACATGTGCAGAAGTTGGTTTTTATCTTTATTCCAGATCGGTTTTGACTCTGAGGTAAAGCGGGTCGTCCTCTTCCTCCTCCTCTTGTTTTGATCGTTCGATCCCTCGGCTGACGCTCTGACGGCTCTGAGTTTGTGTGTGTGTGTGAGTGTGTGTGTGTGTGTTAATGCTGTTGTGTGTTATTACAACTTTGAGGGACTTTTATACAACAAAGAAACTGAATAAGTTTATCATGTTTTTACTCTTTAATTCTTCAGTTTTACTAAAATCATTTTTCATCTTTAGTGTGAGATTATTGTTCTGAACCAAAGATGATTTTTTTCTCTGAACACAAACGTTAATAATGTAAATATGATCAATATTAAATGATCAATCATGTGTTTGTTTATTGTTGTTATAGAAACTCAGACCCTGCAGCTTCTATTCGCTCTGATCCGTCCTCTCAGCTGCAGTACCTCAGTTTGTCCAGCAGGATACTCATCTTCTCCCCCTCAGGACTCTGACCCGGCCTTCACCTCTGCACCCTCTGATCAGGCTCACAGACCCGGCCTTCAACCCTGACCTCTGACCCCAGCCCGGTTCAGCCTGAGGTCGGCTCCCAGGCTGCAGGTTCAGTCCGGGGTCAGGAGGACGGCGCGGCTCTTTAATACGATAAATCCACAATCTGAGGAGACAAATTTAACATGTTTGATGATCTTATGATCAACTTTTTCAAATAATAGGATCAGATTTCGGTAAATGAGATTATTCCAGATTAAATTAGAGCTCAGAGGGACGTAATCTAGATTTAAACTCGAGGGTTTCACCGTAAAGACGACCGACAGACCCACGCCTCGAATCAGAGCTGGTTTTAAACCGTCTGTGTTCACTCAGAGACATCTTTGCATCATGTCGGACTTTCTCTGCAGAAAAACAAACAACCATGAACTCATCCTAGATTTTATTTACGGAGAAAACGACAAACAAGACAAAATGACCATCTTCAGTTACCTTCATGTCGAACTTCTAGTCATCAGTCTAATTTCACTTTTAGAGGTCTGAAACTGTGGAATAATCTGGATTCATCTTTAAAATCAATATCATCCTTCAAATCCTTAAAAATATCTTTAAAATCTCATCTGATCACGTCTTAAATACGTCATTATCTGTTATGATCATGTTTCCTTCCTTTTTATAAATACTTAGATCGTCTCTAACGCTGTTTGATGATTAGTTTGTGTTTTATTTATGAAAATTTGTGTCTGTTTGACCTTTCCCTAATCATTGTATATTTATAACCCGTCTATGTCTGAGTTACTTTGTCACCCTACGCCTTCACTGACCTGACGGGAGTGGACCTCTGTAAACTCCCATCGGCTTCATTTCCTCCTCGCTCTGTTTTTAATCTGTGATAAATAAATAAATACAATGAAATAAAATAAAATAAAGACACAGATTACACAGAAACTGTCACGTCTTTAGTTGAAAACTGGATGTTTTAATTTAGTTTAAAGACAAATAAAAGTAAAAATTAATGAGCTGATTTATTTTAGTCTGAAAATTCTCACAGAGGTTTTAATATCCTGACTGTGAAGCGACAGAATCAGGACCGAGCGTCAGTGAGAGAGCAGCTGCTGCTTTTTTCAGAGTGTGGATATTTGCTGTTAGAAACAATGAGAGGAGGAAGAGGAGGAGGAGGAGGAGAGTCGGACAGACGTCGTGGCGAGCTGACGCAGCAGGTAAAAGTCAGAAAATTCACGTGTGTTTGTGAAGCTGCTTCCCACGCTTTCCTCCCGTCTTTACGTCCTAACCCCTCCCTCTGAAGATGCAAAGAAACGCAACGACATAAAGACGATATGAGACGTCCCCACTGCGCCCCCTTCGCCTCCACAGCAGCCATCTTAGACCCCGTCGGCCATCTTAACGCCCTAACCTCCGCCGCCGTCCTCCCTGATCTCCGTCCTGCTCCTCACAGAGACACACATTCAGACCTACATGAACGCCGTCTTCACTTCCTGTCCTGTGGGGTCACAGCGCGGTCAGTCTGGGGTCAAACTCAGTCCTCTGCAGCGTGGGGTCAAAGGTCGCCTCGTCGTCTGTTGTATGGAGCGGATCAAAAGGAAACTCACGTTGGTTTAAGGTTATTGTTCGCCGCAGCTCACAGACGTTTAGTGTCTTTTTGATTTGAAGCTTTTTAAGGAATAATGAAAAATATCTGATTTATATTAAAACTCAAAACAAACGTATAAATAATCAACAGACCGACTTTGACCCGTCTTCGCCTGGAGGGACTGATTAAAGCGGAACTTCCCTTTAATTGTTGTAAAGTACGTGACGCCTGATTGGTTCAGAGTTCAGAGTCGATACCGACAAACTCATCCAGACACAGATAAGTCCAAACGTACACAACTGAGTTTTGAAGCGTTGTTGTTTTTTCTCCCCTCAGGGCCACCGTAGAAGTCTGGATGCATAGTTTAAGATACAAACAAGAGCGTTATGTCGGCGTTGAACCAACTTTATTGGCAGCGTGTCAACATTAACAGATGCATATCGACACGCTGATCTCTATCGCTGAGACACGAACATGAAGACGTCTTATCAGCAGAGACGAACCCAAACACAGTCAACAAAAGCACTTCTCTTTATTCCTCCAGTTTATTCTGATGTTTGGAAATGGATCTGAGAGGAAGGAAGGGTTTCAGGCGCCGTTCAACGAGCGGCGTACATCAGCAACGACAGAGAGATGGAAGAGGAGGGCAGAAACGTAGAGGGTTCAACAGCAGGGCAACGACTCGCTTCCTATTCTCCATCACACACACACACACACACACACACACACACACACACCCTGGGGGCATGCAGCGCAGCATGCTGCCATGCATTAAATGTGTTAGTGTGTGTGCAGATAAACCAAATGAGCACCTTCTGGTCGCTCCAGCTCACAGAGAAGAAACATGACGATGGAAATATAAAAAAAGATGAAAAAGGTAGAAAAAGAAAAAAAAACAACAAGTCTGTTAGGATTTGGAAAAAAAAGAGAGGAAAGGATTAACAAATTAACAAGAGGGAGGAAGAGGAATGATAGAAAAAGTGTAGACAACCCTAAATTTAATTAAACAATACCTGACAGAAATATGACGACATAAGAGAGACTGAGATTATAGAACTAAAGGTAACAAACTAAAAATAAAAAAAATAAATATAAAAAAAGATAAAGATAAACAAAATTAATGTAGTAAATTTGGAATAAAAACACAAAAAATAAAAACTAAAGATAAAACACTAAAGATAAAAAAAATTAAAAATAAAAACAGTAAATAAAAAAAACTAATGATAAATCAAAAACAAAAATAAAAAAAATGTAGATAAAACCTAAAAAAAAAGTAAATATAAAAAAACTAAAGATAAAAAATCAAATTCAAGATAAAAAATAAAAAAATTTAAATTTAAAGATAAACCATAAAAATTAAACAATTAAAAGATAAAAAATAAATAAATAAAATTAAAAACTGAAGATAATAAACCAAAAAAAAATTTTTAAACAAAAATTACAAAAGTATAGATAAAAAACAAAAACTAAAAACTAAATATAAAAACTGATCCATAAAGCGTCACCCATGCTGCTTTAACAGACCTCACTGAGCGCTCTACATACTGGACTGAAAGGTGTTTTTCAGATTAGATCAGATTAAGCAACTCAGAGTTCGGTGATACTAAATCCATCAGACTGTACGATAGTCTATCATGTAATATTTAACTGTACCTAAATCAATAACATGGAGATTAATGGAAGTCAATGAGGCAAACAGCTGATATCATCATGAAGAGTCAGAGTCAGGTCTTAGTGAGTAAAATTACATGTTCATCTATTAACTGATATTATGTTGAACTTCATCAAGCTATTATATCACTGAACAATACTGTGTCGTATCATTTCACATCATATCTTAATGCATAGTTTAGTCTTGTATCCTATTGTTGATATCATGTAGCTTTGTATCCAATCACATCAAATATCATACTGTCTCGTCTTGTATCTTATAGTATCATATTGGATTCAATCATATCATATTTAACCAATTATATCACACTGTAAAGTATCATATCATACAGTAATAATTACACCATATTCCCTATCATGTTGTTGTGTTGAACAGTCGTGTGTCACATGACTGTCTTATATTCTGTTTGATCTTTTCTAATTACACTCCTGTCGTTTTGTATCGCAGTGTTTTGTCTTGTTATCTAAACTTAGTAAACACGACTTCATGGTTATTTCCTATTCTTTACTCTCACACTGTCATTATGCTGCTATTGTGTCTTATAGTGTTGAATCTTATGTAATCAGCAGGATTATATTTTAATCTGGGAGATTTCAGTCGAAGATAAATCGGATAAAAAGGTCGAATCAGAAACTTTGGCTCACACACGTGCAGCAGTATGAACGTACACACAAACACAGTCACCTTCTACCCAAGGCTAACACATGACATCACATGTGTTGTCATGGTAACCTGTGTAGGACGAACACACACACACACACACACACCTTCTCCCTCTGATTCCTCTTCAGCCAATGAGTGTCTTCATTAGGCTGGAAATTGGGGAGGAAAAATGACAAACAATAACTACCCTGATCTCTCTCTCTCTCTCTCTCTCTCTCTCTCTCTCCTTTTCTCTCCATCCATGTCAGGTCACTGTAAGGTCGGGAGGAAAAATGAGGAGCCCTCTCTGCTACAGATGAAAATCTCTCTCTCTCTCTCTGCGTCTCATCCCTCCATCACCCTCTTAAAACCTTCCTCCCCCCACACTGTACCGTCCCTCTCTTCATCCTCACCCTTTAAACCGTTTCATGTTTCTACCTTTCAGCCTGACCTGGTGAAAAACAGACTTTGAGATAAATCAGACTCAGGTCAGCGGCAGTGAGCTCAGACACAGAAAGCTGCTAATTAGCAACGACATAAAAATAAGAAATGAAGCGAGGATTTCACAGAGAGCTGAAACTGGACTGTTAGATATATTTATGTGGAAAAAACTCCACTGACACACCCACAGACTGACTCAATCAGCTGAGATGACATGTAGCAGCTCCCACCTGTCACTCTAAGAGGCCACACCCCTGATTATGTTACATCATACTTTATTAACAGCTGTCATGAGCAGAAGTAACCAGAATAACTTTTATACCAGGCTGTAAACATTTTAACATGGAGCTCTATGGGAGGTCACTCATTTTAGGAGTCAGCCTCTAGTGGACACTCAAGGAACTGCAGTTATTGGATCTTTGTTTTGTCTTTAATTTTCAACCAAGGTCGTCGGACAGAGAGACTAAGGCCATCAGTGCTGTTAAAGGGATATTCCGGCGTAAAATTAAGTTAGGGTCAAACACACCTGAGTTAGACACCCACTCCAGAGATGAATGTTGCTGTAGTAAAATGAAAAGGTAAAGGTGTTTTTATTGAGCCGATTTATCAATAAAATCTGGATTTTGTTAACAGGTATAGATATATGTGCTGTCCAGTTAGTATATTTGAACAAGAGCACAGTAAAGTTAAATCAGCTAATTTTCCAATGAGGTTCTCTTACTGAACGGAACTACACCATGATCTACTGAGGTTAGTACATATAGGGTCACAGCCATAGTACTAGACACCAAACAAATTTTTAACTTTGACTCATTTCTTTAGCAAAGAGACTAAACACAACTCACCTACTCTCTTCCAGCAGCCGATGTTTGTAGCGAGACTTCAGGCCAGTCCTTTACGGACTACAGCGGGGTGCTGCAGCTCAAGGAGGAACATTTCTGATAATTTCTTCATGGAAATACAATCAGACCGAGACGCTAAGGCAGAAGAACTACCGCGTCTGCAGTGAAAATTGATTGATATGTTGATTATTACTTCCAGGAAATGATCATAAATGTTCTTCCTTGAGCTGTGTCACCCCACTGTAGTCTGTAACGGACTGGCCTGAGGTCTTGCTACAAACAAGCGGCTGCTATCCCTTAAACATGAGTCTGACCTCTGACATGGCCAGACAGATACTGTAGTTTAGGGTTTTGGAGTTTCCATCAGGGGGGCCGATTAGACTTTAAGGGCCATGACCACCTCTTGGATTCGCCTCTGCTGCGCTGGCTTTAAGTTTTAAAATGTTGAGTTTTTATTACAGATCCTTAAAAAAGGAAAGTCTGTGACGCCTCAAAGATAACTGACTCATTTTTAATTCCATCTGAAACTAATTATTGTTTAAATCTCATCGGTGGAGATAAAGTAAAGTCTAAGTGACCGAACTCGTTTATATAACCAGAGAAAATCTCCCAGGAATGAGGGTTTAAGTCAAAAGTCCCATAATTCCTCAGTTTAGGTGATTATAGAGACTCACTGAGAATAATACACACAATTACACAAGTCAATATTAACAGCACCTCTGTTACACACACACATTAAGAGGTGTGTGTAATGATGCACATGCAAGGTCGTGTCACTCAGACTGATCATAATTATTGATCACACCGTCACAGATCCTAAATGTTCACCTCTGTGAGACGGATTACAGCTTACTCTGTGTGTGTGTGTGTGTGTGTGTGTGTGTGTGTGTGTGTGTGTGTGTGTGTGTGTGTGTGTGCGCGCTAGTGTGTGTTTCATGGTTTGTCAGACTTTAACTTTATCTATTTATTTGAGTTGGATTGTTAAAAACTCACTCAAAGTTATTTTTTGTTATTTGTTTGTTTTTTTGACGTTATTTTAAATTTTGTTTTTAAGCATAAAACAAAATAAAAAAATAAATCTTAAAACTGTCAAATTTTCAGAAATAAAAAAACAGAAGCAAAGAAATAAAAGAGAACAAAAGCAAAGAAAAGACAGGAAAATTATCTTAATAACTACAGAAAAGTAAGGAGTCTAGTTTATAGCATATCAAAATATTATTATACAGATTATAAGACCCAATTTTAGCCCCCTTTATGTTCATCAATTGAAGTGAACTGCCAAAAGTTAACCTGTATTTTAAACACTGAAGAAATAGAAAAAGACATGAAGAAATTTACGACAGAGTTAAACAAAGTTCATTTTTAAACACTCAGATTAAATATTAAAATAATTATGCCTTTATAAAATAATGAATAATAGATCTGAAAAAACGTAAAACATGAGTTATAAATCAGTTTACTGTACTCTACCCCATGTTCTTTAACTTCAGATGGACTCTGCACCGCTGCGCCCTCTGCTGGTGAAAAATACAACTACAATGATCTTCAGTTAATCCTTGAAAAACATATTTTATCTTTGAAAAAAAAAACAACAATAAGCTCATATTTTCACTCAGAGCCTGATTTTCTGTCTCTAGAAATTTTGTGAATTAATTTTTAATTTTCTTAAATTCAAAAAATCAAATTGTTTTGGATTCATGAGTTGTTTTATTTTCCTACTCTTCAGATTCCTACTTTAATTCTTGTGAGCACGCTGCAAACTTGTATTAGATTTTGTGGTTCCACCTCTGTTTCTGGAAAATAAATGACATTTAATGCACATTTTTGTTGATTAAAAACTGTCAAAGTTCAAGTGTAATAACAAAACTCAAATATCACACATATGCAGCTGAGTTTGTCGCACTGATTAGCCAAAATAAAAAAATGAAAATTGGACGTGTACTAATGAAGAAAGCAGAAAAAAAATAATAAATCAGAAAATTTCTACAGGGTGACTTTTAAAAAGTCTAACAAAAGTAAGTCCAAAATAAATTCTAATGAGTCTGAGACGTGACTGTTTAATAATAATATAAATTTAGGTTACATGGACTTTAATATAGTGGGTTTTAAATGTGACATAAATGTTAAATAATGTGACTGAAGAAAAATACAGTTATACATTTGAATCATACTTTTACTCATGTAACTGCTTCACTCACTTTAAAGATAACAGAATAACAGATATTTTTCACGGTTATTCAATAAATTCAATGTTTCAATTATCAATAATTATTAATAATAATAAATTAATCAATATGTAATTCAAAGCCTGTTCTGTTAGTCTGAAATGTGCTGCTGATCCACCCTGAGGGGTGAACGCCTCACACACTCCTGAATATCAGTGATCCTCTGAAACTCTTAAAACTACATCAGAGTTCAACATTCAGACAGAAAACTCAAATAAATAAAACACAGAGACTTCACTGAGAAGTTCTGGTCTTAGTTTAGAGAACTGTAGCAGCTGAAAGTCCGACTGTGAACATTTTTATATGTCGAGAAGTTTTTCGCAGGAGAGTGGAAGAGGAACTGACTCACAGACGACACCTGGTGGCTGAAAGACGAACTGCAGCCACAGAGCTAACATTAAAATGTCTCAGCTGTAATAATAATCTATCATTTATAATTTAGTGCGTGCTCATTTTCTTATTTCTTGCGTTTATTTTTAATTTTAAAGAGCATTTGTTTTTTGTTGCATATTAAATATTTTACTAAATAAGAATAAGAATAAGAATAACTTTATTAATCCCCAAAGGGAAATTTAATTGTCTGTTGTCTCACATAATTTGTCTGAAAAAGGAAAAAAAAAGATTAAAGTACGCAAAAAATATTGTAAAGAAAAAAGATGTTATGAGAACATTTCTAATACAGTTAATTTATTACTGAGTATTTATTGAAGAGTCAATAAATACATTTATGAAGAGGAAAAAAAATATCAAATAACTGAAAATAAATAAGCAGGTTTCATTGTTGTATATTTCTGCATCTATATTTTTAATTTGCAGTGATTTACTTTTAATTTTTAAGACACTTACACTCTTTATTATTTTTATCATTATTATTACACATATTTTTTTTATTTTTAGTAATATTATAATTATTGATGTCCCTACAATATAATGAATGAAGTTGACTCCTTTAAAAGCCAACTCAAAACTGATTTATTTGCTCAGGCCTTTGTTTAATTGTTTTTGGAGCTGCTATGACTGTTTAATGTTGTTGTCTCTGCCTTTTAATTTGTATGTACATTTTTATTCTTGTCTATGTGAAGCACTTTGTCTGTGAAAAGTGCTATAAAAATCAAGTTTACTTACTTACTGAAGTATGGATATTGGTGCCTGTCTCATCAGAGTCCAACAGATTCAGTATTTCATTTATAAAGTGACACAAGAAGAAACTTTGTGGATTAAAAATCAGATTTAAAATAAAACATATAAAATTAAAGTTCTGGGAAAGATGAGGTGTGATTAAAAACTTGTCATTGAGAATATTTCTAAAGACTGAGGAGAAAACTGCAGCAAAAAACAATTACGAATAATCTGTAAAGATATTTATGAATGAGACAATATAAAACTAAAAATATATGTTCATACACAGAAATCATCTATCAGAATAAAAACTGTCTCTGGTGATTTAATAATGTGTTTCACAGGATTTCAGACTAGTCTGTGGGTTTCCAAACCTCCATCAGTGACCAGCAGGTGGCAGTGTTGTATTAAAAATGAACTGAAACTCAGTCAGAAAGAAGCAACAGTCCCTCAGAGTTTATGAAAGTGGCGTTTCCATAGCAACGGTCCTCGTGTAAACTTAGAAGTTAAATAAACATTAAACTCATTATATGTATTCACAGTAAAGTCTAAATATTTTCATGTTTTCCTGTCAGGAATCAGGTGAGACTTTAAAGAAACAACAACGACCTGTTGAAGGTGATTTTTACTCTCACCTTTGAGTCACGACTTCTTACAAACACGGAGAATAAAAAACGATACAACAGTGAAAGTTTCAACTCTCATCTCAGCCGATTGGGTCATGTCACTCACACCTGTACACACCTCCGAGCACGAGCCCAACATGATCACAGTAGGTGTATCACAGGTGAGTCAAACATGGAGGTTAAATCCGAACATTTTTACTGACCTCAGTCCTGGTATCCAAGGGTCCATGTCCCGTTTTAATCCTGGATCACACAGATGGTTCTGCTTCCGATGTGCCCACAGGAGGTCCATTTATATCCACTAAGACACGTGAAGACAGACCCTCTTCCTGAAACCTGGTCCCGAACCTGACGGAACCTGAACGCTAATGTTCCACTGGATCAGTTAATATCTGCAGTCCGCTGTTATTGTTCCGATTCGGGTTTAAAGAAGTGGATCAAGAGTCAATATATGATCAACTTTGTTTCCTTTGGCATTACTGATTCCACAGAGTGTAAACAAAACAGTAAAATACTCTTTAATCAAGTTTTGACCAAATTTAGACCTTTAAAATATCGGCATCAGTTTCCTCGTGGTCTTATTAAAAGTTATTAAAGTCTTCGTTACTTTAAACCGGTAAATTTTATCACAGATTTGAGGTTCGGTCACGTTTTCGTAACCAACTTCCTTCTTTCGTATTGAGAATTGGGACTGCGCATGTGCAGCGAAACAGGAAACACGTGATCGATCGGTAAATTTAGACACAAAGAAGCCGCCGATAAATATTTTAATTGCAGTTTATTCGTTTAAGCAAGTTAATAAAAGATATTAACCACAATTTTTAGAATCAATCTTAACCTCAATCTGACATTTTTAAAATGTTATTAAATACAAGTCCAGAGGATTGTCTTTGCTAATGTTGTCCTCCACCTGGTTCAGCAGTTTTCTGACCAATCATCTCCTCCTGTTCACCTCTGACAGTCACATGATCATTTATCTTAAAGGGATATTCCGGCGTAAAATTGATTTAGGGTCAAACACCCCTCCGAGAGATGAATGTTGCCGACCGCTTGCTTCTCTAGTTATACCAACTTTAGAAACGACCGCAGGATAGTAATACACAGCGGTCTGAGGAGCCATAAACAAACCTCAACCAAAACGCCACTCTATAGCCACGAATAATGTTTAGAACAGCACCTAACTTCTCAATTTTTTCATGAGGAAGGAATTATCATAAATGTTCTTCCTTGAGCTGCGTCACCCCGCTGTAGTCCGTAATGGACTGGCCTGAGGTCTCGCTACAAACAAGCGACTGCTGGAAGAGAGTAGGTGAGTTGTGTTTAGTCTCTTTGCTAAAGAAATGAGTCAAAGTTCAAAAGATGTTTGGTGTCTAGTACTATGTCTGTGACCCTATATGTCCTGTTGATGAAGTTAGGTGCTGTTCTGAGCATTATTTGTGTCTATAGAGTGGCGTTTTGGTTGAGCGCGTGGCTCTCTGTATTGCTATCCTGCGGTTGTTACTAAAGTTGGAATAACTAGAGAAGCAAGCGGTCGACAACATTCATCTCTGGAGGGGGGGTCTAACTCGGTGTTATGGTGGATTTGACCCTGAAGTAATTTCACGCCTGAATATCCCTTTAACCTCAATGTGACATTTTTAAAGTGTTATTCAATAATGACAGAGTGACAAGTTGGAGGAAGAGCGCCCCCTATTGACCAGCCTCCACCATGAGAGAAAGTTCAGGTGTGTGTCATTTTTAGCTCTCTTCACAGATCCTTGTCTTTGCTAATGTTGTCCTCCACCCGGTTCAGCAGTTTTCTGACTAATCGTCTCCTCTCAATCTGACAGTCACGTGATCATTTATCTTAATAACTCAGAGTAATACAGGAGTTAAATACCGGAGACTCTGGAGGAATAACGGGCGCTTAAAACGGAGGTAGACCGGACAAGAGCTAAAAAGCCGGGTCAACATAAACGATGGGGGACGCTTGGGGATCTTGGTGACCCTGTAACCTTTCTGCTGGACAGGTAAACTGCTTTAACAAAGTAAGACAAGTGTCTGTAACAGAAGTGTTTCTTGTCAAACGGACCTGCTGTAGCGTGTTGTAGCGCCATCGCTAAACTGTCCTCCCTCGGGTCCTGGACTATGTCACTTTATCCTCGTTGTAGAAGTCCTGCAAACATTGTGTTTGCTGGTAGTCTGTTGGCATCTACAGTAGCACCAATGCTTTTGACTTTCACCTTGACTGGGCCCCATTTGTAATGATCTGAAGTATTTATCTGCATTATATCTGAATTTAACTGGAACGATGCGAGCGAGCAGGAGCGTCTGTTTGTGGGCGGGGCTTGCTGGAGCAGAGAGGGAGGGGGGAGAGAGAGAGAGAGAGAGAGAGAGTGTTTCTCTGTGTTGTCTCTTTAACTCTGTGGCTCTAAAACAGTTGAAGTGTGTTTCTGCTCGATGAGGTTTCTATGAGGTGAATAAATGTTGGTTCAGTTGATCTTCAGGACGGCTGCAGCTTTAAGAACTTCTTCTTGTTGGAGTTTGAGAGTCTAAAGTTCACAGAGATGCTCCTCCTCCTGGATTGTAGACAAATTGGATCCCCCCCCCCCCCCCCCCGTCTCTCACAGCTCACTCCACTCTGCACTCTCACTTCCTTGTTTCCTTCCCTTCCTTCCTCCCTCCCCCTCAGATCTACAGTCTAAAGGTTGGGTCTAAAGGTTGAGCTGATCCTGCTGACTCACTCATGTTGTTGAGATCAGAGCTCAGACTAGTTTGACTTCTCAGGAAATAAAACTCAGTCAGTCGTCGTCGACAGCAAGTGTTGAAATGGCGCAGAAAGGAGTTCATCTGGACCGTGAGTCTTTCTCTTGTTCCATCTGTTTGGATCTTCTGAAGGATCCGGTGACTCTCACCTGTGGACACAGCTTCTGCATGAGCTGTATTCAATCCCACTGGGATACTGAGGATGAGAAGATGATCTACAGCTGTCCTCAGTGCAGAGAGACTTTCAGACCGAGGCCTGTCCTGAAGAAAAACACCATGTTAGCAGGTTTAGTGGAGGACCTGAAGAAGAGCGGACTCCAAGCTGCTCCTGATGGTTCCTCTGAGGCTGGACCTGAAGATGTGGCCTGTGATTTCTGCAGTGGGAGAAAACTGAAAGCTGTCATGTCCTGTCTGCGATGTCTGGTTTCTTACTGCCTGGTTCACCTCCAGCCTCATTTTGAATCACCTTCATTTAAGAAACACAAGCTGGTGGAGCCCTCCAAGAAGCTCCAGGAGAACATCTGCTCTCGTCATGATGAGGTGATGAAGATCTTCTGCCGCACTGATCAGAAGTCCATCTGTTATCTCTGCTCTGTGGAACAACACAAAGGTCACGACACAGTCTCAGCTGCAGCAGAAAGGACTGAGAGGCAGAAAGATCTGGAGGAGAGTCGAGAAAACATCCAGCAGAAAATCCAGGACAGAGAAGAAGATGTGAAGCTGCTCCAACAGGAGGTGGAGGCTATCAACGGCTCTGCTGATAAAGCTGTGGAGCACAGCCAGGAGATCTTCAGCCAGCTGATCCGTCTGATGGAGAAACGCCGCTCTGAGGTGGAGCAGCAGGTCAGATCCCAGCAGGAACGTGAAGTGAGTCGAGTCAAAGAGCTTCAGGAGAAACTGGAGCAGGAGATCACTGAGCTGAAGAGGAAAGACGCTGATCTGCAGAAGCTCTCACTCACAGAGGACCACAACCAGTTTCTGCACAGCTACCCCTCACTGTCAGAACCGGGTCAACCTGCAGACTCATCCAGGATCAACATCCGTCCTCTGAGATACTTTGAGGAGGTGACAGCAGCTGTGTCAGAGCTCAGAGAGAAACTCCAGGATCTTCTGACAGAGACGTGGACAAACGTCTCACAGGCAGTGACTGAAGTGGATGTTTTACTGTTAGAACCACCAGGACCAGCAGAACCCAAGACCAGAGCTGGTTTCTTAAGATATTCACAAAGGATCACACTGGATCCAAACACAGCAAGTAGATTTCTGTTATTATCTGATGGAAACAGAAGAGCAACATGTACATCACCACTAACACAATCTTATCCTGATCATCCAGACAGATTCACTGGTTTGGTTCAGGTCCTGAGTAGAGAGAGTCTGACTGGACGTTGTTACTGGGAGGTGGACTGGAGAGGGGACAGGTTTTTTGTAGCAGTCGCATACAAGACTATCAGGAGAGACGGAGACTCATATGATTGTTTATTTGGATACAATGACAAATCTTGGATGTTATTCTGTTCTAAAGACAGTTATAATTTTGTTCACAACGACGTCTTCACTGATGTCTCAGGTCCTCTGTCCTCCAGAGTAGGAGTGTACCTGGATCACAGAGCAGGTATTCTGTCCTTCTACAGCGTCTCTGAAACCATGACTCTCCTCCACAGAGTCCAGACCACATTCACTGAACCTCTACATGCTGGACTGGGGTTTCCCCAGTCTTTTGGCGACTCTGCTGAGTTTATAGAAGTGAAATAAATAGAATTTTGAGTCCATCAGACCAAAATCATGGACTGAGATCCTTGAACTCTTGAAATGTTCTGGTTTGTAAATGTTTGTGGATCAGTCTCACCAAAAACTCTGGGTTTAGTTCTTCATTTCAGCTTTTTGATTCTTTTCTAAAGATGCTGATTTGGTCGCAGCTTTAAGGACAGTGATTGTGGAGAACTTTGATTGTTTGTATTTCTCATGTTGAAAAATCTTCATACAGTTTGATATCAACAACATCAAGATGATGGTTTGTTCAAATCACCTTCAGTTGGTGCAGATGTTGAAGGTCTGAGACTTTAGACTGAGACTTCCGAATGATTTTAAAAGTAAACTGAAAACTTACCTTTTCGTCTTGCTTTTAACTAAATTTTATATCATAAACTCTGTTAAATGTTTTAGCATTTATCTCTTCTAGTTTTAATCACAGGATTGTCTTTTATTGAGCTACGTTGGTGCTCTTATTTTAGTATCTTTTACTGTTGTTTTTATTTCATTTCATTTATTATTTCTTAAATTTCATTCTATATTACTTTGTTTTTAGATTTTAACATAAACCTCCAATGTTTCCTTATCGTGGGTTTAAAAGTGACGTTTTCTCAGTGCGCACACTCCTGTTTCCACGAAATCAAGTGTTTTTTGATTTCATACATTTTAATACTGTTTCTAATGCATTAAGATCGTGGGACGGGAATGAGGGGTTGGGCTGGGGTTGATTTGTGTATTTTTTTAATCTTGAGTTTTGGTAGATTTGTGTATTTTTTGTTTCTTTTACTCCTTTTTCTGTGTAAAGCACTTTGTGCTATATGTTGTGTATGAACAGTGCGATATAAATCAAGAGTGATTGATTGATTGATTTAGATAAGTGACGTCAAAACAACAAAAAGATGAAAAAGGACGACCTTACTTCCTGTCCCAAATCCAAGCGTCTAAAGTCTTTCCAGTCGTCCCCAAAAACTCTTCAGATGATCTGTTTCTTTCTGTTTGCTGAATATTTGTGTTCATGTGATCGATGGATATTTCTGTCTGCTTCTGTTGGATCAGTGTGTTTGTAAAGACATCTAGAATCAGACTTTGGACAGATCTACATGTTGTTATGAGCTTTTCAATCACTCTAATAATAATAATCACATTTATTAGTCCGACTGTTTGGATGTTTCTGACTCAGCTCAGATTGTGGTCAAGTCTCTGATTGTGGGTAAAAAATAAAAATAAAAATCCTCAAACTGAGTCACTGAAATCACCTCGTCTGTTTGTCTTTATTGTGTCTGTTTGATGTAACCAGACTAGTCCTGTTGAGATCATCACTCTCTTTTTCAGGGGGGGTCCTGACCAAGAATGGCAGCAAAAAACAAACACACTCAGACTCACACAGATCCACATCAGCAACAAGAACTCAGTGTTCATATGAGAGAGTCCAGCTGATCTCTAGTCTAAGGAAAGAAGTCTGGACCACGAGAAGAAAACCGACTTAAAGGTGAAGTAGAGAGGAATCTGTTAAAGAAGCATCTTTTTATTTTGTGGTTTTCAACAAAAAATCTTCTAATATCAGTCAATAGTTATTAGTTATTGATGACATTTGGTAATATAACGATATCTCAGGAGCGTCTGTTTGTGGGCGGGGCTTGAGGAGAGAGGAGGAGCTGAGGGGAAAACTGGTTGGGAGGGGTGGAGTTTACATTCACATTCAAGATTGGAGCTTCATCAGATCCTGACTACAACACCTTTAACTCTTTAATTCATATTGATTTGATAAGTGTGACGTATGTTGACGTTGTTTCTTGTGTTGCAGAATTAATGACCGTTGTCAAGGGGGTTCGACCAATCACAGTGAAGTATTAATAAATGATTGAGACACTGGAGAACAAATATGTATGAAAACAAAAAACCTTTATTGTCAAAACGGACAATTTAAAGAAGATCAGCCATGACGGTGACGAACCAATAAACATGCTACAGGACAACACAAGCTAATCCGCTAAATACAGAGAAAAGTCTGAGACACAAGAAGATAGAAACGCTTACAGGCAGACCCGGCGCGGCTAATCTGAACCCCTTACCTGTGGAAGGTGAGCTCAAACAGAAGGCAGTCACGATGGTCTGAATACTGATGATGATGAACGACCAATGAGAGTAAAAGAGTCACAGTAAAGGCCGGACTGAGAACTTTAGATCCAGATCATCATGAAAATAAATCATGATGATTCAATACTGAAACAGGAAATGTCTGATAATGAAATCCTTGATAGTTTTCAGATGAATTTTCAGAAGTCAAAGGCAAACCAAAGAAACAGCTCTGGGGTTTAAATTAGCTCACCTGAGTCTGCCAACACAGGTAACTCCTACTCTAGCTTTAATACAGAATACTTAGAAATCAGCGCAGCAGCCGGGGGACACTCAGAGTATCAGGGGCCGGGAAATCAGACGCAGCAGAGGAGCAGCAGTGTTCAAATCTGGAAATAAGATATAAAGCTTTCTGAGTCGAAGGTGTGGGTTTAAAAGATAAAAAAATTAAAAAATAAACCTCCTAAAAGCGCCGTCATGTTCTGAGTGTCGCCCGGCCGGCGCTCGCTAACATAATACAGTCTAGAAATCACACACGGCTGCATGTGAAGGTAAAAACAAGGTGGTGGAAAGAAAATAAAAAATAAAAACGTACTTTCAGACGCTCTCCTCCATCAGCAGTGTAACTCAGGTGAGTTTGATTCGGGGCACGAGTGAGACGGGGAACCAGAGCGGTCCCCCGTCTGTTTGACAAAAACCGTTAGGGGGTACAAACCGCAACTGAGCGTTCACATCAGGGTTTAACGGAAGAAAACAGGAGAGAGTGACCGCGCCACGTTTACTACACAGAGACCGAACCTGCCGTTTTGGATGGTCGGGGTTACCGTAGAACAATACAGGGTCATGTGTCTGTCCCTGTGTAAGAAACGCCGCGTCACTCTGAGTCTGAACGGCGTAGAAACTGATGCGATCTCACCCGGCCAGGCGCCGACTCAGCTGCTGTTTGTACCTGCGACCAGCCAGTGAAGGTCGCCGACCAGCCAAGGGTTAAAAAATAAGAAAGAGGGAGAGCCTGCGGACGTGACCTTTGACACCAGAACTCACATCTCACTGATATGACCGCGGTTTATAAAAACGAGAGTTTCTCCACACTAATTCTGCTAAAACAAAGACACTAAACCGAGTTAAAGATTTCTGTTTTCTGCATCAAACGCTCTTTATTCAATCTGCAAGTATCCTAAAAAACATAAAACTCGACGTATCTCCGGGCTCTTTTAAAACTAACTTGATAAAATGACTTCAGATTGGAGATGGAGTCAGAGCGCCGTGATTTGGTTTGATTCGTTTGACTCTGTGACCTAATTTTTCAGTATTTATTTAACCCTCTTTACTAAGAAAACACACTTTCTTATCTTCAAACCAGATTAGTTTGTGTAACTGAACTCTTTTTAAAACCGTTTCTTGACCCGTGAACAGAAAGTGAAGTCCGAGCGTCGGTCAGAACTGGAATGACTCGCAGGAAGAGTTTGTGAGTTTCAGGCTGGCGAGCGTCGGCACTGGCTGGTCGGACGAAGATCTTCCCAAAAGAGCTGCAGCCCCTCTTTGTTAGTGTGTTTAGGTTGGAGCGAAAGGTACAGTCGTCTTTTGGCATTTGAGGGTTTTGATGGAGAAACAATGCTTTGTCAGCGATAATGAGAACCCAAGGTGGCACAAAGAGAACCGATACTGGACTTTTGCATGGTTTCCTCCCAAAAGAAGTTCCCTCCGATGTATCCCGACAGAGCAGGAGGGAAGTTTGAGCCCTCTGATCAAACCGCAGACCTCTCAACAGCCGAAAAAGCAGCGTAGAGACTTTGAACGAGGACCGAGGATCGTGAGGAGAGACAAACTTACCGGCCAAACAACCAAACACAAACGCACATGTTACAGAGGTAGAATGACAACTCCTGTCGTTGTTGTTGTTTTGCTCTCATTTCCAGCACCAGGCACCTGTCACCGGATGTGAGACAAACACTTTGACTGAAATAAGTTCGATTTTCTGGCCTGTGACGCCAAGAAGGAAAACTAGCAGAACAAAAGGCACCAATTCCCATCAGGCGACAAATCCGTGGTGAGGGAAACGCTCAAAGAAGGATGTCAACATACCTCTTGGAAAACATCACATTTTCAGTCCAGATACAGGCGGGAGCATCTTTTGAGGAAAGGCGGCATCTCCTCTCAGGGCAGGAAAACAAACTTCTTCTTCTCCTCTTACTCAGCACCGTCACACATGTCTTCTTCTCCACGTTTGCTGTTAAAAGTTGCTGCTAGAAGCAAAAACCTGGACATCAGTTCACCAGCATGATGTTGTTGTTGTTGTTGTTTCCCTGCCCTGCGCCTTCTCCTCCTTCTCCTCTCTGAACCTCTGCCTCCTCCTCCTCCTCCCTCCACTCATCTAGTCCTTTTTCTCATCCTCTTTCTTCTCCTCCTCCTCGGTGGGGTAGGAGTGCCAGGTGAGACGCTCCTCGTAGAAAGAGATGACCACCTGGGGACATTTGACGTTGGCCTCCTTGGCGGGGACGAGGTCGGCCTCATCCGAGTTTTTCCTGTTCATAAGAGGAGAGGAGAGAGGAGGATGAGATAACCAACGCCAAAAAGTGTCATATCAGAGGTCATGAACATTCGTCTTAACTCAAAGGAACCAACTTTGTTTCTATAAAAGTAAACATTAGATTATTGAATTTCCCTTCGAGGATAAAAAAGTGATTCTTACTCTTATATAAACCTCCAAACACAGAGATAAATCTTTTTAACAGCCTCTTATAGAAAAGTTTGGGATCTTTAGAAAACTCTTCGAAGCCTCGATGTTTTGTTGGTTTTTAGTTAAACACGTTTGAGACGTTTCCTGTCAGCTGGTTCGTGACTTTGGAGCGTGTTTACATCGTGGAAAATAAAAACAAACAGAAACAAATACAGAGCGCCACGTTCGTCTGTAAATCAGACAGGACAGAGAACAGACTGAGCGTCTCAGGAACAGTCTAATCGAGGAGTCCCATCCCTGCCTGAGAGAAGAGTACATGATCTCAAACTCACCACTTCATGAGGAACATCAGCTCTCCGCTCGAGTCCGTCGCTCCGATGATCCTCTCCGGCTGCAGACCTCTGCCGAAACCTCGAGCCTTTTCGCCCTGAAGACAGGATGGAGGAATGTTAACTGCGTGTGCGACTGTGTGTCATGAGTTTTTGTCTCTATTGAGGTCCATGTTAGCAGCCTCTCTCCTCTTCACTCACCTCCTCTTTCTTCCTCTTGCTCCCTCGCTCCTCGGAGTCTCCGGAGGCTTCGCTGGTTACTTTCCTCTTCCCCTCCCTCTTTTTCTCCTCCTTCTCTTTGTGCTTCTGCATGTACTCTGCGATGAGGTCTGGGCAGTCCAGGTTCTCCTCCGGCTCCCATGTGTTATCCTCGCTGCAGGAACGACACATGGAGAAAGAAGAACAGTCAGTCTCTGTGGAGACGGCGGCGCCTCAGTCTTTGTCGGGGGATCGAAAATCCATGAAAACAAGTTTAAAACAAGGTAAATTTTTTTTTTTAAATGTTGTGTTTATAGAGCTTTATTATTGTTATTTATGATTACTATTATAAATGATGATGATGATGATAGTGATGGTATTGAAAACAAAAATTTTATCGCTATCGTTATTATTACTGTCACTCTGTCTGCTCTTCTTCTTCTTCTTCTTCTTTTGTTTTTTTCTCTGTGTTGTTGTGAAGAACTTTGGATCAACTCTGTTGTTTGTGAAGAGCTAAATGATAAATAAAGTTGAGTTGAGTTTTGTTTGTGTGTGTGTGTGTGTGTGTGTTATAGTGGCTTCTATTCAGAGGTGGATGGATGAACTGTACCGATTGTGCTAACTCTGACATATTTAGACTGATGTTGATTTGTTTCCATTTTCCTAATGAAGATCAACTCAATAAATGAATAAAAATAAACTTTGAAGAAGAACACATGTATTATAGTCAATACTGTTCTTCAAGGCCGTAACCACAGAACTGGGTTAATACTACCAATACAGCAGGACGTCTAGTGATGGAGCGGTCAGTGACAGAGAGGGCGGTCGTGGTTTGATCGCCCTATAAAGAGCTGACGCAGCTGCTCTAACACATCCTCTCTGGACCAGAGAAACCGGACCACATCAGAGCACAATCCACCAGACTGAGACAGCTCAGTCCAGTAACTAATGACAGTCAGAAGTCTGTTTTGCATCATAGCATAAAAAAATCCTAATCTAATTTATATTATTTAAACATGTAAAAGGGATCAGGACTCTGTATTTAAAAATGGATCTGTATTGTAATGTAATGTGGCCTTACCTTCAGGTCGCTGCAACATAATTTTGTGATTAGAAACATCAAGCACAGAGAATTAAGACTATTTAACTCTTTTAACTTAGAGTGAGTCTGTTTATTCAACTTCTTTAAAGTGATCCGTTTGTGGAGAAAGCAGAAAAAACTTCAGTCACATTTTCAAAAGTCCTACTTTGAAATAAAAGTTGATTTTCTGTCTTCTCTTTGTTGTCAGGAATAAAAATTCCTTCATCCCAGAATCTATCAGCGCCCTACATGATTCCTGCAGGAGGAGATAACTGTTTCTGATATTAGATATTAGTGTATATTGTTATTTTTATTATAGATCAAGCTTCATCTGGGGGTCTTTTATTGGTACGCAAACTGCACATTGAACTTTGTTTCTGCATTTTAAGCACTCTGTTCATGCAAAAAATACTGGTATGACTGACATATGCTTTTCTTTTTACCTTCTTTATCGTCTTTAATGCTTTTTTTTTTTTTTACCTCCTGAACTGTTTTTTTATGTAAATGTATTTTATTTTATTCATTTCCTGTTTATGATGTATGTCAGTGTTTTAAATGTCTGTGCCTGCTGCAACACGATTTACCCATTTTTGGGACATAATAAAGTTTAAGTCTTTTTCAACCTTGGTGCCTTTTGATTTTGTCTTTTTTGAAGTTTTAATGTTTTTTTTTTATTTCTAGTGCAAATGTTCATGTGTGGTAACTTTGCTCTCAGTTGTTTCTATCATGATAAAAATAGAGAAATAATACTCTTTTGTAAAATAGGAGAGACGTCTGATAACTGTTTGGATTTTTTAATCTGTGACATAATTTCTGATGCAGTAAAAGTAACAATCAAGCCCCGTATCTAGAAGTAGCGGACCCATACTCACTCTGAGAAACCTTTCCATTTCAGCAGAAACTCCACCCTGCCCTTCACCACTCGGCGGTCCAGAACTTTCTCCACCACATACTCCTCCTCTTCCTCCTCCTCGGCTGGTGGTGCAGCTGGTGCAGCCGGTGCGGTGGCGGCCGTTGGTGCGGCGGCCGCTGTTGCTGTCGCCGCTGCCGCCGGAGCTGCAGGTGGGGGTGCTGCCGCTGGTTCAGCTGCGGGAGCTGCAGGCTGCTCCTCCTCCTCGCCCTTCTTGCCTTTCTTTCCTGCAACGGTCGCCAGCTTGACGTCTGCTGAGGGAGCCTGTGATGGAGGGAGAAGCAACAGATGGATCTGTGACGTATCCTCACCACTCTGATGAAACAGTTTTATAAGTCTGCAGAGCTGGAGGCTGTGCTCTCAGGACTGCATCCTTCAGACCCTTGTGGTGTTGTTGTCAGTAAGGCTAAAGGTTTGGGTTTCTTTTAGATATTCACTTCGTCAACATCTCGTTCAACAAAATCCGATTTATTGTCTTAGAATGACTGAAACTAGATTTAACAACACGTGTAAACAATTCAGTCTGAGTGGAATCACACGAAGTCAGACTGACATCGATAGATAATGAAGCTGGAGTTTGAACACGCCAGAGTTTCATCCTTAAATTAGACGTCTCTTGGAGGCTGAGTGATCAACAAAACATTGACATATAAAGAGATAAAATATAGTTTACACAGTAGAACATTTCTGATACTGCTAATCCTACACCATGTTTGTTCACAACTGCTCCACCTACAGTTTTCTAAGGGTCTCTTTTTCAGGCCTGACCACATTCCTGGTGTCTCCAACCACCTTTCACAGTCGGATATCCAACAGCACGCTCCGTACCTGATGAACCATTTTACATTTCTGAAACAGTAACTGTGTCCAACTGTGTTTTTTTTAGTGTTTCATGTCTGAGAATCTTATAAGTAATTACTGTCAGACATAATCATTTAAACTATTTAATGTTTGCTTTACTATGTGATATATCCAGTGTCCAAATACACACAAATACATGATAAAGTAACTATTTAGAATTTTAAACATTTGTTAGCATGAAAGGGATATCCCGGCGTAAAATAAATCTAGGGTCAAACACACCGTAACGTAAGGAAGAACATTTATGATTATATCTTTATCATTTCCTTGAAGTAATCACGGTAGTTCTTCTGTCTTAGCGTCTCGGTCTGATTGTATTTCCATGAAGAAATAATCATAAATGTTCTTCCTTGAGCTGTGTCACCCCGCTGTAGTCTGTAATGGACTGGCCTGAGGTCTCGCTACAAACAAGCGGCTGCTGGAAGAGAGTAGGTGAGTTGTGTTTAGTCTCTTTGCTAAAGAAATGAGTCAAAGTTAAAAAGATGTTTGGTGTCTAGTACTATGGCTGGGACCCTATATGTCCTGTTGATGAAGTTAGGTGCTGTTCTGAGCATTATTTGTGGCTATAGAGTGGCGTTTTGGTTGAGCGCGTGGCTCTCTGTATTTCTATCCTGCGGTCGTTACTAAAGTTGGTATAACTAGAGAAGCAAGCGGTCGGCAACATTCATCTCTGGAGGGGGGGTCTAACTCGGTGTGTTAGACCCTAACTTAATTTCATGCCGGAATATCCCTTTAATTTTTGCATTAATATGTGATATATTCACTGTCCAAATACAGCCAATACACGATCAAGTCACTGAATTTAAAACATTGATTAACATTAAGACACAAACTATTGGATAAAAGCAGTTTGCGTTGAGCTGAGCCCGCTCAGATTGGACAGAAAACACATCAATCATCATTGGTGGGCGGGATTAAGAGTCCACCATGAGCCCCGCCCCTCTCTGCAGGCTGCAGCCCAGCATACTTAGAGGCCAGGCCACTCATGTTACCGTGTTAATGTTTCACTCTGTGGGCTTTTGTCCTTTCCGTGGACATAAACCACCTTTTTATTCACTAACTCGTGTTTTTTACTCCCGTGTATCCCCACGTATGAGCGACTTAAATGTCCCGTCGGTTAATGTGTTCACAGACAGTGATGAAGAAAAACGCCCCCTTCCATGTCTGTGATTTTCAGACTCGATCCACGAGGGAAAAAAACACTTACAGAGGCCGATAACTCTCATTAACCGTGAAATTTTAGGTAAAGTTGCAGGTGATCAGGACTCAAAGTTCGCAACGTACCCCGAAAGGTTCCCGGTGTTTCTGTGGAGAACCTTTGGAGATCCAGCGTGCCGACTATCACGCATGCACGCGCTGTATGCAAGCCTCGCGTGCAGCATGAAAAAGCTCCACGTACGGAAAAACACACACACGGACATTTTCCCCCACTCTCTTTAACCGTCATATTCAGACAAACTACCAAACACGGGGCACGAAAACCGACCCAGGCGGCCTGCCCCCGCGACCAGAGGGCAACATGGCTGGCGTATGTTCCCTCCTGTGTTAGCTAACGAGCCTTACCTCTGCGGAGAATGATTCGGGGAGCTTCAACGGCGGGTCGGGAGGCCGAGGGGACACCGAGAAAACTGGGCCGGGTGGTTCTGGACGAGTGGACCGGTCCGTGCCGTTAAAAAAAAACTACCAAAAAATCCCGGGGTAGCGAGTCTTGAATGGATTTCTTCTCAATGTGCTGCAACAGAATAACACAATGGCCCTCAGCGTCGCTATCAACCAGGAAAGATCCCGTTCTGCCCGCCAACACCACCGGCAGTTACGTAACGTCGGATTTGGTTTACAAGGAATTGTGGGAGATGGAGTCTTTGCCGTAGAAAGTACCGCTTGATGGCGTTCATGTAGGAATAGTCCTTTTTTTGTAACAGTTATAGATATATGTGCTGTTGAGTAAGTATATTTAAACAAGAGCACAGTAAAGTTAAATCAGCTAATTTTCCAATGAGGTTCTGTGACTGAACGGAACTACACCATGTTCTACTGAGGTTAGTAGCTACATATAGGGTCACAGCCATAGTACTAGACACCAAACATCTTCTCAACTTTGACTCATTTCTTTGGCAAAGAGACTTAACACAACTCACCTACTCTCTTCCAGCAGCCGTTTGTTTGTAGCGAGACCTCAGGCCAGTCTATTACAGACTACAGCGGGGTGCCGCAGCTCAAGGTAGAACATTTATGATCATTTCTTTATGGAAATACAATCAGACCGAGACGCCAAGGAAGTAAAATGATTAATATGGTGATTATTACTTCAAGGAAATGATGAAGAAATGATCATAAATGTTCTTCCTTGAGCTGGGACACCCCGCTGTAGTTCGTAATGGACTGGCCTGAGGTCTCGAAGTTAGGTGCTGTTCTGAGCATTATTTGTGGCTATAGAGTGGCGTTTTGGTTGAGCGCATGTCTCTCTGTATTTCTATCCTGCGGTCGTTACTAAAGTTGGTATAACTAAAGAAGCAAGCGGTCGGCAACATTCATCTCTGGAGGGCGGGTCTAACTCGGTGTTGTGGTGTGTTTGACCCTAAATTAATTTTACGCCGGAATATCCCTTTAAAGTGCCTGTGGAGAACTTGTGGTTTTTGTCAATATTTGAGGATAGCTGTGCACAGAGCAGGCTTTTCTCTTAACTTCTACATGCTAAAGTGAGATCTATTGACAAAATCTCATCCTACTCAATTTTGTAGGGTGATATGTTTTTTAAACATTTATACACCTCATATACTGATCAGCTGACTCCAGAGAATTTTAATTTATTTTGATTTTTATTTAGTTTTTATTTTTAGTCTTACAGAAAAGACCCAAGTTCTTGAAAACCAGCAAGCACAGTGGGCATTAACAAAAGTATGAACGATGAAAAACAACCAAACAAACATTTCCCTCAGTGGAAGTGATAGACATGCAGATTTTAACACACTCAGACTTTGTCTCCATGTTTGTTACAGAGGCAGATTTTGGAAGGAGACAGTCCTGTCATATTGTCACCTGAGGGTGATGCAGATACAGTAGTTTGATACTAAAACTCATTAACTCCATCCCTTATAAAATAAAAAACAACTTTAAAATCTCTGATGTAGTTTCCTCTGGCTGTGTTTATTCCTGAGTATCTTCCAAAAAAAAAACTCTTCCTTTTGAAATAATAAGTAAATACAGCGTCCTGAGTCTTATAAGTTTAAAATTCTTCCAAATTTAATACTTTGCATTCAAAATTAAATCTATGCTGCAGCTGCCTGAAAGTGTGCACTTTACCCACAGCTTGGACACACTTATTTTCCCAATATCAAACCTAAATCTTATAACCAGTTTCTTGTTTTCTCTCTATCAGGACTTTACAGTTTAGTCATCCAGCTTACTCAAACAAAGTCTGGCTTTGTCAAACTCAGTCTGTGGTTTTCCCTAAACTCTGCACACAGTGACGGCAGGTTCAAGTCTGTGCGTGGCATTAAGGTCATGTGTGGGGCTTTGGACAAGATTTTAACACAAATTCACACCTTTACAGCTTCACAGACCCACAAATCAGTAAAAAAAACACATGAAAACACTCAAAGGTAAATTTAAGGCACAGGTAACACCCACTGCTGTCATGCAAAACAGTAAAAAAGGTAATGTTTACGATGAGACAGAGTCACTCCTCTGTTACACCCACATTGTACACAAAGAACTGCCCACTTCTCTCACACTCAGATGGTGATCTCTCAACATGAACCTCATCCACCAGATTCTGCAGTATTTTAAACCCGTGTACTTAAACCTACAAACAGACCCTCTGAGAACCAAGCAACGATAGATACATGAACACCAGTAAAAAGGGTTGCTACCATTTGTTAACAGCTTATATCAACTAAAACTTGAAGTCTGTCGAACGGCATGAGGGGGATGTTTTCAAGAAAAGTCTACAGTAGCGGATCTTCTCCAGTTTGGATTTTCTTGCTTCACGTGGGTCCAGATTTGTTGGTAGTTTTGGCGAAAGCTTGATCCATCTTGGTCGCCTGTGGTTTCTCCATCATGTGGGGGATGAAAACACTCAGGTTTGAGATCTTTGACCCAAAGTCTTGAGCCTGCTCAAGTGAATTTGGGTGAGATAGGATAACCACAACCAGCTCAAGAACTTCAGATCCAGGTTTCCCTTCTTGTTGGACAGCTACCCTTCTTCTCTGGTAGTTAGGAGTGGTTATCTGTAAAGTCTGTGATTGTCTTCATCAGCCAGGATCCAGCCCGCTGTCAGTCTGTTAACCCGTCCAGCCCGATACCTGAAGAAGTCCTGAACTAGAACTTTAAAACACTGGTCCCTGCTCGTTTCTCATCCTGAGCTCCAGTGTCCAAACCTTTAGACTGAAAAACTTAACCCCGTCCTAAAGTTGAATCAAGCTCTCCGAAGTAATCCCTTCTTCCCTTTTTTGGGGAGCTGTTTTCAATCTGTGCAGATTTTCTCTGTCATCCGAGCCACACAGCGTTTCTCGGGATAAGGCGATCTGTTAAGATGTGTAAAGAGACCGTGAGCACCATCCTCGGAGGTCCTGAGAAACGGGTTTCTTTAGCGTAATTTTGATCCCAGTCCAGTTCAGGAATCCCCTCAAATTTCCTTCGTTTCTAAATGTCTTTGACGTATCTTCACTTCTTCTTGTCCCGTTGTTTCTTGCTTGTTTTTGTCAGAGGATGCACCGCCCTCTGTTGGCGTGAAGCCACTGTGACGCCGCCGTCAGGCTCAAACTCGAGCAGATACTCCATGGCGTCCAGCGGCCTCCCCTCCTCGTCCCTCAGCCTGGAAAAGACCTCCTGGTACAAAACCCCCAGCTGGCGCTTCATCTCCTGCAGATGTTTCAGGGCTTCTTGTTTCTCCCGGAGCAGCCGTGAACGATAGCGCCTCAAACCCGAGACGTCGTCCTTCAGTCCCAGCAGACAGTCCATTTTTCTCTTCCTGCAGTTCTGGGCGGCGATCTTGTTCTTACCGCGGCGTCGAATGTCTCTGATGAGGACGAGCTGCTCCTCGGTGAGTCTGTATTTTGCCAGCAGGTCGTTGAACTCCTCCACCGGCAGATTGATGATCAGTTCATTAGAGAAAGGGACCTTCAGGGCTCGAGCTCGCCGATCATCCCGGCTCCACATTTTGGAGTCTGAGGCGTGTTTGGAAGAGGACCTGTACGGCTTGGCGTTGTTGTGACGGGGGAAAGACTTGGGGTGCTTGGTGGACATCTTCCCCAAAGATGGAGTGGAGGGCGAGGACCAGGGCTGGTTGTAGGTGTGATCATGACCGATGTGCTCCATCCATGGAAACCCGCTGAACATCTTCTGATCCTCGTAGTCAAGAGAGAAAGGTTTCACATCCGCCAGACAACTTCCTCCAACTGCACCCATCTCCTCCTCGTCCAGCTCCTCCTGCTTTATGACGATATCCATCTCTGAACCGACCAACCCGTCTTCAGCTTCTCTGTCCTCGACCTCAGAGAGAGGACTTCTCACAGCCGAACCACAAGAGGAAGAGGAGGAGGAGGAAGAGGAAGAGGAGGAGGAATAAGACGAGGCCTCAGAAGCACTAGGAGAAGCAGGGCTGTGGCTGAAGTCCAGAGAAAGACCAGAGTCTGAGTCGGCTTCATCCAGGTCGTCTAGGAAAAGAGAAGAAGACAAGGTAAGGACATTCAGTCGTTTGGTAACCACCTCGAGCCTCGCTAAGGTACGAGAGGATGGACTGGTTACCTTGCTGATCTGGTCTTGGTTGATCCAGATCTCCTGTGGCCTCCATGCTGGAGCTTGAGTGGTCTTCATCTCCGCTTGTTTCTTGCTTGGCCGGTTCACTGCTGAGGTAGCCCTCCTCTTCCAGCCTCGCTGCCATCTCAGGACTGAACCCTTCTCCCAGCACCAGGTCCAACAGTCTGATCTCCTCTAACATTGACGTGTCCTCCAAGAGGTCATCAAGTGGACCGAGAAGACCATCTTCATCCTCGACATTTTCATCTTCATCAAACAGGAAGTCTGTCGCAGATGACCTGGGGTTCTGGGTCATACTGTTCTCCTCATGTTCTGAGCTGGAAAGTGGGAAGTCCAGTCCCAGTCTGAAGTCCTCTGAAGGGTACTCGGTCTGCAGGTCACGGTGAGGTGGAGGACTGTGCAACGGATTCACATCAGAGTTCTCCCAAGTTCTCCTCGGACCGTGATCATCCAGCTGTGCACTGGGGGTGAGCGACTCCAGCTGAGGCGACCTCAAATAACCTGAAGAAGAAGAGAAACATCGACAGGACCGTCAATCCGTGGACACTCACGAGACTTCACTGTCGTCCAATAACAGATCAGTCCTGAGACTAACGTGGTTCTGTTCTTATTCAATGACCCAAACCGGATTTCCAACCATCGTCATTACACACTACCGACAATCTGCAGAGAAGGAGAACCAAACAGGGTCCAACCCTTCAGAACCAGCTGGGCTCTAACTGTCTCCACACACCAAGCGCGAGTTAAATCATTCGCGCGAATGAATTACATGTTAAGTCAATGTAAAGACGCGAGTAGACGCTCCTACTACTCTGGCGGCGCAAATGAGGCAAATTGGGCTGAAAATGTCTCAACTTGAGCGGATATTCGCGATAACCAATCAGAACGAAGGTTGCCAGGTGACGTATGAAAACGGACGGATGTTCACTGGTATTTAAAATAAAGAGGAGCTCGCATGGAGGCGAATGAGTGAGGAGATCAGATGACCTGGTAGATTGTAAAAAAAAAAACCTTTGTCCATCACTTGATCCCGCCGGTTGAATTGGCAGGGATTACCGTTGACGCGCGAATGAAGCGAGTAAATACTAATCATTCACGCGTAGATGATTTTACCCGCGCTTGGTGTGAGCGCCCCATAAGAATCATTCAGTCCAGTCCAACAAGGACCCCAGTTCTCTGACTGCACAGACAGGAAATCCCACAATCCTCTGACTGTTATTACCGTTCATCTGAGGAGCTCCAGCCCCGACATCCTGAAGGCCCCCGGCCGGTCTTTGGTTCCCGTTGTGATCAAACGAGGTCATGTGAACATCTGTGGTGGTCTGCAGGGAGAGGATGATGGAGTTAACGCAAACCAAGTTCACCTGCCAGGTGTCTGCTTATCTCCACCCCCTCACTCACCTCAGGCTCCATGATGGCCAGCAGGTCCTGCCAGTGCTGCTCCAGGTCCACTGGGGGGTTTCCTGTGGGGATGATGGGGGGGCACAGGGGAGCACGGTTATCCCGGCCTCTCCGTCTGCTGCCAGAATCAACAAACTGAGAGGAAAACAAGAAAATGATGAAGTCCAGTTCAGAGTCAAAACAGCAGAGAGGGACAGACAGGAAGTCGAGGACCTACCTGTTCTTCAGTGAAGGGGAAGGTCTCCTGGAGGAGCCGCAGACACTCCTGGAGGGAGACTGAAGTCTGATTGGGGGAAAACAGAGGAAGGGGAAGAAGTGTGAGGAGTGATCTAAAAACTTTTATTTAAGAACCTTTTATAAATCTGTCGGCCTAAAGTCACTGAACTGGTTACAACCCAAATCAAGACGGCAATTTCACCGGCTTCATTTCCTTTTAAACGTGTTTATCTCCATCTACCTTCATATTTAAAAGAACTCTTGACCCCATATAACCCCCATACTCTCTTAGACATATGAACCACAAGAAGTCGGCAAAAGATCGTTCCAGTATAAAGCCCCGTCAGATCGGAATAACCTCTTTATTTATGTTCTATTACTTCTTTTTATCACTTCAGAACGGCTCTATAATCTCATCTCAAAACAAACTGCTCATGTTTCAGATTTTTTATGTTCACATTTTTTCTCCTTGTTAATAAGTTTTGTCTATTTTGTATGTCAGGCGTATGTTGGTTGGGGTTGTGTGTGGGAGTAAGATGTCTGTATTTGTTATATTTTATATATGTTAATGTACGGTAATGTGTCCTGAGTTCAATGTATGTTTCTAAGTGTTTTAAAAACAGACTTAAGTTAGTTTTGAGGTCTTTTACGCGTATGTGGGTCACGTCTCCATCCATGAAGAACTTTTTCTAAGAAGTGGTTCCAGTTTGACCCACATGACTTCTGAGAAAACACACCTCCGTTTAGTCCCTCCATCTTCACTGTCATAAATCAGACCGCTCTGACCCCTGACCTCTGACCTCGGTCTAATGCTTTCTCTCTGTGGAAATGGTGGATTCTGGGTAACGGATTCTTGTTAAAGCAGCTGTTGACCTCATTAAAAGAAATGAAAGTTATTTTAAACCTCATTTTTTAAAGCTCTCTGTGAGTTTTTATTTGTTGCTCAGATTTTAGGGCTTTAAAACTCTTTAAAAACCCTCTAAAAATCAAACTCTGGACTTTCAGCCGTGTTTTATCTCTCCTCGCTGACACACATGACCCTGAGAGTGTTACATGTTAGAAACTCTCTGTGGGTGTAACATGCGCTCCAGAGTTCAGCTGTTTCAGAGTGTCACACACACTTTCTGTTCGGCTGAGCTGGCAGCTGTTCGGCGTGTAGAGATGAAGCATCCAGATCTGATTCCAAGCATGACGGCGGCTTCGATCACCTCACACTAGCTTACGTTTACACGCAGGCTGCACGCCAAGCCGGCGCTGAACATGCACATGCAGGATTGTGTCTTTTTAGTTTTATTTAAGCATTAATGAATCCTGGTCTTTAGTGTTTCTGAGTCTCACCTGGTCTACTTCATTCTGGGTCAGCTCTCTGTGAGACCCTTCTGGTCTCCCTCCTTCGTCTGTCCTCCTGTAGAGCCCCGCCATGTCGTCCTCTTCCTCCTCTTCCTCTCCTCCGTGATAGAGGACATGATGAGTTTCATCCTGGAGATAAAAATAATGACAGATCCTGTCAGAGCGGCTTTTACACTGCTGAGTCAACGAGTTTCATCTGGATTTGAGTCCCGACTGAAACCTGGAGGACTTTATTGAGGTTCAGTATCACCATTAAAAAAGCTAACGACGAGCTAAAAAGAGAAGCTAACAAGGATGTTTACGGACGAAACTGTGGAGTCGTCACATGACTACATCGCTGTGTAAAAAGTAACACCAACACAGTTTTCTTTGTTATATCAGAGGAAAAACAGCCGAAGAGAAGCGTTTCATACAGCTGCTAAAGTTAGTGATTTGTGTTTACGTCTGTGTAACATTAAAAAAAGGGATTTTGAGTCGCTATTAGACCGACTTCAAGAAGTTTTTTAGAGTGGAAAGGCTCATTTAGGAGTTTTGGTTGAACCTTCAGATAAGAACAGACGCAGAGGTCTGGAGACTGTAAAGAGGTCAAGTATTATGATAATGCCTCAGTACTGTACAGAGCTCTTCTGTTAGCGGTTATGTATAGAGCATAAAGGCGCCTGTTTCACCCAGAGACAGACAGCAGGGCTCAGAATAACTTTAACCTTCTCCTGACCAGGCTGGGGGGCTTACAGACGAACCCAGAGACCCTTGGCAGCTGGGGAGCGAGGACACGTATGTGAGTTTTAACAGCCTGAACACACACAGTCCTCACTTTAGAGTTTTAGTACCGATAAAAACACGAGTTTGATTCATGTTGTCCCTCTGAACGAAAACCATCATATCAGTTACAAAAGACCTGAGACAGGAAGGGAGGAGTCCAGGTCAGACAAAACTCAGACTGGACGTTTTAACATTGGACTCTATGGGGATTGACTCACTTTAGGAGAAAGCCTCTAGTGGACATCAGAGGAACTGCAGTTTTGGGATTCTTTTTAAACCTTGTCTTTTTGGGTTGCTGCTCGTTTCTAATGTTTTTACCTTCAAATTTAACGAAAATACAACCTCATGATGTTTATTAAAACAGGTGGACTGATGGGACGTCCTGTCCTGTCCTTTCAAAATAAAGGCGCAAAAAGACCAAACTGATCGCTTATAGAGAGAGGAGCTACAACCTGATGACAAAATAAAAGTGAACGAAGCATCTCTGCTCCAGCGCATTTGTTTACTTGGATGCCTCTAGTTCTTTGTGTGTATGTGTGTGTGTGTGTGTGTGTACGCAGTAAACAGGGGGTATTGCAAAACGAAGCCTTAGATGCGTGTCAGAACGAAACATGCCAGCGATCAGGTTTCAAAACAAGCCGGTCAGTCACAAGGCCAGGAGGCTAAGAGAGAGTTTGGCGTGTGTGTGTGTGTGTGTGTAGGGTCTGAGTGTGACTTTATGTGTGTGTGTGTGTGTGTGTGTGTGTTTGCCAGCAGAAACACGGAGACGATTCAAAAACACTGTCATGTTGATTTCCAGTTTAGAAGAGAAGACACGTGTTTTCTGAGCGCTGGATCAGATTTTTACTGTCCTCTGAGTGTGTGTGTGTGTGTGAGAGAGAGAGAGAGAGAGAGAGAGAGAGAGAGAGAGAGAGAGAGAGAGAGAGAGAGAGAGAGAGAGAGAGAGAGAGAGAGAGAGAGAGAGAGTGTGTGTGTGTGCATGAGAGAGAGTGTGTGTGTGTGTGTGTGTGTGTGACACCAAGCTTGTTGTTGAAGATGTTGCTTAATATCCAGATCATCCCATCCAAAATTTTTCCTGTCACCACTTCTCAACAGTCCGTTTGATTTCTCTGAATTATCTCCCTGAAAACAAAAACCTCAGAGACTCCGAGAGCTGCTGATTTACGCCTCTGTCACAATAAAACACCTGTCCTAACCTCAACCCGGGATCCTCTCAGGGGGTCGGAGATTTCCCCCTGCAGAGGAAAAGCCTCAATAAAAGTCTCAGAGTCGTTTGCAGCCCACCCTGAAAACGGCTCTAAGTTTTCACGAACACACCTTAATAAAAGTTCTCGTCATAAATCCTGCTGAACTACTTCAGTCTGATTAAATGATTCCTGACAGACTGAACCCGGAGCCTCGGGGCTAACAACTCTTTTAGATGTTCCTGTGAACATGATGTTCTCCTCAGATGGTTCTGAACGTGTCTGTATCTGCAGTGAAGGACCTGACAGTCTCTCAGTCTGACACAGATCCAGGTCATGTGAAGCTTCAGTCTGGGCTCAGGACCGGAGCTTGACCGGGCCTGTCTGAGGGGGACTATAAATAAATCAGACTGTCAGGGAGGTGTTATGAGGATCAGGGGAACTCCTGACAAAAACAGGAACTTTAAAAAAACAATCCCCCCTCAGAGGTGTTCCTACTCTGTTCTGTCTCGGTGTATTTCAGTTTTTCTGCTCCTGTTGCTTCACTTTCTGGGCGGGGTGATTTTCATGCGGTGAGGTGAGGTTTCCTCATGACTCATCGAACTCTGACTCATTATATCACATGACATAAAGACACAGTTTTGGTAACAGTCAAAACAAGAGCTGCAAACTTCTCCACATCACCACCTCACACAATAGATCTACAAATAGAAGCTGGATCTGTTGTTCTCTTATAATCCGCTCTGGTGTGTCACTTTTAAAGCTCGAACAGATCTGGGGAGTTAATGACTGACAGGCTGCTGCTGTTGCTGTAGAAACTAACTTTGTATATTTGCCTTTTGTATCATATTTGATTCATACTTTTATCTAATCAATATGATCTACAAATGACTAAAAAACACCTGAATACAGTCTGATAAATGATAAAAATGTCTTCTTGTAGTTTCAGTTTCCAAAAACATCTAATGCACCAAACTCGGGGAGACAGAACCGTCTCCTTTTACACCCCCAGTCTCCGATGGGTTTGGCGTTCACCTCAAACCCACCGGAGACTGTACTGACCCCCTCATTTTTAAATGACTCTTAAAAACACACTTTTTTAAATTGGCTTTTAACCTTTTACATCTTTGACTTTATTTTTCATAATTTTCTGTATTTTTAATTTTTTTTCATTTCATTTTCTTCTTTTTCTTGTAAGGCGTCTTTGAGCACCTGTAAAAGCATGTTTTAAATAAAATTTATTATTGTTTTTTATTATTATTAATTTTATTATCATTATAATAACAATTATTATAATTATCATTATTATTATTATTAATGTATCAAACGAGATAAATAAATATATTTGTTAAATTTTAAGGACATTTTGATTTATTTTGGTTTTCAGTTTTAAGTGAAATAAACATTTCAGCTCCAAAAAGTTTTCTGGCCATAATTTGTGTTTTCAGGTATTAAAAGTCTACAAGTGACTTTTTATGATTTATTATCAGTCCTGGGTTTAAAATAGACCGTTTTTAAACTCTCTGAATAATCTGGATGACTTTTTTTAAAAATGTGGATCATCTACAAAAGACTAAAAACGTCATTTAAGCTGCAGTTTCACCAAAAGTACCCAAAACGTGTGGACACAGAGGGAACTTTAGAGGGGTTTAAAAGGTTCCTGGAACTTTTTCAGAGTTAGTTTGAACTACGATTACAGCTGGATAAGGTGATTTCACTCTTTACTTCCTCCGACACGTTTATACTTTAACGTTCAGGTCAAAGCCCAAACTGTGAAGCATGTGCAGGACGTTTAAGAGGCGAATTAACTGGATTATGTAGATTTGTTCAGAAATTCACTTTCAGTCTCACTAACAGGTTCACACAGACTTTTAAAAGTCCGGTTTCAGTCTGTCTAAGGCGGTAAATCGATTTAATGAACTTTCACACATACTGGCTGTAAAAGTACCTCCTAAAGCTCCTCCCACTGAGGTGAAAGTTCCTGCTGAGAAAATGAAATTCACCGACTCATGTTTATGACCCTGAAACGTAATTCCAACAAACTTCCGAGTGTGTTTGGAGGTGAAAGTCGTCACTAACTCGTTGGTTTTGTGGTCGTTTTACGAGCTCAGAGACAAGAACCGCTCAGGATTATGACTCGGACAAAGGTCAGCAGGTAACTCTGATCATGACTTCTCCTTTTACCAGAACCAATGAGGAAATCCCGACTCTGGAACTTCTCTGTTTCCTTTTTAAGTTTACTTTAGGTTAAACGGGAATAAATCAGGTCGAGAAAGAAAGAGTCGTACCTCTTCCTCGTCTTCATCCTGCAGGGAAATGATCCCCGGTCTTGGTTCCACAGGTGGAGCAGGTAGTGGATCCGGCTCTCGTTGGACCAGCCATGTCTCCAGCTCAGTGGTTGGAACCTGTGGAGACAGACGTAGGACAAAGTGACCTTTCATGACTCTAACCGACCCGTTTCTTCATGTTTGTTCTGATCCGGTGAGGTCGGACTTGTTTTCTAACCTGCAGTCTGTCCAGAGAGCGGACAAAACCCAGCAGCCTCCGCGACGTGAAGAACTCGTCCAGGTCCACACTCTTCGGGTGGAGGTCCTGGCCGTCTTCGAGGCGGTTCCTCAAGTTGTGGAACTGCGTCTGCGTCAGCGCCGATGTCGGACCCAGGATCATCTCGTGTAAGGAGGGCGGGAGGTAGGTCTCCAGCCCCACATCCACCCTCACCCCACACAGGCTGAGCAGGATGGCCATCTGGATCAGGCCCTCGGTGAAGTACTTCTTCAGGTACAGCATGGTCTTTGGTTCGTCTGAGGACCTGGAGCGGGTTCAGAGCAGAGTTAAACGGGTTCTTTAACTTCAGTTATAATCTGAACGCTTCCATCTGGACCCAAAACTCCTGATAGAACCACAAACACCAGAACCGTCCAGAGTTTTCACTAACAGGAGTTCTTCTTTGGAGCTCTGGTTGGAAACACCTCGATAACAATAACGGCTCCACCTTTATCACCACATATCTCCTTTTGTCAGAGCGGGCTGACCTGCTCAGAGGAGGCGGTTGAGAGCTCTGACAGTTAGTGTGAGCCGATAAGAAACAGAAACAGAGTCAGCCTGTTCAACCACTTTCAACACCGCCGACCTACTTCTGGAACAGTCTCCACAGGGCTTGGTAACCACCTGCCTCCCTGCAGCAGCCGCCGCCGCCACTGTATGATGTAATGACAGAGTTCGCCTGGAAAAACCCTCCTGCCTCCTCCTCCTCCTCCTCCTCCCCGGGTTCACTCTCATGCTATGGTAACCTGTTTACAGGAGCTGCAGTGGAACAGCTGAGTGTACAGGAATCCAGAACTCTTCAATACCACCTTAAAAGACACCGGAGTGAAGGCTGATGAACTCAGTGCACTGTGCTACAGGCTAATACAGGGACTTTAAGTGTAATCCTGCTGTGTGTGTGTCTGTGTGTGTGTGTGTGTGTGTGTGGTCTGGGGTAAATCAGGGTCTCAGTATTGCATCATGTTTACAGTCTAGTGCAACAAAAGGACTCTGTAGGAAGAACTCATTGTGCTTCACAGCGTCTGTTTTGTGCACTAAAATCAAAATGAAGCGTCAGATATAAGGAGAAACTTTTAAATCTGAACTTTGAGAAACTTTTATTTCCTCTCTGGTCTGACAGGAAGTTCGCACTTCACTATTGCATCATGTGAAAGTACCAAACTTACAGTCAAATTATGCAAATTAAAGAGGGATGTGAGCTAAATGTGCCTCAAAGTGAAAACACCTGTGCACTAAAGTTATTACATCTGTGTGTTGTTCAGTTATATGTTGTTTACTCGTATTTTTAAAGATATCACAGCTCTTTGTGTCAATACTTTCATTTTCAGAACCTGGTCTGTATCTGGGCCAACCTTCTGAGCATGACTGCATAATAAAGAGAATTTAAATACTTCCCTGTGTCTCATATTTCACTCACTTTATCAGTTTCATGAGAAACCCAAACTCTCCTGTCACTGCAGATGTTAGATAATCCAAATTAAGATCAAGAACAACATGTCCATTTGAGTTTTAGCGTCTCAGAACAAAAGAAAACCCAAAGTTAGACAGAAATATGAGTTTTAATCTGAAGTATATTGATAAAGGCTGAGGTTAAGGTGGTGTGTGTCCGGTGTTTTGAGTGGAAGTGTTTGTTTTTCCGCCTGTTTGCGTGGACATGAAGCTGAATCCGTGTGCAGATGATCCGGAGCAACAGGTTACACAATGTTTTCATCCTCAGCAGCACACACTGAACTACATCTGATACACTATTATGTCCGGGAAGACATACACTAAATATTACACAACGTCTGTACTAAGAAAACATCAACACAAAGAGGAGACAGAAAATCTTTAACATCTTTAAAGTCAGAGAAGAAAATAAAAACTAAAAACTTTAAAAACATTTTAGAGAAATAAACTGATTTATGTTCTTACCGGAGTGTGTCCGTCTATGTGTGTGTGTTCCTGAATGTTCTCAGTGTTTCTCTCCCGGCTTCAGTTTCTGTTCTGATCACACCGGGAGGGAGGAGCCTATTTATAGGGACACGACGTGATGACGTTTCGCTAGCCCCGCCCAGGGAAAAAACACCGATTGTTTGTGTGTGTGTGGTGTGATTGTGAATCTGTGTGTGTGTGTGTGTGTGGTGTGATTGTGTGTGTGTGTGTGTGTGTGTGTGTGTGTGTGTGTGTGTGTGTGTGTGTGTGAGGCAATATTTACCCGTTTATGAGCGTGAGAATAAAAACATCCAACAGTGAAAGTTAAAAAAAAGATTTTTCAGAATAACATGGGAGAACAAAAACAAACTCAAAGTAAAGATTATAAAACTTTAGAGACTCTTGAACCAACTTTACCTGCTAGATTCACTCCCAGCTTCTTAGTTTGGGTGTTTTTGGCAGTTTATTAGTTAAAGGGATATTCCGGCATAAAATTAATTTAGGGTCAAACACCAAATATGAATAAAACACAGACCTAAAATAAACTGAGGCTAAATAGAATAAATGAAGATAAAACGATAAATGATAAAGAAATGATCATAAATGTTCTTCCTTGAGCTGCGTCACCCCGCTGTAGTCTGTAATGGACTGGCCTCAGGTCTCGCTAGAAACAAGCGTCTGCTGGAAGAGAGTAGGTGAGTTGTGTTTAGTCTCTTTGCTAAAGAAATGAGTCAAAGTTCAAAAGATGTTTGGTGTCTAGTACTATGTCTGTGACCCTATATGTCCTGTTGATGAAGTTAGGTGCTGTTCGGCAACATTCATCTCTGGAGGGGGTGTCTAACTCGGTGTGTTTGACCTAAATTAATTTTATGTCGGAATATCCCTTTAATACAAAATTCACAATCACAACCCCACATTTCCACATCTGATTTTGGTCTTCAGTCCTGCTCCTGGACCTCCAGGTCAATAAATAATCCACACACAGGTCGGTACATCATTCTGTCTTTATTTAGAAAATTTTAAATAATTTCCATCAAACAGTCAAATACATGAGAGCAAACTTTGAGCTGAACGTAAGGCAACATGAACATTCAGAGTCTCCTCCTGTAAAAAGGTTAAAGTGGACCGTCAGCTCTTTGTGTTTTTCTGACTGATGTTCAGTGACTGAACGGAGCGGCTCGCTCTGAGTTTAAGGACATCAGCTGAATATTTACAGTAATGTGTTCAAGGCAGAAATCAAGCACACCATGGCACATGAGAGAAAAGGTTTAATATGGTTTAAAACACACTGATGTGATGATTTTGGTCAGAGAGGAGTTTTCAGGTTCATGTAGAGCTTTAAAATATTCAGATTTAAGATGATTTAGTAAAAGGAGACACAGAGGTAGGTCGTTCTGAACAGATTTCTCCCACCTCCGTCTTATCTTTAAAAGAAGTATTTACCTCCAAACATCAGGCAGTTTTTATGAGACTTAATCACTTTATAATATCTTGGATAAAAAGCATGAAGAGAAACTCTGACGACCACTTGGAGCAGCTTTACTTGGTGGTGGTTTTGTGTGGTCCACTATGAGGATAAATCTGTGGCTCTGATGAACCTTTAATCTGTTGTTAAATTAAACCGACTGTGCGGCGTCCCCTGACCAGCAGGGGAGGACTGAGAAGATCTTTTTATTCTGGATTAAAACGAGCTCAGAGATCGATTTTCTTCTTCATATTAAACCTCAAAGTTCCTTCAGATTTCACCTCATTTCACTTCACATGTAAAAACGATGAACATACTTCATGGTGAAGGACTTAATTTAACATAAACACAAAGTAAATCTGCTCCCCTGTATTAAGTCTCCACTCTCTAGGGCCTGTTTCCACTGACAGAACCCACCACTTTAACTCCACAGCGCCACCTTAAGTGCTCGGTCATAATAATCTCCTTTTTTTATGAGTCGGGTTATTATTGCTCTGTTTACCTCAGATTTTGTTTTTGTGTCGTAGCTTCGTGGTCCCGCCCCCCTCTGATCTGGATTGGTCAGTGATGGAAAAGTGACATTTACAAATGCGACAGAGTTCATGGGAAAACATGGGAGTTGTTGATCCTCTGCTGTCACATTTAATCTCCTGTAAAGTTTCTGTAAACTTTCATTTTTTCAAGGCTTCATGTGGAATATATTTCTATGGCAGCAACAAAAAAGAAAAGTATTGTGTCAAAGTAAAGACAAAAAAAGTGCAAGTTTGGCAAAGAAATAGCATGAGTAGTTTGATCGTCTGTTTATGAAAGTTGTACTAAACTCACACACTCACAAAACTCCTGAAAATAACCAGAAAATACACGGTGCACCTGAATTCAGCCTGGACTGAACCTGCCAGCCCCTTGGGAAAATTTCCATACGGAGTCAGGACAGACCGACGGGAATATTCTGGAAAATTCACCTACAGTGAGCGGGGATGTTTATGTCATGTGACCAGAGCGAATTCAGGTCGCAGAAAGAAGCGTGAGGATGAAAAAGTCGCCCGTTTGGCAGCGATATAAAAGTAAAAACTGGAGTCATGTTGGTCCCCGTGTCATCATCCTCCATCATGTTGTAAAACAGAAACAACAGGTAAGACTTCAACTACGTTTGGCGACTGAGCTTCTTAAAATGTCTGGAAATTTTCAGGAGTGTGTGAGAAAAATGTTTATGAAATACTTTTTGACGTTGTCTTATTAAACCTCTCTTCCTTTTATATCGTTTGTTCCTGACTCTTTCTTTGTTCTTCATTTTCTCCTCTTTTCTTTCTTCTACATTTTTCCTTCATTTCTATAAAATAGCACTAAACTCCTCCCACCCTCACACACCTCCTCCTCCTCCTCCTCCTCCTCTTCTCCTCTTTACGACCCAGCCTCCTGCTCCTGTCCCAGAGCCTCTAACAGGAGTCCCATGGGGGTCCTCTTCAGGCCGATGCTCTCCAGTTTGTTCTCCAGTTTGTTCTTCAGGTTGCGCAGCCTCACCGAGGCGTGGACCAAAACCACTGAGAGGAGACGAGACGCAGAGAGATGAGGAACGAAACATAATTTAGAAACTCAGATGTTTATGTGAAGACTCCAGAACGTTTCTGCTCAGAGTGGAGCCTGAAAACAGACACACTCACTCAGTATAGGGAAGGCTATCCCGAACAGAAACACCGCCACGCCGCCGAGCACCGATATGAAGAGGTAACTGCCCACAAGGATCCCCAACACGGCACCTGTCGGATGGTTCCTGCGAAAACGGCGAATGGGAGCCTGATTTTCAGCCGCCCAGACGAAACCGAGGAACAAGGAGGTGACCACGATCGCCCCGACCAACATCTGAAGGGGCTGAAGATACCTGAGGGAGGAGAGAGGCGGGATTAACTGCTGACATTAAAACTTTCACAGCCCTGAGAGGTGGTCCACAAAAGTCTACCAGAGACCTTCATCTGCTGAGAAGCTTCATGGAGATCCAGGACCCTGACCACGGCACCAGAGCTAATCTTGAGCAGTTTTTTTTTTACGTGTTATATTCTGAAGATGACAGTTCTGTTTACACTCATTCTGTTGGTTTACAGGGATGAACAACATCCTGAAATATCTGCAGATACACGAGTTAGAGACAAAACTAGGACTGACTTGATGGAGTGATCCCAAATATGAAGAATGGATCATCTTACCCCGCTCTCCCCTATTCAGAACCAGAGAGAGAGAGAGAGAGAGAGAGAGAGAGAGAGAGAGACATATGACCACGTCAGAGGACTGGGACTGACCCCACCAGCAGCAGCAGGATCCCGGCGCTCATGAAATAGTTGCTCTGGTAGTACAGCAGGTTGTTGATGATCCGGTTGTTCCAGCGGTCCAGATCCCGCACGTCCGGCACCGCGAACCGGGCCGAGCAGAGCAGGAAGTCATCCAGGCTGCGGAGGGGTGGCGGCTGCACGCCTGCCATCTTTTCCCGAACGATAACAAACTGGATTTCCCAGAATGCAACGCGATGGGGAATAAAAACTGAGGACGTAAAGGGGGAGGGTCATTCAGAGGCGCGGGCACGAGCGTCGAGAGCGCGCTTTGAGTGCCACAGGACAGAGTTTAGTGAAGTATTCGAACCATCAGCCACACGTCTGTGATGGTTTATATTCACTCTGTTCATGTTTAAGTTTATTTAAAGACTTTTTAAATAATCTTTTTATTGAGAACAAAGTACAAAGAAACTGTGATGTTAAGAAACTATATATATATAAATATATATATATATATATATATATATATATATATATATATATATATTTTTTTTTTATTATTATTATTTTTTTTCTCTGAACACATGAACACAAACACCCAGCCCATCCCAGTTTGGCCACCTGCTGCTTGCCGTAGATGTAGCGCCAGCTGATGTCGACTCCTAACCAGATCGCATACATGTACGTTACAGATGACTTCTGGTGGTACAGCATGGATTCGCCTCTTTTGGTCTTGATAGTTGAGCAGTGTAGCACTATGGGAGTTTCTAATTTTTGTGACCAGCCTCTAGTGGACACTCGAGGAACTGCAGTTTTGAGACTGCACTGTATTGGCTTTGTTTTGGTGGCAGCTTTAATGCATCCCTTTGGCCTTGTTTCCATAATCTCGCTGTCTCCGTAGACCTCATATAAAGAACATTTTGTCCAAGTGACACAAAGGTAAGAAAACAGGAAAAGAGACTTAATATTAACAAGGACTCACTTTCAACAAATAATTCTTATCATAAAAAAATTATTTTCTGCACTTTTAGACATGATTTTTTTTACAGTAACTCCCATTATATAAAAACAGAAATGCAAAAAAAAATGGTATTTCAAGATAATGAGAAAATAATAACTCCATATTTAAAATAAAGACAAATTAACTCAAAAACATGACAAAATTGATCACAAATGATATTACAATAATGAAAAAGTGCCCAAATAATGGCTAACTATCTTTTAATAAAGGTCAAGTTTCCCAAAAACATAATAAAAATATTTGCTACATGATGGCATTTTATCTAAAAGTAATAGAGTTTAAATTATTGTCTAAAAATCTCCAAATTTAAACAAAGAATTTCAAAATAATGACTTTATATCCGGTATAAATCTGTGTGACTTCATGGCTCTAAATAACATCTTAATATCTCAACATTAAAAATAGTCTTATGACAAAGGCTCTTTAATAATACATTTAAGAGTCAAAGCATCTCAATTCAATGATTCAGAATCTAAAAATATTGACGTTTCCTTTCAAAATAAAGTGTCATTTATTAAAACAACAATAACTTCTCTTTAAGCTGGTTTGTCTTATTTTTTTTAGTTAATATTTTAGTTTATTCAAAAAACGTTCAGTTAATGACTTCATTAGGAACATTTCCTGCATATTTTCAGACGAAGATTTCTACTGTAACGTCTTCATCACAAGACAAAGGCTTTTATTGTGAAAGTGTACCGGGAGCGCGCTCTGCCACCGGCTCTGTGGCTCTATCCACAGATATCTATCAGAAAGGCTAGATGACTCGAGGCGGAGTCACCGGCGTCCCTGCACGGCGGCCATCTTACTTCAGTTTACCATTCTGGTTCTCTCTATGGTAGCTGACGGGAGGTGAGGAATCTGTATGATTTAAAATAACTCTTAACTCACCGAAATCTTGACAGAATTACAAATAGTTTTATTTATTACTGACCTTAATAACATGGCTATGAGTCAGGATGCTTGGACATATTAAAATGGCAGATTTACTTTGAGAAAAAGAAAAGACTTAATCGTGAAGCACAGTTGTTCGATGGGTATTTGAGCGCAAGGGCTAACTTTGAGTCGCTGAGACCACAATTGAGATTTTAATTTCCTGTACGACAGCCTATTTTAAATCTATATTTTTATTTATTTATTCTAAGTGTCAGTCTTTGTGGATGGTCTTGTGTTTATTAGCTGTCTAACTTGGCTAACAGACTCACTGAGAGTGAGACCAAGTACATATTACAAAGTTGACCCAGTAATTTTACATCAGTTAAAGAGACAGAAATGCTCTTTAGATTCAACAGAACTGAAGTTAAACATAATTTCTGCTGTTTGGTTTGTTAAAAACATCTAAAATGGAGACATGAGGCAGAAATTTACACTGAAATAAATATTTATATATGTTCTTGTTGGGTATTATTATAGTGATCCCTATGATAGAAATATTAATAATATAACATACATGGAATAATTAAATATTTTACATATAAATGATTTAATATAACTGCCTTATGTGTGTAGGTCTATCGCTATTACTCTCCTTATCTGCTTGATGCTTATTTATGAAACTCCATAGTTAGAATTAATCTTGAGTTTGCAGGAACATAACTAAAACTCTGAGGTTTGTTACAAACCAAACTGTTTGAAAATCGGTTTAAAATTAATCAATTTATGGTTATTTAAATGCCTCATGAACAGTAGACCGGACTATTAGGAGTGGACGAGCTGCCCGTAGCAAGATGGCCGCCATCTAGTGTTTCTATGGCTCTGTGGCTCAATCTGGTTGAATGCTGCGGGGGCGCGCGCCCGGGCGGCTCCGTGAACGAAAGGAAAAAAAAGAGAAGCAGAGCTCGCGCCTCGCGGTGTGACAGCTCAGAGCTGTCCACGTCAACACACCGAGAGAGAGGCGAGCACGGCGCCGCGATGGACTCCACGTCTCTGGTGAGCCTCCGCGCCGGTACACCGGGCCCGGTACCGACATTCGGACACCTGTGGGTCCGTGTGCTCGGCAGTTTATGCGCTGTTTGTGTAGTGTTTGTTTGCGTGAGCGTGCGGGACATTTGTTGCATTACGGCAGTTTCGTTGGAGAGGAGGAGGAGGAGGAGGAGGGAGGAAGAGGAGGGGGGCTCCACTGCAGAGTGTTCATTTATCACAAACAGGGTTTTAATTCTTCTGTTCATTAACGTGTGTGTGAGTTTGAACCGTCATGCTGTGTACGTGTGTGCGTGAGTGCACGCGCAGGCCCGATCTGAGCGCGGTGTTTCCACGCAGCAGCAGCGGCAGCGGCGCGTTAAAAGCGCGTTTCTCTCCGTCTACGGAGTAAAAATAGTCCCGATCGGCTGAGCTGACCGCGGTGCGACAACTTATCAGGGTGTTAAGTTAACTCCATTACAATAGACTGAGTGACTGAGACACAGCTGTGATCCACTTACACGCACACACACGCACGCAGAGACACACACAAATACACACACACACTGTTAGTCTGTGCAGAGCGCAACAGGACGGAGCAGCCAAAGCTTCAGCTCCTGCAGGATCACCTGTAGAGACTCGATCCTCCCTGTGTGTGTGCGTGTGTGCGCGTGCGTGTGAGTGTGTTTTTATTTGACACATTAGCAGAAGTGTGTGTGTGTGTGTTAGTGTGTGTGTGTGTTTAAATATCCAGCTTGTGTTGAGCATATGTGCTGGGATCGTTGACGTGTAGAGCGGAGTAGGTGCCACGTCCACCGTTCTCTCTCTCTCTCTCTCTCTCTCTCTCTCTCTCTCTCTCTCTCTCTCTCTCTCTCTCTCTCTCTCTCTCTCTCTCTCTCTCTCTTGTCTTTCCTCATTCTGGCTCTAACTCTGTTTATTCAAATGAATGGAAAGTTACAGAGTTCATTTACTCAAGCTTACTCTTTAAAACAACTTAGAGGAGGATCTGTTTGTTTGAAGCTGATGTTGATTTTTTTCATATTTAGAGTCTGAATCTCTCTGAAGTTTGGAGCCGCTCTCTACACTCTGATATAAGCGCACAAAGATGCACCAAAAGTTCTTGTTTTAGTCGCTGATTGTTGTTCTTGGTGTGTGACGGTGTTACAGAGAGGATCCCTGCAGAGAGGAGCTTTTTGTTAAAGAGGAAGATGATTATTTTTAACCAGAAACAGCTGTTACATCACTGCTTTTAAAGACACAATGACTCCTGGGATAAAAACACTCTTTCTTCTGTTTGTATGATTGTGTAGACGCAGGGGTAGATCAGCAACTCCTGTGTCCTGTGAGGTTAACGGAATGTAGCTAGGTTCGCTTGCATCTGCGACGCGTTCAGTTATCGGTCCGGTTTGAGCGTTAAAAAGTGATTTATTGTTCGAAAAAGAAAAGAAAACACGTTGAGCTCGGTCCAGAACTTTCCCTTCGAATGAAAAGGTGATTTGATGAAATAAGGTCAAAACAGGACGAGTGAAACAGTGAAAAACGGTAACAGAAAATTATTAGAGCTTACCAAACCCATGATCTGACGACACCTGTGAGATTTAAATAATCCTCCAAACATCCAAACATGACGTACCTGGTTGAAATCGAACTCAACAAATATATTTTGGCTCCAACACGGAATATTATCGCTGTAAGATCAGCGTTTTAATGTACGATGAGCGGGATAGATGCTAAGTTTAGTAAGTTTACAGACGGCAGAGAGGACGTAACCTCCCTGAAGGTCATCTATCTATTGTTTAGAGATCTTAAATATCGTTTCCAACTGTTTATCATTAATTATTACTCCAACTAATTTCATTTTGGGTTCCTCGTCTATCAACAGTTGACAGACTTTATTTTGTCTTTATTTTGACTCCTTCCTCACAATCTCAAGCTAAGTCAGTTTGTGTCGTCTGTAAACAAAGTTATTTTTTTAGTTTCTGAGATTACTTCTATCGTTTTAATATAAGCTACAAAATAAACAACAACGGCTCCAGCACAGAACCTTGGGGAACTCCACGCTCATCCTTCAGCAGCTCCGTTTAACCCGGTCGATTTGATCGTGGTTCTGAGCGTCTCTTCCAATAACACCGAAGTCCTGATTATTTATATTAACGTATAACTGACGAACAGTTCGCTACAAAGAGACTGTTTTTTACCGTGAAATGGTACCGAGTGGGAACCTCCAGAAGTGCTAAGAGCTGCAGTTCCCTGAGCGTCCACTGGAGGCTGTCTACAGGAGTTTTGGCGCTGTGGGCAGGAGCCAAAGACTGTATCTAGAATGGACGCCGTCTGCCTCCTTGCTGGGTGAAGCCACTCTGAGAACAGCGCCCTCTGGTGACGAGCTGCAGTATAGGTCATAAACCCCGCCTCCTTATGGAGCTGTGGACAAACTTTATAAATGAATGACACAGAATATAAATGTTTCTCCCCCCTGGTTGTGATGTTGACATGTAGTTACTGTCAGACTGGTTTGTGCTCAAGTCCTCTTTTTGAGCTGAGCTTCATCACAGCGACTCTCCTGACAAATGCGTACGACGCTACTGCGTAATGTTGGTTACAGGAAATGGAGAAAAAACACAGAATTACCGAGAACTTTTCGGCTTCAAAACCGTATACAGGAGGAAGGCGGAGCCAAGTTGTCCAGAGTTTATGCAGTCTATGACAGGAGCGCACAGTAGCTGAAGTTTGGTTGAATTAGCATAATTCGATGACAGCCGGTTTTCTGTCCAGACTCTCCAGAATAACTTTGAATGTTCTGGTTCTGTTCGACAGAGACCTTCTGAAAGTCTTCCTCATGTTTCCAACAAACCGAACAGAAATCTGACTCAGAGGCTCTTTCTCACCACATCCTCCTGAAACAGACTTCTCTACATTCTCACATTGTGTCTGTAACGTGGAGTAAATTCAGAAGTGGATTAAAAATAGACGCACAGACGGGGTGCCAAGTCCAAACTGTCCGAAACTTTGATGTTGTTTTGTTGTGTAACGTCTGCAGACGTCTAAATCTGTCTTTTGGTTTCGTCTGGCCGACTTTGAAACGCCGCAGAAAAACATCATGTTTGACTTTTAGATCCAGACCTTCAGATAGACAGACAGACGTTCCTCCTCTGTGCTCAGGCTCTAATGGAGACCGAGGCTGTCTGATTTCTTCACATAAAGAATCTGAGATTGATTTTATTTCCTGCTTTTTTCTCGTTAATTTGATTCGGCAGACTGAGCTGCAGGTTTGCCGAGACTCTGATGAAGCTGTTGCTCTCAGGTTCAGCCTCGGCGCTGAGGTGTGTTCAGGATCATCCGTCACACTGTGTACAGAGCGGCTCCCTGAGGACAGGGCAGGACCGGGACCAGCAGCCGGTTACACCAGCTGAGCTCGGGTCAGATGTCGTCTGGTTTTATTGTTCAGGATAATTTGGATTAAAGAGTCTTTATTTTTGAAGTATTTGCGCTCTGGTGACGCGCTCACGCCTCACTGATTATTCTGTGCTGAAGAGACGCTGACGGATTTGATTTAAGATGCAAAACTGAGCGGATGAAATGAGAGGCATGCTGTTAAACAAAGACTTCAGAGGGTGGAGACGAACAGGTTTTAGTGGACGTGATCCACTGAACTCATCTGGAACTAAAACAAGATTATAGATCCTGACTTTTGGGGATTACAGAGAAGACAGGACTGTAAACAGGATCCATCATTTAGTCTTTGAGGTGATCGGGTTTTTAGTATATTTGAAGCCTGATTTGTATCTGCGAATCAGGTGTCAGCAGGTTTTAGCAGGGAAACAGTCAGTATGGAGAGCAAAAGCAGGAGGAACACGATCCACCAATAATGACCTGATCAATAATGATCTGAGGAGGATCAGAGTCTCTGTAGAAACAGAAATCTGCATGAAGGTCAGCCAACAACCAAACATTCACAGTCAGTACGTTTTCATGACACTCGAGAAAACCAAATTATCGCCGTACTCCGATTAAGACCGGACAACCGAAGGTCATGTAAACACCTTATGATAATGCGATTGGAATTCGATTTTCTCTACCATATAACCAGCGTAGTCGGAGTATAATCGGACGATGCATGTGCACGTGCGAACAAAACCCCCAGAGTAGAGGAGTAGCGTTGGTCTCATCTTTAGAAAAAGTAGCACGTCCATCATGTCGGACAAAAACAACGCTGTACGATGCTCCATCTTCTTGTTTCTCCAAAATGCCCAGCAGCAGTTGTAGACACTTCTGACGTCTGACACCGACCTGCTGTTGTTGTTGACGGTTGTATGGGGTCAGAAACAGGGCCGCTGAAAAGACCCATATCGCCCCCTAGTGTTGGGGAGGAGGACACGCTCACGTCAACGAATCTAACCTTCACTCAATGAACAAATAGTAGACTCAATAAAGAGGAGAAGCTCTACGAAAACCAGATTCTGTTTCAGGCTTCAGGAAAGTGACTGAACATTTACAGAGAAACTGAGACTCTGCAGAAACAGACGATAGGGACTTTAAACCAGAAATAACCGCTTTTATCACCAGACTAAAGCCGATAAACAAAAACTCAGTCTTCATATTCTCGTCTGCCTGGGAGCTCGCAGTCTCTTTTCCATTTTCTCTTCACGCACAAACACAAACCCGGGTTTCTGATCAGCTGTGTCAACATCAAACCTCCATCTCTGCAGCTGTGATTCACAATATCAGAAGTTTGCATGTGTGAGATCGACAGCTGCTTAAAAAGTTTCATATGAACATCATCAAACATGCAGGACCAGGACGTGTTTGGGTTTTCGAGAGTTCACTACCAACTCCACCAAACATCTGCTGGTTTTAGTTTCAGTAGAAACCTGCAGATCTTCTCTGATGGACGAGGATGTTTCCAGTTCCTGGTCTAAGTTCTGTGATACACTCTGACTGTGAATCTATGCTAGTCAGTGCATAACAGAACTTTGTCCCGGTTCTGACGGTCTTCACAGAGATGAGCGCCGTGTCTGAGAGACAGAGCTGCTGCTGATGCTTCTGAACATTTACATATTTGGAAAAATAATCAGAAAGAGAGGAGTGATCTTTGAGAAAGCAGCAGAGTCAGAGTGAAAGTCAAACCAGTTTTATCTGGTTAGTAGATGCAAATAAAAAACTCTCATTCAGGAGTCAGAGGAATAATTCAGCGTGTGTGTGTCTCAAACTAAAATGACATTTTCTCTGTTTATGGTTACAGGAACCCTCCCTCTACACGGTCAAAGCTGTTTTCATTTTGGACAATGACGGAAACAGACTTCTATCCAAGGTAAAAATCAACTTTCTTACCCATGATGCTTCAAATTAGAGTGAGCTGTGTCTTAGTTTGTCGTCCTGTAACTCAGAAATATTTAAGATGTGAATTATTGTGACTGTTTTAACCCTGTAAGACCTGTCAGCTGAAAGGAAATCCGTTTTCAGGGTAATCTACTGTAAAATAAACCGGAGGGACGTCTCTGTGTAACTGAATTTTTACAGTGAAACTGAGACCCCTGAGATTTTTGGGGTTAAAATTACAAACTCCAATAAAAAGGGATTTTCAAAGTCCTCTTTCAGAAGTGGTTTAAATGATTTTAAAGGATTTCTACATTTCTGATGGTTGTCTCCGGGAGGGTAAAATAAACGTCTGTTTCTTGGAGACGTCCTGAACTTGTTTCAAATTTTTCCTGAAAGATGTTTTCAGGTCACTTTTTCTGTCCCTCATAAATTTTTTTCCAGGTATCTGGTCAAAATTCATAAAAGCTTTAAAGTTTAAAATAAATAAAAGACGGACTGGCTCATCATACAAGTCCATGAACAGAATTGCATGATGGGAAATATCCTTTTGTTTGATCAGCTGTTTTGAGTCATTCATGGATGTTCATCTTAATCAAACCTGACAAACCGGACGATCTACTTCACATATTTACAGCAAAGCAGATTTTTCACACCCATCCTGGTAACATCCCAGAGACGCTGTTAGTGAACGATCCCTGCTGCTTTTGTTTAGAAAATTAGTGCATAAAAGACATTTGACAGGGTTTATAATTCCTGAATTTGTCAGGATGAGGGCGTGTAAACAACCGCACTCTTCATCCTGACTTTACTCAGACTTTTTCCCGACAGCTTCCAGGAAAAATCTCAACAAATGTCGGGGTGAAACAACTCAAGAAAGCAGCAAGAAAAAAAACAGAAAAAATCTCAGCAAATGTCAGGGTGAAAAGAAGTAGGAATGCAGGAAAAAAAATCATTATGAATGGGCTGCATGTGGGTGTGCAAAGAACCACATATTTTATCCTGACTTTACTCAGACTTTTTCCCAACAGCTTCAAGGGAGAATCTTAGCAAATGTCAGGATAAGAAGACGAAAGAAATCAGCAGGAAAAAGACAGAAAAATTCCCAATGAGTGGACTGGACTGAGGATGTTTTTGTATCATGTGACCAGGGTCATTTTTGCTGTAAAGAAGCCTTCACAGAACTGGTGTAAACCCAAAACAAATGTGATGTAAAAGTCATGTAAATGTCAGGATCTGCTGCAGCTGTCTTTTTATGGATATCCTGTAAACATTTCATGGTGACTACAGTGATCTTCCCACATTGTATCCTACATCCTTAGTCTAAACTGTCCGAATAAGTTTGAGGTGTCCTGAAATCTTCTGGACATTTTCAGACAGCTGATCCTAAATCTGATTTTGTTTTTCTTTCTCAGACATGAAATCCAAACGTATAAATCCTCCTCTTCTTTATCTGCTCTGTGTTTCAGTACTACGACCCTGAACTTTACCCCTCCATGAAGGAGCAGAAAAACTTTGAGAGGAACGTTTTCAACAAGACGCACAAAGCCGACAGTGAGTTTCCGTCTGTTCCTGATTTTTCTGGATGTTTTTCTGTCTCTCAGTTTCACACACGTCTCCGGTGTCTCCTCAGCCTGAAGCGTTTTTAGATGAATCCGTCAGAAAGAGACAAAAAGACTCAAACGAAGGAAACGTTCGTTTATCTGTTTTATCGTCACAGGAAGAAAACTTTTCCTGTTTTTTTTAATTGTTCGTTTTCTGCAGATGAAGTTTAAAACTGAGATTTTCACACAGCTGACACCTGAGTCCTTATCTCCTCTCCTCATACTCCTCCTTTTGTTCCTGACTCCTCCTGCATTCCTCCTTTTCTCCTCTCCTTTCTCCAATGTCATCCTATCTCCTCCGTCCCCATCCTCCCTTTGTCCTGCTCTCCCCCCTTCCTAACAGTGTCTCTGTTTTCACACCCTTTCTCATCTCCTTCCCTCCTTTCCTCCATCCTTATTCTTCCACTTTTATTTCCTCAGTTTTTCTCTTTTTGGTAAATTTCTCTCATTTCATAAAAAGCTGTGGAGAAAAAGAGAAAAAATTTGAGTAAAGATGTAAAAATGGATCATCTCTCTGTTCCTCATTTGTAGTTTTTCCTTTTTCACGTCTTTCCTGTGACTTAAAACTCCTCTTTCTCTTCCTCATCTCTCTCCGTCTCTCTGGTTTAGATGAAATCGCCTTCCTGGAGGGGATGACCATCGTCTATAAGAGCAGCATCGATCTCTTCTTCTACGTCGTTGGGAGCGCTCAAGAGAACGAGGTGAAGGACACAAACTTTTACACGATTTTAACAACAACTTCATAACAGCTGGAAGTCAAAGTAATCCTGATGAATCTTTCTGAATCATCCTCCACGTTTCCACACCTGCGGCTCGTTTGTTTCATTCGAATTCAGATGAAAAAAACAAAAACACCTCCACAGTAAAATCATGAAGCTACATGAGCTTTGTAACGTTACAGTGAGAGAGGAAATACAACCATGAGTCCAAACAAAGAAACCAGCCGCAGGTGTGAGAGCGACCCGTCTGCTCCTCCTCCTCCTCCTCCTCCTCCTCCTTCAGATTCAAGGATTAAAAACATTTACATGATCCTCTTTTATATTCTCTGATATCTCTGCGTACTTGACCCCAGTTCTGGTTTTTGTCCTGGTCTGAATTCTGCAGAAACATGAAGCAGAGCCTGAGTTAAAAATCAAACTCTTAATTTAACTTCTTCTTCGTTTGTTTGTTTGTTTGTTTTTCTCTTTAGCTGATGCTGATGTCGGTCCTGAACTGCATGTTCGAGTCGCTCAGTCAGATCCTCAGGTACGTCAACAGTCTTAAAACAGCAGGACTGAATAACTTTGTACTAACTGGAGTAAATTTATGTGCACAAAGTAAAGGAAAGTTGAAGACTTTAAATGCAGCAGTATTTCCCCTAGAATCCAGGAGCTACGCTGTTACATTCACATTACGTTACCCGCGCTACTCGCTGTACAGACAGTGTTTAAGCTTAAACTTTACCCTTCACGTTAGCGGAAGAGGGTCGGACAGGATTTGATGCGCTCCTTGATGACTCACAACAAGTCGGAAATAAAGTCGTGTGTTGTTGCGCTCACACAGCGCGAGGAGAATCATTCAGCGGAGTCCGAGGTAGAACTATGTGAGATAAAAACTGATTTTTTTTTAGGTGTGGCGGCTTTTATTTAGCCGTGGCGGTACGTCACGATCAGTTGCATGTCGGGGAAACTCTGCGCCGTATGGTCCTCCTCCTTTTGCTGCAGCAGTTTGATTTATGGGGGATATTTGTGGTCGTGTAAAGGCCCAGGATGTTAACACTGTAACAGAACATTTCACGTGTATTTCTTTGATCATTAATCCTAATTTTGCTTTTTCGCTCTTCTTGCACACTTTTGTTTCCTGCAGAACAACTCAAGGCTGTTAAAAATCCATTTCACTAAAAGTAACGCCACATAAATAGTCAGGGAGGTTTGTTGACCTATTTTGCATGAAAAAAAAACAAAAAAAAACAGGGTGCAGTCTTACTCTCTGATGCACATTAGTCTCAAACTCTCCTGGATGTAGCGTTAGCTCCCTCAGTGCTAACGTGCACACACACACACACACACACACATCGAGCTGCTCAGAGAGAAACTGAGTCACTGTGGAGAATCTGGTGTAAAATCAAACAGCAGTGTCTCATTCTGGGTAAAAAAATCAGGATTTCATTGAGAGTATCTGACGAACGGAGACGCAGCGTTCAGCCCCTCATTTTGAGAAGCACAAAGATTAGTTCGCAAAGCCGTTGTGTGTTTCGGCGCGTGTGTGCGAGCGTGTCAATTTTGACTGGAACATTACCAGCCAAACGGCGGCGGCGGATGCGGTTGCTATGGGAACAGATGCAGCAGTATTGCAGAGCGAGAGCGATGGAGACACAGAGACATTATCACACAGTTTGAGGAGATTATCAGCTTTGAAAAGTTTCACAGTGAAATATGCAAATGTTCCGATTCGAGGGTTTCGCTTTAACGTGAGTCAGAGTGTCGGACGGTCGCGAAGAAAACGCCGACGTGTCCCCAGAATCACAGGGACGTGGTCTTAAACATGTTCATTCAGAGTATTCAGTGTCTGTTTGTCTGCAGGAAAAACGTGGAGCGGAGGTGTTTACTGGACAACATGGAGGGAGTGTTTCTGGTGGTGGATGAAATCATTGATGGAGGGTAAGAGGAAAAACGCCATCAGCTGACTTAAGGTCAAAAACAACACCTTGGCGTTATCATACGACAGAATAAACTTCATTTTTCTGGTGTCGTAGTTTTCTATTTGATAATAACGTGAATGGGAGCAGCTCACAACTTTACCTGAGAACTCCAGATCCTGCTCCAGGTCTCGTCTCTGATTGGCTGCTTTCTTCTGTTTCAGGGTGATTCTGGAGAGTGACCCTCAGCAGGTCCTACAGAAGGTCAACTACAGGGTAAGAGGAAAAACACCAATCAGTCACACCAACCAATCAAATCCATTCAAGTCCTGAACAGTCCAATCATGTTTGGCCTGGTAGCTTCTCTCCTCATCTGCTTCCTGCCTCCTCTTACCTGCTTCACCTTTCCTTCTCTCCTTCTCTCCTTCTCTCCTCTGATTGGTGTCAGCTAATGTCAGAGCAAGCCTATGGCTTCGTCCTGTTTGATTACATCACCGGTAACCTAGAGGGACAAACAGACAGGAGCCAGCTGCTGTAGACAGACAGGGTGAGAGAGAGAGAGAGAGAGGGGGAGAGTGAATGGATGAGAGAGAGAGAGAGGAGGTCAACGCATGGTAAGAGAGCGTGACGACTAACAGAGAGGTTTGAAGAGAGCAGAGAGAGTTTGTCTTCTTCTAACACTCTGGTTGTGTGTTTTCCTCTGAGGACCACGATGATTCTGATCTGCAGTTTTGGACGACGACTGACCAACAAACTCGAATTTCATTAAAACCAGTGAAACGTGATTGGCTGAGCTTTTAACCTATCAGAGTTTGGTGTCTTTGCCTACGTCATGCTTAAAGGGATATTCCGGCGTAAAATTAAGTTAGGGTCAAACACACTGAGTTAGACCCCCCCTCCAGAGATGAATGTTGTCGACCGCTTACTTCTCTAGTTATACCAACTTTAGTAACGACCGCAGGATAGAAATACAGAGAGCCACGCCCTCAACCATCTATCTAACTCTGTATTACGGTGGGTTTGACCCTAACTTAATTTTACGTCAGAATATCCCTTTAAACCAGACGTGATCGTAACTGAACCAGACTCCGAGCTAAGCTAACTGACGACCGTAACAATAGCTTGTTTGGCTAAGTGCATTCTTTATCCCTGTTAACCCTCTAAACTGGAGGCTTTAGACCAAACCTAACTTTGGCCCTGAAGACTGAGACCATGAACTAATAGAAACAATGTTTGAAGGTGGACCATTTGGTGTCGCCCCCTGCTGGTTGATCAGAAACCCTCTTTTTAATGCAGTCTTTATAACCACCACGCTGTGAGTGACTCTGAGTTTCATCATCCCTGCAGATCTAACTCGGTTTGCTGTGATCTGAGTCTGTTTACCTGTTTTTGTTTTTCTCTTTTTCAAACTCAATAATGTTTGTTTTTTTTTAACAGGCGGATGAAAACCCGTTATCTGAACAGAGCGTGGCCCAGGTAACACACACACACACACATTAGTGACACCTACCATACATGTGATTATAAACATGACACATTATAATGGAGCTCTATGGGGATTGACTCACTTTTGGGACAAGCCTCTAGTGGACTATGGAGGAACTGCAGCTGTAGTATTGGCTTTTCTCAGTCCTGTAGGTCCTTTAGGTCCCTTATTTTTCTTTTTAAGTGTTTTATGGTCAAATCAGAACACAGAAACAGGTTCTGGTCCCGCCCCCACTCCTGTTCAGGGTCAGGTTCTCCTGGTGCGCTCGCCATGTTTCTTTTAACTCTGCATCTGCCTGCACCAGCCTGCATGCTCCTCCCTCAGACAACATCCAGATAGCCAATCAGGACAGCGCCTGGTTACTATAGCAACCCTGTAATATACTAAAAAATATGTGCAAATGCTGTTATTATTGTTGAAGTCTTCTAGCTGCTCCCAGTTCAGCAGTTTTGAGCTCCTACAGCTTCTCAAACACAGAAACCCGACGTATCTTCAGAAAGTTTAGAGATGTTTCTGCTGCAGTTTGACATCTGTCTTCACACTCACCCGCCTGCATGCTCTCGCTGCAGCTCATGATGCATGCTCAGCTAACAGCTCGTTTGTTTGGCTTCCTTTCCCAGCAGCAGCAGCAGCAGCAGCCGGCTCTAATCGGCTCGGCTGTGAATGAACGGATTGATGGATTAATAAATGGATAATTAGATTAACAGCAGAGAGCTGCGGCTGGAAATTAAAGACAGATGTGAAACTGATCAGATCGGTTTCAGAGGCAGTCGTGTGTTTATATCTGATCGACTTTGCTCAGTCTTATCTGTTGTGATTTCCTGAACATTGACATTTTCTGCTCGTGCTCTCACACTCTAAGCTTCTCTTTCTCTGTTGCTTGAACCCTGACAGCACATTACAGAGAAACTGGCTCTGACCACTAACGTAAGTCTCTGCTAACCACACCACGCTTACCTCTGCATCGTTTCCACTGCACTGTCATAACACTCTGAGATTTTCACCAAACAGTCAATAAATTTAACAAAAACCTGTAACAGAGTTCGGCCCTGAAAACACGAGCGAGCCAAACTAAAAACCAGGATGTCGGTTTACTCTTATTTTAAAGTAAGGAGAGAGAAACAGTCCAAGATATGAGTGTATTTAGCAGGATTCTGCAGCACAGTGAATATACCTGAGCTCCATGCGCCCCCTGCTGTTTAAAAAAGGAACTATTTCATTAGTGACTCATTACTTTAGAGTCAGTTTAGGCTACGTTCACACTGCAGGTTATGATGCACAATTCAGATTTTTTTGTTAAATCTGATCTTTTTGTGCGGTCACATCGGATACATATCTGATTTATGTCCACATACAAAAGAGGCCTGGATCGGATTAGAACAAATCAGAATTGTTCTGTTCACACTTAGATGAAAAAATCAGATATGTGTCACATATGGTTAAAAGATCTGAATTGACCTGCAGTGTGAACGCAGCCTGAGTTTGATGTTGATGTTCGTCTGCAGAAATGAAAAACACGAACTCAAAAATCCCTGACTGTACGGTGATGATTAAATATACACCTGCGTTCACAGGAGTAAACATGTTTTTAACATTTTAACGTTAGTTATTGTGTCTTTGTGTAATGTTTTTAATTAAATATGATGTGTAAATGATTTGGAAACCAGTTTTAAATCAACACTTTACACAGTGTCCCTCATCTTACTGAGCTGAGGTTGTAAAACGGTCTTTTTTGGGGGCTTCATCCCGCACTGTAGACAGGATATGACAGAGAATTGAGTTAGACTCTAAAAGCAAGCGTGAGGGATGACCTGAGACACAATAACAAACTGAACTTTTATACAAACAGTCTTCTGTTTGAGCCATACAGGCCGAGGTTTAAAGGTATTTCATGTTACCAAATGATCACTGTATGTAGCTGCTCTGAAACCCTATGATCAGTCTGACCTCTAGTGGCCGAACAGCAGAACTGCAACAAGTTCAGAAATGAATAAAACTTCCTTTTATTTAATTATTATGAATACAAAAAACCCTAAACAACTAAAATAGTGTAATTAACCACTAATAAAGATGCAGTGTTATACAGACAAACCTTCTGATCCATCTGATAATGACATGTACTCGTCATGTTTCCTGCTCTGTGCTCTTTTAGCGTATGATTGGACTATCTCACATCATGTTGTGTTTCATTTCCATGTGTTTTTGTGTTTTCAGGTCCTGCAGACGGCCAAGGAGCAGATCAAATGGTCCATACTAAAATGACTCAAACCACAAATATTTAGGATTTTTCTTCTTTGGTCCCAAAACTCATTTTTTTTAGCATTAACACACTAAAAGGGAAAGACTGCAGGAGTCGGTTTATGGAGCATTTAATCTGTGTGTGACGGTGTTTGTGTTGTTAATTTATTTAGTTTGAGAGCTATGATGTTACTCATGTAGTAGGAGGCCAAATGACACCAGGAACCAAAAGACAAAGTTCCAGCTGTGAGGCTCTGACACTGGAACCTGATTGGAGGTTAGTTATCTGCTACTTTTATTTTGGCGGGGCAGGATCTTCCCCTTAAATTTCCTCAAAGCTGAATGTTTTAGAGGATTTATGTGGTTGTTTTTGTACTAAGAATACACTATTTTACACATTAAGAATCTTCCTCTTAAAAAGAACTACTGTTACATATTTTAATAATAATTCTGACAGTTCGTCCTCCTGTCTTTCGGTACCTGTACGAGAAATCCAAACATGTAAAACTATTTATTTGAGGTAATCTGAAGTAAATCAATATTCGAACACTACTCCAACTTAAAAAAGAGTCAGTGACAAACTTTTTTTTGACATTTATGCACTGAATCGCTCAGTTTAATGATATTTTAAGATCTTATTGTGTTCCTTATATAATACAGAAGATTTTAAATTAAAGTTAAAATGCTTACTGACACTAAAAAGACTCATAAGGGGTAAAATGTTAACTTAAATATGTATTTTCCTAAGAAACACGTGAAGGAAAACAAACATCTGCACCTAAAATAAGATTTGTCATCACAGAGGAGGTCAAATAGTGAGAGTTGTAAAAAATAAAATGAATATTTTGATATTTTTAGGTAAAGAAAAATGTTAATAGTTATTAAATATTTTCTTAAAGGCAGAAAAAAAAGCCAAAGAAAAACTAATTATATTGTTTACATTTGATTTTTATTCAGACTGATAGTCGTTGTTGTGTCATTAGTGAATGTGACTGACAATAAATCGGTTTATTTAACCTGGACTGAGGGTGTGTTTTTATTTTTGTTTGAGTAGAATGAGATAATTTTTTATGTTTTAACGTGATTTTTTCCCAGTTTAATTCAAGGATTAATGACAAAATTATATTAATAATATAACAACAATAATAAAATAAGAAAATAATAATTTCCAACATTGGATGAAAATACCGACATAGGCATCCTTTTAAAGTCTCAGTCAGCCAATGAGAAGCAGATCTTCTACCGTAATGAATATTAATGAGCGCAGTAAACAATCGCAGGGCCGTAGGACTGGTCTGACATATAATTGGTGGAAATCAGTTGACGTCACAGAATGCTTACAGCCAATGGTTCGTTCTGGTTTCCCTTTCGAGGAATGTGATTGGTTATCTGTCCCATCCTCGCACACAACATTCAGAGTCAGACACACAAAAAAATGGATTTAAAATTATGATTATTCGAAATATTTCAGGGGTAAAACCGTTTAAAAAATCTATATTTCTATTTTCCTACCATTTTTCTTAAATGTTGGATACAGATCAGGAGTAGAAGGGTTAGGCCTTTTTTAATTGAAGAAAATGTTTGTTTAGAGTTAGAAATATTATATCACTTTATTATATTTTGTTGTATTTTATCTTTATATATATTTTCCATTTTAAACCTTGATTTTTAAAATTGTGTCTTTGTCGTTATAATTAGAATTTAAATATACTTTTTTATGATCCTTTTTAACTATTATTATTATTATTATTATTATTATTATTATTATTATGGATAAATAATAATTAATTATTTTCTTTTTCATTCTAACTTTTTTTTACAGTCTTTAACCAACTCGATAATTTCCACTTTAAACTGTATTTTTGGCGGGACTCCATTGGCCTGTTTGGAGCTCGTGCCTCAGACGGTCGGCCTCGGTTCGCCTCCCTCGTGCAGCTCCCGTAATAACTGCAATAATCGCTCCCCGCTCTCTCAGCCTGTTTCTTGCTCTGTTAACAATCCCATCCTCTCCACACATCGATAAAAAGTCCGAGAATCACCTTAAATGATAAAAGTCTGGATGTGTTTGTTCAGGTTTGTGTTCAGTCTGTTTGTGCTGCATGTTTCAGTTAAAGTTTGTCTAAAAAAACAAAAAAAGTAAAATATCAGACAAAAGACCAACAGAAGCAGTTTAAACTTCTCAGCCTATGTTTGCCCCTCATGTTCTGTTTTCATAAAACCATTCAACCTGAGGAAAAGGAGTTCACAGCGCCCCTACAGGTAGGTAAGAATATCCCGAAATACTAACTGCCCGGCTAGCTCAGTCGGTAGAGCATGAGACTCTTAATCTCAGGGTCGTGGGTTCGAGCCCCACGTTGGGCGCTTCACCTTTTCCACCGAGTCTAATGACAATATTCAAATAATTTTTCTTTAACGTAATAGTAAAGCGTCTGAATAGTCTTTTTTCCCAGATTTCTTCCTTTCTTTTCTTTCTTCACTAAAGCCCATAACAGGCAAACAAGACCATAAATGATGAGATAAAATTAGCTTTATGTAAATTTAATACAAACTGACTTCTGTGGCTGTTTGATCAGGATGGTTTTTGGTTTATTGATGGATTTCAATGTTAAATTTTACTAAGGGGGGAGGTATGAAGAGAAACAGATTTTCACACCAGTTTGGATTAATAAGACAACCAGCCCTGCTGCAGAGTCAACAGACTTGAGAAAACAGACGCATTCAGATTGGAAATTAGGCATTAAAAGTCAAAACATGTGCAGAAATGCCAAAGTAATAAAGATATTTACCAAAGAACCACCCAGATGTTTGTGTCTGTGCAGTGACTGATGAACTCATCATGTTTTTGAGCATACAGGACGATAATGTCAGGGTGTTTTTGTTCAGTTAAAGATGTGATTTCTGCAGAAAGGAAGGTGAAATATTTGCTCTGTCTCCCTCTGGTGGTAAAACCCTGCCATTACAACAACTTAATTGAAAATTCCTCTCCTGCTGAGTAAAACTCTGGACACAGTCAGCCTCATTGTAAACCTCTTCACTGTGCTTTTTGGACATGAGAAATATAAAGGTAAATACTTTGCAGTTAACAGCATCAACACTCTGTTTGTATTGTTAAATCCTGCAAATTAGCACCAAACTTGCATCACAGCATCGTCACATGTTGCAGCAGATAACCAAACATCTCCAAATGTAGTTTCTCAAACATACATATTTGTGTTCTGAAATTCCTCCGCTTCATTTTATCAGAAATATCTGAACTACATTCAAACAGCCTCTTTACTCCAGCTTCAGTGAACTGAAGGAAACCTGTACATGAGTTTCTTCTACAACACTGTGCTCCACTTTCTCCACATGGAGGTGGATTTGGACGACAAACCAAAAGAAAACAGACTCCTTAAATGTCTGAGTCAGGTCACATCACAGTCAGGACAAACTCAACCTGAAGAGAGACAGAGAGAGAGAGGGAAACTGGAGTGTGGAGGAGGTGAGCGTGGTCCTGCTGCCCCTCAGGTGAAGGAGAGTCAAGTATTCGAGCTTTTTCTTGATTCTCAGTCAATCAACCTGTCAATCAAACATCATGGGCGGGACTAACAAAACCCCCGATACTTCCTGAAGCTCAGTGTAAACCTCTGTGTCTGCTTCACCTCCTCACCCAGTTTATATAAAACATCAGCAGAGACGCAAACACGCCATTGGCTAAAGAGGCTTATCAGACAGCATCTGATTGGCCGAGATTTTGACAGTGACTGATGGGACGATTGATGATTGGATAATTAAGGCGTGATGTCAGTGGATGTGGGTTTGGTCAGAGAATGGTAGAGCGAGGGAAAGAGATAGGGAGGAGAGAGAGAGAGTGGGTGGAGTTAAACAGATAGAGAGACATTGATCTTATATATCAGAGAGAGAGAGAGAGAGAGAGTGTGTGAGTGTGTGTGTGTGTGTGTGTGTGTGTGTCTCTCTCTCTCACCCACACAAAGCCCTCATTCTTCTCCTCCTGCAGTATAAACACGGCGCTTGTGTTACAGATGGTTCACTCGCCGCTGTTTGTTTGATTTTACATGAAAAATGGTGGAAAAACACGTCAGCGGAGTGAAACCTGCACAGAACCCCGCTCTACTTTTTATTTATACCCTCCATTAATCTGAACGGATCTCTATTAACCACCTCGCTCTGTTTCTACGGGAGCCAAGGAGGCTCAGATTTGATTTGACATGAGGGAAAAATCTTCACGACTCATTTATTCTGATTTTTTTAATGATTTTATCCTAAACCTCCTCATCCTGAGTGACCTTTTATCTCAGTTACATCTAATTAAATATAAACAGTGAAGGTTTCTGTTTGATTACATGATAAATTTCTACAAGTTTCCAAATAAAATAATAAAAATTTTAGTCTTCTGTTTGCAGAAGATGACGGCTGGTAAAAATTTTAAACCCTAAAATAACAAAATATTCATTTCTTTGAAACTTTGAGAGTTCAGAAATGAATAGTTAGATTAGATTTTATACATCCCTCAGTGGGGAAATTAAGTCGTTAACAGCAGCGGTACACACAACAAACACATTCACAACAACAGGTACAAAAAAACAGACAAAAAGGATGAAGAACTTCGGCAAAAATAAGAAAGAGCAGAGCAATCGAAGAAGAGTATTAAAGACAAGTTTGAGAAAGATCAGTGCCAACAAAAAACAGGTATGGATGTGATGATGATATTGATATTACAGATGATTAATCAATAATTAGGATTAACTCTGATTTTTATCACAGCTCTCATGTATCTCTGCAGACTTTTGCAGCTCGGCTTTGTGCAGAAATTTGTCAGGTTATCTCTAAAATCAGTGTCTCATTAAAGCTCCTTTCAGAAACAGAACCAGTTTAATATCAGACCTACAAACATAAACATGAGTCTAAAAACATTATTCCTGTTTTATATTTTTAGGGTCTGAAATCACTGGAGGAGGTCAGACTCAGACTCAGATTCAGATTCACTCTAAAAAAAAACTCATTTATGGCTTTAAAACAATCTAGTGTGTGTGACTCATTTAAGGTGAAGTCTTTATGGTGTCCAAAAACTCTCTTTAGACCGTGTTGGACCAGGTCCTGATTCAGAATCTGTTTTAAAAGATTCTGCAAACCCTCAGTCCAGATCTGACTAACCTACGTCTGCTGTTTCAGGATGTTGAACTTCGTCTCTGTGGTTCTGTCCTGTTTTGTTTTTTGTCACATAAACTTTTATTTTCAGAGTCCTGCTGACGTTTTCTCTGCGGAGCCAAAAGTTCAGTCTGTAAACCGTCACTTTAACAACAAGTGGAAACGTAATGAAGTGGTTTTTCTGCTCCAGCTTGACTCCTGGATGTAAAATTATTCTGCACCTTCAAAACACCAAACCTGCGATGAGGAGTGACATCTCAGAACCTCCTGAGACCTCCGGACGGCCCACTATGAGGAGCAGTCTCATGAAATAATGAAGCTGACTTTGTTATGAGGGGCTGAAGAGGAAAACCCAAAACCTGTGCAGCTTGTTCAACTTTTTCAGGACTCTGAGTCAAAAACAGAGCGGAGCCAAAATGTGGCCTCATAGCCGAACACCTTCATCCTTCATGAACCAGAGAGAGAAACTCGACACATGGCCTCAAACTGCTGGATCCACGACTGCTTTTCCAGATAAATACTAAATACAGAGACCTCCTGAGACACAAACCGGACAGAAATCATCGGCGACACAAATCGCTCAAATCAAAACTTCACTTTCCAGTCAACAAACACAGGAGCCTGCACATTTAACAACATTTAACATCGGTAAGAGCCTCATGATAAAGTTTGAGCTGAAATCAGGATCTGAGCTTCATCCTAAAAAAGACCGAAACACCAAATTTATCCTGAATTTAGAAGAAAACTCAAACTTATATAAGCGGTCTGAGAAACGGTCGAAACTGTTCAGAACACACACACACACACACACACACACACACACACACACACACACACACACACACACACACACACATAATAAATGATGCTCCAG